TTCGGCACGTTCAGGGGTACACTTTCGCTATTTTATGGTTATTGCAGGTCAAACTTTGTAGAGCAATGTGTAGCAATTTAGCTGTATACTACGCGAAGGCGTGTAAAAACCTTATTATGTGTACTACGAGTGGAAAATGCTGGTAACGGCACTCTTCCCGTATGTTACGTGCCGGTAGGTTATTCGATTTTCTTGTAAAGGCTGGCTTACATATCGATATGCTTAGCAACGAGTGTAAAACGACTATGTGCTTAGAAAATATATACTTATGCAAGTTTCTGAAAAGCAGAGACCAAACAAGTTAAACGTAATAAGCATACGCCATGTACCATAATAATAGAATTTAAAAAGTACCGGTAAAAAATGGTTTTAATAATGGTAGGTAATAAAAACAAGATAAATTCCATGGTATGACTAAAAATAATATAGTATACATCGCGATGGCTATCACTTTTGGTTCGTGGTAGAACTAAAGGAATGCGATACTATTTAACCATTGTAAGACATTTTACCAGCAAACTAGGATGGTATACGAAATCCTATACAAATGAAACTTATTAAATAATAAACTTACCTGCATAAGGAACCCCAAATACGGGACAGTAACAATGTATTATGGCACACATGTGGCATGAACGTTTGTATATTCGCCGTCAATTTGCATGTTTTATAAAATTCTATCTCCCCACCAGGATTTTGTTAACTTTGTATTACTTTGTTCTTTATTTTAAATTTTATCGGAATATGTCTTATACAAATAGCGGTATTACTTAAATGTTCTGAAACCTTTAAGTAACTATACCATTTATATGCCACTTATACATATAATAGATAGGTACATAACATATAGAGTAAAACAAAAACTTTATACTAAAAATTATTGTACAGCTTCTGCTTATTGGGATAAGTAACAAAAATAATTTGTAGTGACCCGTTTAGCTCTTGCAGGTTATTTGGATCTATGATATTTGATATAAAGATTGTAAATAATAAATGTGAACAAATGTTTATTTACAAAGAGCAACTCCGAGAGTATTTTGCTCATTCTTCTCAGGGGAATATGTCTTACGAATGAGGCTTAGAGTTTAATCAATATGACTATTTCTAGCATCACTTGCTCACTTATGAAATAAAGATTTTTTTTAATATTATGTAGGCAGCAAACAAGCATATGACCCGCCTGATGGAAAGAGGTCACCGTCGCCTATGAACGCTTGCCATACCAAAGGCGTCACGAGCACGTGGGTGGCAACCCATTAGGACGGTTTAGGACTCTCTTCAGGTCTTCTAAAACCTTCTCAAACCCTTTTGAAGGACTCTATGCATCCAACCTAATTGTACGTGCGAGGAATCTCTTCTGAAATCGTTCAGTACGACACCGACTAGGTTCCAGAGTGTGAGGATAGACTCCCTGCCGGTGGCGAATGGTGCGATGATAAAAAGTTGCTGTTAGCATCATGTCAAACAGTTCTTCAGAACATTGGCCACTATACAGGCGATAGAACAGACATAGGGAGGACGCCAGGGCACAGACTTGTTACTTATAAAGTGATCTAATATGACATATCTCTGCTAGATTATTTGATTTTGACGATATAGAATAATAATAACCTGGGGAAGTTTGTGAGAATCTGCTAGATGACAGCAGCTCAAGAGCGATCGTGGTGGCGATCTTTATTGGAGGCCTATATCCAGTAGTGGGCGTTTTTCAACTTGAATATGTAGATGATAATAATTATATTACACATCTACATTTTACTACAGTAAAACTTTTTCTTTGTGAAGCTCGAAACTTCTCTATTACGACACAAGCATTTAAATGCCATGCAGATGTCAGCTTTAAGCGATTATTTTTTCGCAGGACATAAACCACGAGATTGCTGCTGTGCAAATTATTTGTGTTGGCAAATAAATGCATAAAGAGTGCGGCACGACGTTGATTGATGAGTTCCAACGAACGACGGCCCACCGTGTCAAAATGCACGCTCGGTTATACCGACGGCGCCTTCGGTGTAATCGATCATATATAATAAAATACCTAGTAGTAGTTGATCTATTTCTTTTTAAAGTGGAAAATCACTACAACCAGATCAAAGAATAAATTAGCCATTGTCAAAACTTTTCAACGGATGACATAAGTATTATAATGAAATGTTTTCGAAAAGCGGACTTGAAAAAACTATTGTATTCCTGGAAACATTGATGTATAAAGTATATAGGTAATCCTAGATGTAATAGGAAATTAATACAAACAATGAAAATGTGTTCTGTTATTCTATACTACGTTGTGTATGTGTTATTCACATTTATGTGGTCTGTGTTGTTATTCATTTTATGTAGGTGCACTTCAGTGAAGTTAGTAGCTATGTAAAAGTTTTTGCATTAAAGTATCCAATCGTCTTTTTATTCTACTCAATTACGAGGTGCAAATATAAAAATGTAATATAATTATTAAAAAACAATAAGTCATTTCACAAGCTTTTAAATTTTTTTATATTTAGGTTTCAAGCATGATTTTTTTTACCAGCACTCAGTTCTTCCTAAATATTGCATTAAAATTGAACAAATTAAACATTGATATCATCTTCTCGAGATTAACTCTCCTTTGCACTCGTACAAAAACATATACATAACGACAATACATATACAATAAATACATAAAAACACATACATAACGGACATAGGTCCCTTTGTACCATGTATTTTTAAGATATTTTCTTTGTGCAATAAACAATTCAATGACATTGCTGACCAAGGCGATTGTGGACTGAGGAAATTATTGAAAACTTGTTGAAATTATCCGTTAGGACACGGCTTAATAAATTCGCGCGAGCTACGTCCTACGCCGCCCTAAACATTTCTAAGTGATGTAGAACAACGTACTATTACGTCGTTTGTTTTATTTCATCGAAGAACGTAAGAGAACGTTATTTGGCCAAACAAAATCTTAATACGACGAGAATGACGTCATTGTTCTACATCATATCAAAATATTGAATCTCTAAAGACACGCAGTATCGAAGTTTCACACAGGGTAAGCAAGCACTACTCACACATACCAATGATCGGTGGCATATTAGCGCAACGTCGACGTTTATTGACGTCAGCATCATTATTTGTTACATTCATTCAATAGCCTGTAGAAAAAACGTTTATAAACGTTAAAGTATACAACAAAAGGAAGAGCGAATATATATTATTATAGCTAACAGCACATTTGATGTCTGACAGACAATATTTCACCTCAAATTTTTATTGAAGCGTGTGAAGCAAATTAAATATCCTGAGTCATATAGTCACGGAAAACTTCTGGACATAGAAAGTAAATGCCATTTTCTTGAGACTGATCGTACTAAAAATTATTAGATTATGCATGGAAGACCTAGTAATTAGAGGTGCCCACCTCTTGCACACTAGAGGTGGGCGTTTAAACGAAAAGCACTTAAAAAAGTTTGCTTTTTAAAATAAAGCACGCTTTTCAATTTAAGCCTATTTAAGCGTAAGCGTTAACAACGTGCTTATGTTTCAAGTCCCGCCAACTATGTTTCCTAAACAAATTAGTTCATCAATGTGACTAATAATTTTATAAATAAAAATAAAACTCATTTTTACAAATAAACTTGCTTATTTTAAAAGCTTTAGTGGTCTACTCTTGCTTTTCGCTATCAACACAACGTTGCAAGCTTTTTTTAACATAAAAGTCTATGCGCTTAAACGTTTTTCTAAACGATTTGTAAGCTTCAAATTATAGGGTCGTATTCTAGAACTCTACTCAATGCTCAAGTCAGGATTGCAATGGAAACACAAGCACTGGAAATACGAGCCTAATGGAAGGGACTTGAGTTTGATTTCGAGTGCTTTAAACCATACTCAAATCCTGACTTGAGCATTGAGTAGAGTTCTAGAATACGACCCATAGTGTTTAAGTGAAAAGCGTTTAAGAAAGCACGCTGCTTTAAAAAAAAGCACAACGTTTAAAAAAATAAGCAGTTTTTCCCATCTCTACTAGTAATAGATCTAGTACTACTACTGGGTCTATTACTAGGTCACCCCACGGTAAGGGTACTTATATATTACTAAATAATATATTATAGTATGTATTATTTAGTATATAAGTATATTAAGAACGTTTATGCCGTATTATGTTTATTTTATGTCATTTAAATGAACCATAAAATTCTGGTTTATGATTTTTTTGTTCTGTTTTAAGTGTAGCACCAACCCTTTATTTTTTTCTGTTTGGGCCTTAGACTATGGAAACCTTTATTTTGACTTTATTTTTATTTATATATTTATTTTTCTTCCATAGTCTAAGGTTTGGGCCAACGGTTGACCGGTAAAGAATGCCTAATGACATTAGGTCCGCCATTTGTGCATTATGGTATTGTGCAAAAAGATTAAATAAATAAATAAATTATAATTTAAAAAATATCAAAGCGTTGCTTTTTACGATATGGACGTGTAAAGTTCTAGTAAGGCAGAACATACATTTGTCAGGGAAAGTTCAAGTTTTTCATGAATAATTCATAAACGCCTCTGCACATAACATAACTTAACTTAAAATATAAAACTAGAATATGACGACAATCGTCATATCAATTTCAGATTAGGTTGATAATTCTATTGCATTTCGTTCAACACATTCCACAAAGAATTCTGTAAAAAAGTTGATTAACCCATTTGTGCAAATTGTACACTAGGAGTGATAAAACTTTAAAACCTTGAATATATATACATTTTTTATCATCACTAGTACTTCATAAACTTAATGCTTTTTATGGCAAAGAATTCCGTGTCGTTGTTGTCTAGACGAAATATAAGGTTGACGTATACAAAATATACACATTTATCATCGTTTTCACTCCAAATAGATATAAGATAGATAATGCAACAATATAAATAACATTTTACTGAATCACTATGGGTATTACCGTAGCCATATAGATACATGACTTTAAGACATACATACATATTAAAAAATTTTGTATACAAATATTATTATGAATCCTAAACGTTATTTATGTCTACCTCAAAACGAATGGGATCGATTAAAAGGACAAGCTGCGACCCAAAAACCTGTCGAAGACCCTAAAGAAAATATACAACAAAAACTTATAGAACAATCACAAGAGTGGATTAAGACTTGGCCAACTTCCGCACAGGTGCCTTCTTTTAGATTATCTTAATGATAACTTATAATAATAACGCACATACTCAACATAGACCCGCACTAGGGGAAACCATTGAAACCCTGTGTCGCGGGTGACGTGGACACACACATAGACAACCACAAATTACACCCAAACTCACGAGAGAAATAAATGTAGGCCGTACAAATATTTCTCCCGGCCCGGTAATCGAACCTGGGACCTCTGCGTGACATGGTATCCGGCATGATAACCTTTGGGCCACAGAGGCAGTTAAAATAGATAACTAACGGCATGTTAACTCCCCATCCAGCGTTGGGTATGGAAGACCAATATACCTACTGACGACACCCGTGTCCAGCCTACAATTTACAATGGGTAATGATGATTTATCACCAATATTTGTCACTAATTGCATATAAATTACATCGTGCGGTATGCAATTTACATGTTGTATTGGTAATTTGGGTTAACTTTAGTCTCTTTACTCTATCAAAACACTAGCACCTCCAAATCTTCCTCAAAATAAAGAAACAAAAAGCTGGCACAAAATTAGAATAAAACAGTCTCTAATTTCAGGCTCAAGTAGCTAACTACGAAGCAAAGAAAGCAGAGAAACGCCAGCAAGACATAGACTCTGTAAAAGCATATTTAGAGAAGAAAAAAAACAAACAGCGCGTCGACACTGAAGCTATGCAAAAAGCTAGGCAAATGATTTTTAACGACAGTTGTTATGGCAGAGAACTTTTAAGGTAAAACAGACAACTTATACATACACACAATCATATGCACTATATGATATAGAGATAAGTATAACATAATATAGTGTTAACATTTAATTGAGTAAAGTTTTTGATAACAGCGCACTTCGCTATTCAAGAGATAGAGAAGAAAGACAAAAGCAAATAGAATTGAAACAATATATAAAAGAAGAAGCTGCAAAATACGAAAAGGTTTTGGACGATAAAATAGCTGCAATGTCGGACAACATTTACAATTTTGGTAGCCGAGATCAGAAACGCGAAGCCGAACTTCGCCACATGGACGACAAACGGCGCGCACACAATAAGATGATGTAAATACCGTTAAAATAAGTATTTCGTACTCTACAACAAATAGGGAAAACGCTTAGAGTTAAGATGTTATGGGTATTAATATAAAAAGTTTATAGTATATTATAGTCATAATTTGTTTTGTATCCCTTTCTTTACTTTGACACTCATGGTTGTCATTGTTTCAATTATGACTCAATGCCCGAGTACTATTCAGGTCAGAAACAAAGAAAGCACAAATCAAAGAAGAAGACAGAAAAAAAAAACTTGGAGCTCTTGAAGATGCGAGATTGATGAAACAATTCTTGGAATTCGAGGCTCATGAAACAGTTAGTCCATGTCGTTTCATCTTGAATAGTATCGAGTTCTTAGGTGAACATTGAATAGTGTTCGTGCAAAGTGACCATCCACTACACGCCGGTTCTATATTGAGTACCTAATGACATCAATGTTTTTTATTATTCGATCTGACTGGACTCGAACCAGCGTCTCAACTTTGAGGCTTAAATTAACCATGGCACAGTGCCATGAGACTTCTACTGGACCTAAATACTTAATTTGTTCGACCATGATGTCGTCGTAACCGGCCTTTCCATTCCGCAGACTCAATACTCAAGATTAGATGTGTTAAAGTACCGCTCGCTTAAATGGTAGATTTGTGGAGCTAAGGCATACAGCGTACAGATTTTAGGTAAACGGTGTGGTGGTTTATCGTTCAAGAATAGTCTCAACGTTATTCTGCAGTTATTACTTTGTGAAGTTTCATTGTAAATAATAAGGCTCATTTCACAGGATCATTGCAAACACGTGATAGAGGCAGAAATGGCACAATTCAAAAAGGATCATAGAAAAGCCCGCGAGGAATCCCGCAAACGGAACGAATTAGACACTGCGATTATGGACGTCTGGAGACGACACGACGACAGGGTTGAGCATAGGAAAAAGAAAGTATTGAAGGAGGTTAGACCTGTAAAATCCAGCCAATACTTGTTAAATTGTAGGCAAAACTAAATAAAGGAAAAAGAAAAATGGGAAATGCTTTACAGGTCCAATAATTTCACTAGTATTTATGTGGTCTGTGATTTTAACCAAACAACATTAATGACGTAAAATTATACTCTTTACGTAATCACACGAAGAATTTCATTCTATAGTAGCTTTAACAATATACATGTAACAAGTGCAACACGAAAATCAACCTCGCAATTTGCGTTCGACGTGGCGCTAGAGTTAGCATAAGTTATTTTCCGAAGCGTTTTGCAGATGCACCAAGAAAAGCACAATACTCCATTGATGAAAAGTGCTTATGAAGCTGTCAAAACTGCAATCGAAAAAGGAGAAAAAGTATATAACGACTTCATCGATAAAGGAATCAAACGATATGAAGAAAAGTAAGCTAATTACTTACATCTATATAGGTATTATAAGACCTATTAGAGAGGCATCACGTATACGTTCATTCCTCGAACCTGCAATATATGGAATGCTCTCCCTTTTGAATTTGCGCTATGACTTAGTTTTTTAAACAGCGAGTAAACAATTTTAAAGGCTGGAAAGGCATAAGCAGCTCCTCTGATGTTGCAGATGTTCATGGGCGACGCTGATCACATCCATCAAGGAGTTCGTCTGCTCACTTGCCTCTTTACATTGCATAAAAAAAGTTATACGTTAATTATATTATCAGAGAGGTAGTTACATTATAAGATTAATAATACTACGTACCAAACGCCTATTACAAAATGTACCATAGTAGTTACTTACTGTATATTTATTTTATTATATATATACGTAGATGTTTGAAGAAAGAAGAAAAAGATAAAATCGATGAAATCAATAGAAAAGCAAAATTGTTAGAACTAGCCAAAGAATATAAGAACACGGTTAGGGAATGTGATATATTAGAAAATTGGAGCAAAGCGGTTTGCGAAAGGTACAGTCTGTTGCCGCAGAAGAAAGCTCAGAAAAAGATTGACGAGAAAGATAAAGGTGAGAGGGTAATTATAATGAGTAAATGCTGTGTAAACCAGAAATCCTAAATTTGTCGTACAACATGAAGCCAACTACTCCTTCAACGTTGCACTGATATAATTACGACTATCTTTAAAGTACTTTAAATATTGTAGATAGGATATTTTGCTTCAAGGAGACAATATCTTATTTTGAAAGTAAGAAATACTGCATTTAAAAAAAGTCGCTTGCCTCATCTAGGAATCGAACCAAGCATAGGTGAAAAAAACACGCGTATTTTTATTACCCATAAGGATTAATTCCTTTTAAGTAACATAGTATCTTAAATTAAAGAGAGACAATGGAGTTCAATATTTAATTTTTTTTAAATTAATCATAAAGCGTAGATGCGGGTATCTACTTTCTATTTCAAGAACAATTTCTCAAATCGTAAAGTAATATTTAAGCAAGAATACTCGATCATTCTAATATTCATAACTAATAGCTCATTTTAATGCCCAAACAAGTAGAAGAACATCCTCCTTTCCTCAAAGAATGTACCACACTGCGGGATGCCCTGAAGAAACGGTCTCAAGAGCCAACCCCATGGAACGCGTTGGATTCCTCACATAAATACTTCGCTGAACAGGCCGAGGCTGTCCTCGCTGAGTGCAAATACAAGGAGATGGCGGAAAAAGTCATTGCTGTAAGTTATTTTGTCTACTTCTTCTTGTCGAGTCAATAACAAAAACCAACAAAAAGCCGGTGTTATGTTCCTTTAGTCCAATAAACAGCCACCTCTACGCACCTTTCCGTTGCCTTTATCAGATATTCGTAGGTGCAGCTGGTCGGATCCAGTGGGCATAAAAGCAAGTGTGACATAGTTTGTGTGGGGGATCCGCAAGCGCAACAATTTTGAGTTGGATTAATATCCCCATTTCGCCATGTTGTCTCTACATCGGCCAACTTGTGACCCGAGACGATTTAGGGATTTTCCATAATGACCACTGCAGCTCATGCCCGGGGGTTAGAAGGAAGATCACGACAAATTCACGACTTTTTCTAGGTGCAATCAGATCTAAGCTAGGAGCTGTGGTTCACGAGATTCAAAAATGGTGCCACCGGAATAAGCTTATTCCAGTGTGGACAGTAAAACACCTTAATAACTTCAAAACGGGACGTAACGACTAAATCTAGATTTTTACGACTAGAACCGACTTACTCACGACTTTTTTAGTGTAATCAGATCTAAACCAAGTGTTGTGGTTCTCGACATTGAGAAATAGTGCTGCTGGAATAGCCTTATTCCAGCGTGGACAGTAAAACACCCTTATAACTTTTGAACGGCGGACCGACTAAATCTAGTTTGTTGCGACTAGAACCGACTAAATGGCGACTTTTTATCTGGCTAGTCAAATTTGAAAAACTTGACCATGATCGAAGCTCTTACGACTTGATAGTCGTGCTGGTACGAGCTTGTGGCCGAATAAAGGGTGCCGTTAGTTAATTTCTCTACACCCAACGTCGATTTAAGCAGACGTCTTAAGTTAATAGTTTCCCAGATTCGGTAGGTCCTCTATGAGAACTGATAGAGTACACCAATTCGGGATCGTGCTCCTGCCAAATACTGCTAGAAGCAACTAAATAGTCAGCCTAATAAATAGCCCTACTGCTGCTCTCATAATGGGAGAGCTTTTTTTATAACACCAAGTCGTGCCTGGTGGTAAGACACACGCCTGTCCATAACAGTTGCAGTGCCACTCAGAGCTTTAAATCACAAAGATCTGAAGGGCATTGCCATTGCACCCGTCACCCTGAGACATAATTTGACAAGTCCCATAGTGCCTGTAATTTCACTAGCAATAGTTGTTCGTAAACGAACCAATCATTCCGTTCTTGGGCTTCTTCTTGGACTGTAGTTACGCAAATTTTAAGTTAACGGCAAATTTCTTCAGAATATTAAAATTTGATTTACTTGTGCACTGGCTAAATCTCATGTCGTTTTACAGGATTACAGAAAAAACAACTGCTTGGAGAAGTTGCCTTCAGCGAAATATAATGATAGAAATGAGACCTATTATAGTTGTACTTGTACTAAGTAGGTATATATTAAATATTGTTGTATTAAGACATAGACCAATAACTCTAGAGCACTGCTAATCTCCATACTACGGATCGTAACTCTGAAAAAGGTCAAAATTCCGTCTATCTAGATAGCGCTGATCCTGGAAGTAGTTTATGTAAATGACCGTGGATATCTATCAATTCCTCTTTAATATGAAATATTCCCTTTTTTCATTGTAGAAATTAAAAAATTGATCATGAATTCATGAGTTAAAATTATTTCCTAAACTTTGACAGATATGCGTGTCAATAGATGGCAGTGTTTTTTTTAAATATGAATGACTTTGCCTTCGCGTTTAGCCAATAAAAGAGTTGGAAAAGCAGAATTACTGGTTATGGAGGTACGGAATTTGGATAAAAAGAATATTATATATCGGCATACATATTAAAACTTGATATTATTATTTTCGGTAAATGAGGCCAATACATTATAAACATCTTTGTTACATAAATATAATAAACTTGTTATATAGGTGGGAAGTAGGACACTGATTACCAGTTATGAAAGTATAGTGGTCAATTGAGGGGCAGGAGAAAAAGGTATGGTTTGTTAAAAATTAATTTATAAATTAACGCTTCCTAACCATATTAGTTATGGGTAGATGGCGCTAATCCTAAACAAAATAGTATAACCGACTATCTACTATCTATATCCATATCCACTATCCTTAAAAATCTGTGCAATAAGCAACATCTAGTTGATTTGTTTGTTATCACTAGAAATTAGCTTTGATAAATTCATGAATAAATTGAATCTTGTCAATGTTAAACAAACTAGTTACAAAAATAGCAATTTGGTGGTTGTCGGTACTAAATACTCGATCTTTTTTAATACTATCAAGTGACGGGACTATGACTATGACGTCCTGTATCGCGATTGGCAGTCTTCTTGAGTTATTGGCTCATGATTAAGGTAACAAACAAGTACAAAATACAAAAAGTACACGACCGCCGTCGTGGCTACGATTCGAGTTAATATTTTTGGTATGGCTTTGTGGAAATAAAATAATAAAATTCAACAATCATTACACTACATTTTATTTTATACTACAATTCTTTATTATTTACAAAATATGCCTTTGTATTCTAAATGTTTACGAAACTTGTATAACGATTCTAATGAGAAACGTGATTTGTAATCATTCAAATTATAAATTACACTGTAATAGTCTCAAGTAGTCTGAAAACACTGTTAGCTTATCTATTAAACTATTAAATGATTTTTATAACAAAATAAATAGATCACATGAATCGAAAGAAAATTATTAAAATGTAAAGATTCTTTCGAATATACAAAGTGCATTTCTGTAGTATTCTTTGTAAAAATGATTTCAGAAAGGCGAAATTCAATTAATTATCCTAAAAATCTGCTACGTCTCCTTGAGTGTTGGGATCGTCTTTTAAAAACTCATATATGTAGATGGCTTTGCAAAATGTCAGCCTATATTAAAATACCGAGGAAGTTGTCACGTGACCATTTTAAGCAATGCCATTGCTAAGGGTGCCTTCAAATGAAGACGCTTGCGCTGTAGTAGCGCGGTCTGTAGCGCTTCAGTATTTTATATTTTAGTAATTTTGGCTGCCAAAGTAGCGCGCACGTCACGCCAGTGGCGTTCATAGATATAGGTGGCGTTGCAACTGTGCTTTTAAGGGCCAGCGCAAACCGACGGACTGGAAGGCAGATAAATGGCTTAAATTTAGCAATGTATCTTAGTACTATTTCAATTATAATAAGGTATAAATTACAATGCTCTTTATTATATACATTAACAAATTTAATGTCTTCTGCTTTGCCGTCCGCCGACTTGCGCTGGTCCTAAATATTGTATGAAAATTAGTGGCGCCGCTGCGGCACTTCTATAAGCTTACAAGTCTAATTATAGATTATAAGTCTAATTTGAAGGCGCCCTAAGAGAGGTGTCGTATTCATAATAAAGATTTGTACATTCTGAATTCGTCTGTGGAATAAGTAAAAAAGTTAAGAATTTTCGTTAGACCACAATTCTTGAAAAGCAGCGATATGTAAGAAATTTTAATACGTGACAGTATCGTATCAGTCAAGGAAACGTAGTAGGCAATGTTTACTTATATCTTTATAATATCATCGCATTCCCTATACGTGAGCTCCCTATCATTTACCGAAGAAATCATATTAAGAGTTCAAATGACTTCTTTCTTCTATTACCACCTGTGACAAAACTCTATATTTATTCATGGTTTCGAAGTTTTAGAAATACGATTTAGTGTACTATACAATCCAGTACCCTGCCATACTTCAAGTTAGCGACCTATTGCTGAGACACAGACTAACACACAACCGCACGTGTTTGATTGGAGATAAGCCACTAAAGCCGCATTCATAAAGGCAAGCTAATAAGTTGACACTCACATCTGTGCGGTGCGGACTCGTTTTTTTTTTATATAATACTAAGAGACGGGATCATCGAGCATATAACCAGAAATAGGGACAAACGTCATTTAATTTGTTTGAAAACTATTTTGCCATATCATTACGGTGACAACTGCGCTCCGATTGGCCAGTCCAAATTCGAAACAATTGACGGGTGTCGTCAATTGTTTCACTTTAAACGACCAGTTTAACTTGAGCTTTGCTATAATGGACGAAAATTTAAAAATTACATATTTAATATTTAATTACCGATGAAATGTAATTCCGGTTCTTTTGCAATTAGATGTTTTGCTGCTGTCCCACACCACCGAATGGAACAGCCCCCAATGGTAGAGATATTATCTTTATTACAATAAATACATAATATTTTTTTAATATACGAAGATGTACACACAGGTCAGTTGTTGGCGCTGCATTTCAGCTTTCTAGTTTGTGATTTCAGCGCAATTGATATTTAATAGTGATACAAGGCCCATTTACCTGATGAGTTGCCAGAGACGGATGGCCCTTATTTCGTCTCTATTTTTTGGTTATATACTCGATGGACGGGATGAACAAATCGTGTGCCTGATAAGCGACACGCCTATCCCTAACAGTTCCAGTGCCACTCAGAGTTTTAAATAACAATGTTGTTTCCTCGATCAAGAATTCCAGACGTTGAGTCTCATACGGCTAATTGTTTACACCTTCTGCTAATAACTGATCCAGATCGAAACTCAGTAGTAGATGCCCCATTGGGTACTTGCTGCTTATCTGCTGAAAGCTGTATCCGTAAACTCCCCACCCGTTCAGGGTTCTAGTGGTATAAGACGTGTGTGTATACAGGTTAGCAGATTGGGATGAAATATGCGAAATGTAATTTTTATGAAGTAGTTCGAAAAAGAGCAGGCTGTATACTAGGTCGCTAACTTAAATATAGTACAAGGAAATGTTTGTATATAAACGGCATTCATTTTTTACCTATTGCTGCGCATTCTAAATGGAAATTATTATTTAATGGTAGGATACATTTCGCATACTGCGGATTGGTATCGCAGAGGTCTATAAACGGCAAGTACCGCTTCCTATAATATACATTGCTCAATCATTATATAGAAAAGAGATGAAAAGGTAAATAGAGTGTCTAATAGGGCGATTGCTTCTGTTTAATGACGGCCTGTACGCACTTGGCCATGGTAGGGGAGGCGCGGCTGATCGGGTCCGTCATGAAGTAGTCCGCCAGGGTCTTCAACTGGACATCCAGCTTGCTTGATACTGGTTTTTGGAAACTCTGTGGAGATAACGTAAGCATTTTGAATTGTCGTAAGTTATGTTGGCCCAGAAGTTACAGTAGTTAGAAGTGCCATCAGACTTCTTTTGTTTCTTTCAAATATGGATCACGAAATCACGTAGAAAAGAACGTTTAATAACCTCAATACAGATTACTAAAAAAACCGACCTCAGAAGTTCGTGGAATGACGTTTATTTGCCAAGTTAAGTCAAGACATTCCATCAAAATTTTTATTACGTCACAAAAATAGATTAATGATTCCAATGTCAAGATTAACTCTACATTCCTCTAGCCCACGTGTCATGGCGATAAAAATTTATAATCAACTACCTGATGCACTGAAAAACGAAACTAATTATAGAATATATTTTTTGAAACTAAAAGAATTATTAATAAATAAATTCTATTATGATATTAAAGAATTTTTGAACGGAACTCTTTAACAAAAGGTTTTTGCATTTGGAAACAGCCCTTCTGTTTTGTTGTGCCCGAAAGGGTCCATGATGTGTGAACTTACTATTACATAACACCTTGTATACCATTGTGGAACGCAAATAAAGATATTGTATTGTATTGTAAGTTTTATTGAAATTGGTTACCGGAAAGTGCGCGAAATCGGATTCATTTTTTGGTTTGCCACCCTTAGTGGTAGGATATTTTCTTCAAATTTAAATGGGACCAATACTGGGGTGCCCTCTTTCCAGCAAAAAAGAATCATCAAAATCGGTTCACTAATCGAGTTATCGCGTAACATACTTAAAATAATCTCAGTACAGAGTACAAAAAAACCCGACCTCAAAAGTACGTGGAATTGCATCTATTTGCCAAGTTTTATTGAAATATCCCCTAGTTCGCCACTATACAGGACTTGACACGGGAGATAATAAAAATCGGTTCTCACTACTCAAATATATTGAGCGCGAAAAACGCCTTGATTTGGAGAATAGCAAAACACACTATTAAAATAATTGCTCCTTAAGTAAAATTTAGGCGCTATTTATAAAATTGAATGTTCATGCGTGATCAGCTAGCTACCTTTAGAGGTGGATGATTTTCTTCAAAATGAAATGGGACCACTTTGGAGGTACCGTCTTTCCAACAAAAAAGAATCATGAAAATCGGTTCACAAATACCGGAGTTATCGCGTAACATATATACAAAAAAAAACATACAGTCGAATTGAGAACCTCCTCCTGTTTTTTGAAGTCGGTTAAAAACCAAAAATAGAACATTGTATTTTTTATATTCATTCTCTTTGTTCTCACTGCCATAATATTCATGTTTTTTTGTGAAAATACTCCACAAATTTGTTATTATGAAGTTACAAAGATGGAACACAAATAAAGATTCCTTCGGTCTGACTGGACTCGAACCAGCGCCTGTTGCCACACCCTCATAAGTTTCTCACAGGTGCGGGTGGCACTAACGGCAAAAAACCGTTTCAAACCAATACAAAGATCTGCAACAGGCACAGAGAAATTTGTAAGATATCGACTGTGAACTGGCAACCGGTACTATCTCAATTTTGACAACTTTACATTGACTGTAAAGGTGAAGAAAAAAATTGTTTGCGTCATTTATATAACATCTGGTTTATTAAATAAAAATATGTAGTGTATGTGTAATAGAAATATAATATTTAAAAACTTCGTATTTTGAATTAAATTTTTATTGAATTGATATTCAATTATTTTTTGTGAAATTACTCCACTAGTTTGTTATAATTATTAATACAAAGATCGAACACTCAGAAAAAATTCCTTCGATCCGGTCGGATTCGAACCGACGTCTTCTTGCATACCGTGCCAGACGCTATACCAACTAAGCCACGAATTTTAATTCGTATTTTTATTTAATAAATCAGATGCTATATAAATGACGCAAAACAATTTTTTTCTTCACCTGTAAAGTCAATGTAAAGTTGTCAAAATGGAGATAGTACCGGTTGCCAGTTCACAGTCGATATGCTGACTTGGTCTGTAACTCAGTCGGCAAGAGCGGTGGCCCCGGTATGGCAACAGACGCTGGTTCGAGTTCAATCAGATCGAAGGAACTTTTCTTTCACTTTTTCAAATACCAGTATTATGAGGATTTAGAAGGAAAGTGATTTCTTTGATTTTGGTACTTTACCACTGATACCATCCCCAAAAACTTAGCTGATAGGCACTTTTGTTATATATACCTGTGCAAGTTGCGTGGCCTGCGCGAAGTAGTTGTTATCCGGCACCTCACCATAGGCCACGAGCGCAGGGCTCAGCTCTGCCAGGCGACCCCGCACCTCATCCAAATTGTCATACGGCAGGGGTGTGCCCACCACTTCCGATAGAGCTCTGAAACAAATGTTTCATTGTTAACTAGGTGGAGCCTGCGGCTTCGTCGGCGTAGAATAAGTACTTCGAGTGCTACTTATTTGAGCAATAATTGGTTCTCCATACAAACGTTCATACCCTATTTCACTCATTTAAGATTTATTTTTGTGAGGAAAAATAGTTTAAATCCTTCTCCTATATAGGTCGTTCTTCTCGTAGGTCAAAATTCATCAAAATTGGTTTAGCGGTATAAGCGTGAAAATTTTACAGAGTTACTCTCACACTCATAATATTAGTTGGATAACATTGACTTACAATTGTATGGACGTCGGGTCCGCGCTAAAAAGTGTCCGAACTTATAGGTCGTTAAAATCGTATACAGAGACGTCATTCACGCTTTAGTCTTCGTTTATTCGACTGACAGCGAAGCAAGTAAAATTAGACAGTACTGCGATGACATTACAATTTAAATGTAAGTTAAATGTGTGTGTCCAAGGCACCCGCGACCCAGGGTTTCCCTAGTGCGGGGCTATGAGTGTGTTGCGTTATTGTTATTATTAACTTCATACCACGGTTTCGACTTCACGCATTAACTGCATGCAGCTAATCTTGGCTGCGTGAAGTCGGTTTCGACTGCATGCAGTTAATGCGTGAAGTCGTTAGCAATTCATGCAGTCGAGGTCTCGGCTGCATGAAGTTAATTACGACATCACGCATTAACTGCAAAGATACAGTCAATCTGTTAGCAGCCTAAGACAAAAATAGGAAGAACAACGATTATAGTGTTATTTAGAGGTTCATAAAAATCTTCGTCCGAAGAGCCTATCCTGTATAAGGTCACATGATACACTGAACTACTTAAAAAATTTACTTAATTTTTATTATTTATTTACATTCCACTGTGATCGCTCGATGTGCTGAGGTTCCGAATTCGATATCCGGTGGGATCAATTTGGGAAATGACTTTCCGAAATTGGACGCAAACTAGAAGTAGTTTGAGTATTCCGAGTAGATAAAAAAGATTACCGGATGATCTTCCAGTCCTCTCTGGCCTTGCCGGGTGGCGTAACAGCGGGTAGCGTCTGCTGTGCACGGCCCTCGGCATTCACGTACGTCGCACGTTTCTCCGTGTACGCCACGCCCGGCAAGACGATATCCGCCATGGCCGCACCCGCATCGCCGTGGTGGCCTGATTCAAGAATACATCTCAAAATATATAACAACCATAACTGCGCTATTAGGTATTACACCAGGTTGGTACCTAGTGTAAGACATAGGCAAAGCTATTGACTACTTTTATTACATTTTTACATCTATTCTACTACGTTCAACTACAAGGTCAACCAGTTGAACTAATAGGACAAAAATGTGCCAATTAGTTCAACAATGTGTTTTTACACTTGGAAGTTATTGGACGGAATTCATCCTATTAGTTAAAAATACGTCTTTAATGAAAGGAATGAATGATTTTTGGCGTTTGTGACTGTAGTTGCGCTTGTGTTGTTATTTTATTAATTTTTATTCTGATATTCAACTCAAGCGCAGCTATTTTGCACGATATAATCGTTACTAGGTTCGCGGAATTTATTAATTTACTTCAATTTTTATTAAGAGTATACTACCTCAGCTGGAATTCAAACTTATCCCATACTAATACGGTTCATTTTGCTTGGGTCGAGCGGCAGGGACATTGACGGTATTTCACAATTCACTTTTTACAAACGAAATTAAAGCCATTTGAAAAATGTAATAAGTATAGTATACGTGTTCTATTCAGTTCAATTGATATTTAATAATCACTGGTATATATAAAGTAACCATTGAATACAGAGGATTTCTTGTAAAATTTCGAGGTAAGTTTGTTTATTTTTCTATCGTGAAAATTTTTACACACCATATAGTAATCATTGTATATCCATAATTTTACTATATATTTTTTCCAAGGTGGTTGCTTCAACACTTTCACTGTTGTGCAGAATCAACCAAAGCCATTTGAGGTTGTATAGTATTTATACTCTTAAACAGCAGAACAAAATGATAATGGGCCGTAGTCTCTAGTTGCCGGTCTGAATGACAATTTCAAATTCTATTTCATCAGCGATCACGTAAAAAAAGAATACGCCTTTATACATAAAGCAAATGTAACGATTTTGCGCAAAAACCTTCAATTATATTTATGAATTTAACGACGTTTTAACTTTATGGCAATGGTGGCAAAGTGACTTAAAGGCATCCGCTAATATCTCTAGTTTGCTTTGGCGCAAGTAGCAATAATGAAATTCGATTTTGACTCAGTCGATCTAGGTATTTCACACGAATGTCAATAAAGTCACTAACCTTGATAAATAACAATAGTGTCTTTAGGCAGTGACTCGCGCGTAACGACGCCACTATCTGCGCCCAATAGGTACACAACTTTGGGTCCCGCTTGAAGGAGTTTACCCACACCAGGTTTGTAGCCGATATCAAGAGCTGCTACTTGAGAAGCTGTACGTTGCAGGATGTTTAGTACCTGGTATAAAAAGCAATGCATTAAAAATAATTTGAGGCACTAACGAGTGACCAATTAACAGCGAACGTCTATTACTATGCCTGTTTTGAGATTTGTTTTAAGATAGATAAAAATCCCTTAATAGCAAAGAAATTGCAACTTAGCAATATTCAGGGTTATTTTTAAAATACTAACAATCTAACATCGTAAACAACAACTTTTGTAACATCAAATTTTACTTTCATACAAAAATAAATAGATTTAAATAGGCCACTCTAAACGGTAATAACTCTGTACAGAACGGGGGTGGGAGTCGTCGCGGAGGACGCTTGCACGTTTGAACTTATTCTACCATATACAGATCTAAAAAGTGTCAGATAGTACAACGAAAACTTAAAAGTCTACTTTTATGTTTTGTAAAAAGTCATGGAACAAAAGTTTTTGTTTATGATGTTAGTTATATAGTCCTGTGAGGTTGTTAGCATTTTAAAAATAACCCTGAATATAGCACACAAACAGAACAAATCAGATACAAAAAAAATACATTTAATGTTGGGTGGTTTCAATCTGTTTTGTCGGAGCCAATATGTAGTGCCGCGTGTTATGTATCCAGATTTGAACATAACACACATACCTAAAACGTCAGGTCAATGCACTTGCATTCGCGCACCCCGGAACTCGCGTCCCGTGCATTGCAACGTGACCGATGCAAAACTCATCATTTTAATTATAATTATGAGACACTTTTCGGCCCAACGTTCCTAACATCAGACGTAGACTAAATTCCTTTAGATAAGATCTTTTTTGTATAAGTACTTTTAGACATAACGTACCTAACTTCGGACGTTCTCAAAATTATTTAGTTTACCTTTAAGAAATACATTTGTCGAAATTTAATATAGTTTATTCATCATATTTTCTGTCTTTACTTCATCTCCACTGCGGCCACCCTATATAAATCGCGAAGATTTTGTATACATGCTTGGATAGGTAGTATTTTGATTATCTGTCTGGATTTTATTAAGTGTTTTCTTGAGGTATTGTTTTTGTTTAACAACGATCAAAGCCCCTAAATAAATAAAGAATAAAAAAATCTGTAATTAATTTAAAAGTTCATAATAGTAAGTAAAAAGCAAGATCTTATTTATAAAATAAAATTATTTATGTATGGAAAATATTTTCAATTCCTCGTCATTCTATTCTTCAGTAACCTGTTCACGTACCTTCCATTCCTTATCCTGCAAGTTGTTCTGCAGTTTAAATGCGAGCTCCTGCGTGTAGGCCAACAGGGCAGCTCCGTCCGCAGTCTTCAATTGATCAGCACCGAGGATCACCACGGGTCTTTTTGCCGCCTGCAATCTCTTTGCCACTTCGTGGGATGATGAACCACTTGCTAGGTCTTTTACTATTGATGCCGAGTCGCCGGCGTGCTGTTTTAGAGACATTCATTTTGTTTTACTCACTTTTGCCTATCCAGGTACAGGCCATGAAATACCTAACATCTCATAGCCGAGCTTTTGGTTCTGAGACTTTATACCCAAAAAAAGTTATTATAGTGTTCACCATCATCATCAACCCATTTATATGTTCCACTGCTGCGTAGGGGTCTCCTCCCCCGCCGGCCCAATGCGGGTTGGAGACTTCACACGTTTTCAGAAGATTGTGAACCTTCTTCGAATTGCAGGTTTCATCACGATATTTTTCTTCACGGAAAAGCTCATGGTAAATTTTGCGCATAAATTTCAAACAACTCAGAGGTAATAATAATAGCGCACACACTCAACGCCCCGCACTAGGGAAACCCTGTATCGCGGTTGCCATGGACACATACGATGTGCAAATCACACACAAACTCACGGAAGAAATAAATGTAGGCCATACAAATATTTCTCCCGGCCCGGGAATCGAATCCGGAACCTCTGCGTGGCAGACCAGTATGGTAACCGTTCGGCCACGGAGGCAGTTTCAGCGGTGTGATCCCGGATTCGAACTTCCGGCCTCTGCTTGAGAGGCCGTAGGCCAAACGATTAGGCTACCGCGGCTTTTTATTACATTTATAAATATAAATGTTGTGTTCAATTTCGAAAACACTTGAAACTGGTGTATTAAATATACCTGCCATAGTATTCATAAATATGTATTATCTTACTTGCAAAAAGGATAATAGACAAACTTACAATGTAGTCGTAGGTGAGATCGACTTTAGGTCCAATGAGCGCTACGTCGGTATCGTGATGGATGAAGGCCTTCCGTATGCGCGCGTTGAGCAGCGGCGCCTCGAACCGCACGTTCGTGCCGATCAGAAGCACGAAGTCTGCTTCCTCCACGTCTACACATCAATCAACATAACACTCAACATTGACGCGATATCACCGTAGCAGTCGTCCAACGGCAATACGGAAAATTATCTTATTACATCATCGTCTGTGAGAGACCTGAGTGGGCGCGACACCTGCACAGACGCGTAAAGACCGGCGACCAACGCAATTATCAAAGAAACAACCCAAGGTCAGTCCGTAGTAGCGAGGCGTCCATATAACACGATTCCCACCGGCTCGACTAAAATTGTCTGCGTATTACCAATAAATTGTACTAAACAACGCGCATACCACACCACTTAAAAAACATATTCAAAAACATTCACTATTAAACGCGTAATAACATGTCCCGATGCATTTGTCATAGCATGGTTATTCACGCCCTTTTCCCGTCGGGTTAGGCAGAGACAACAACCTTCCACTTTCTACGGTCTTCATAATGATCTTTCATAATAATCAATGGTCGGAATATTAAGTTCCAAATTAATAGATAAATGTACAATACAGGCGCCAGAGGTCATACCTGAGATGAGTTAAAACAAGCTTTTGCCTGTAGCTCATAAAAACAATTACTTTGATGAATTTAGGTTAGTTATCTACTACAATTTTTTTACATGACGCTAAAAAATCCAACTTCAGCTTCCTAGGTGAGTAGTTTCATCTTACGATGCAATAAAACTGTTTCCGGAAGTCTGGAATTCGAAAGAACTGTATAATTAATATTTGATAGCTTTAACCACTCTATGTCACTCCTTGTGTCTACAAGGTTATTTGTAAATTACTAATAAGTTCGCAGGACTATATAACTTACATCATAAACAACAACTTTTGTTCCATGACTTTTTACAAAACATAATAAATTTAGGAAATGAAACTATTTTTCCGAATTTAAATCGCGTATATATGTTTTTTCAAACAAACTGACATTTCGGGCCCTTTACAGGTCCCATGGTCACGGTTGACTGAGGTGGTACAGTCTTCAACCAGTTATGTCTAATATTAATGCAAACCACCCTATTTTTTCACTATATTTACAATAGTTATTAATTTATATACCTTGTTTTTAATTTTACAAAGAAAACATTCCAATTTACGCTACATTAAGTTTTACAAATTATTTTATTGCATGAATTTTTATTAAGTTCAATTTATTATTAATTAATAATAGAAATTAGAAAAAACTAAAACATATTAATGAGAGTGGCCTTCCCGGCGACCCCCACCCGTGCTCCTGCGATTGCACAGAGTTGTAACATTTAGAGCATAGTTTTCCAAAAGTGGTCCCTTCCACCTACCCAATGGGCGCTGAAAAGTCTTAGGGGAGCGGTAGGGGTCTCGGAAACAATTGAGGGGCGTTGATGCTGTCCAGAAAGTGCTACTGCATTTGAAAAAAAAACCTGAATTATTTATATGTATTTTCCTTATGATTTTTGGTGTTACGTTAGTATAAAAAATACGTGTGTACAATTCTCTTTTGTGGTGGTGGGAGTTGACATTTTTTTATCTTGCCTAAATGAGCGGAACCAAAAAATTTGGGAACCTTGATTTAGAGCGATCTATTTACATAAGTTTATTTTACTATGAAAGTAAAATATGATGAATTATTAAAAGTCGTGAATTCAAAGTTGTTGTACAAATAATCCAGTAGACACAAGGAGTCACATAGAGTGGTTTAAACCATCAAATATTAATTAGTCACTTGTTTCGAATTCCAACCTTCCTGAAATAGTTTTACTGCATCGTAAGATAAACTACTGACCTAGGAAGCTGACGGTGGATTTTAAAGTAATTCCAGTAGGGCCATGTCAAAAATTGTAGTAGATAACTAACGATTCATCAAAGTAATTGGTTTTTTACAAACTACAAGCAAAACCTTCTTAATCTTAGGTACGACCTCTGACGCCTATATTGGTAACACTGAGCGAAGGAAAATAGTTTGATATTGCAGAATGCAAAAATTAAAAAAAAAACAGTCACGCACCAGTGCCGAATTCTAAGTTCATAACGTAAAAAGTCAATCATGGTACTTTCATTGTCTACTCACTGGCAATTTTGGTGTTAAGCAAGTATGATGAGCGCAAGTCGGTGCCGGACCCCTCGAGCGGGAAGTACTGCTCGGTGCAGGTGTTCTCGGAGCCCAGGCGGTTCACTAGGTCCTTCAGCGCCGCGAGGGCCTCCGCGTCCACCAGATCCCCGGCCACAGCCAGCAGCTAGGACCACACATGGTAACTCTTCATTACGTATGATTATTTTGCACCTTTAATGTAATAAAGTTCATCCGCAAAATGTGAACTTTTCAGGAGAGAGGTTTATTATAGGTATTTCTACCGCGTGTCCTTTTTACCGAAATACCACAACTGAATGATTTTTCTACGACTTTTTTAAAGTAAGGAAATTTTCCCGATTTTTTCAACAATCCAAGTTGGTTTTTTTTATGTCTTACAAGGATTCCCTATTACTCAAACGTCGATCGACATGTAAAAATTTATTTTGGGAAATACTCACGTGTTCAAAAACTTACCGTTTTAGGGGATTCCGTCTACATAAATTACACTTATTTTCTTATATATATGAAATACATTTATTTTCTTAAATTTGATTGAAACGGTTGGTTGTTAATTTGGTGTTCTCTCAATGAAAATGGTACGTAAGCCTGCTTAACTGTTAATAGTTTTAATACTATCATTAGTGAGTAATATAGATTTGTTCAAATTATTGTTTTTTTTATTTACCGATTTTTTGCCCAAATCTACCGATTTTACTTGGCAACCCTATCGATTTTGCATTTTGACTTTCGAGACCACTGATCGCGCTGATCGTCAGTGCGAACCAGTGTACCATGCGCGTCGGATGTATGCTTCTGTAGTATGGCTGATGTCATTACAGGTTCAAGAGCATAACTACCTTATCATAATTATATATATAGACATAACTACCAAATACCTTATCGGGTGGGCAGTCCCGTAAAGCGCGTGCTGCAGCGACCATGGCGTCCTCCCACTCCACTGGCGTAAGGTTCCCGCGGCTGTCCAGCAACATCGGTGTCACTAATCGTTGCCGCTTCAGACCGTCGCAGGCAAACCTCGATTTGTCAGCTAGCCATTCCTCGTTGATACCCTGCAAAAAATGCAATTTAGTAACGAACTTTAAGACACTAAGCGTCAAATCAATCATGTGACGGGACGAACAAGTCGTGCGCCTGATTTAAAGCTACACGCCTGTCCATAATAGACAATAAAATAAAAAAATAATAATAAATAAATTAACAAGGGAAGATTATAACACTATGCAAAAAGGAAATAACATTAAGGGAATGAAGAGAAAAAACCAGTAATATTTAGTAGCAATGTCTTGTTACCAATTCAGTGAGAAATCATAAATCCATATAACTTACACCAACCGACATAAAGGCGAAACTAAAACGCAGGTTCTAATCACTTGAAATTTAGCTTTGCTATAAGAGCTATACACGAGCGTTGCAAATCCTAAATGATGTTGCTGACAGAACGGACTTATTTTCATGTACTCTGTGTGAATTCACAAGGATAACACTATACGTTATTTGCTATGTACATGTTTAGCAATAATTTTAGCGAGTAGTTGATTTCTTTTTTATTTTTATTTTTTATTATGGATTTAATGTAAGAATCTACATATGAATTTGTACACTATCGCAATGGTTATAACTGCAATGGTAGATGTAAAGTTTTAAATAATGAATAAATACATATAATATAATTTTAAATGTCGCAATATTACAGGGAAGCAGATTTTCGTATTTTTTTATATAACATAAGTGCACATTTGACCTCATCATCCTCTCACCTGATGGTAAGTGACGATGAGGTCGATGATGAGCATACTGTCCTAAATTTCGTCCAAAAGGACCTTTACTTTATATATATTTTAACATACAACAAAACATTTTTTATATAATTATAGTAGCAGTAGAACTCCTAGAGAAAGAGTTCATCCAGGGAAGTACAGCTATTTGTCCAATTTCTGCCGCCAAGCAGTAATGTGAGCATTACTGCGTTTCGGTTTGGAAGGGTCAGGGTGGTAAAATTAGCTGTAATTTCACCACATGAAACTTGTCAACTTATCTGTCTGTCTGTGTCTGTTACAATTTAACTTACCTCGTTGGTTCTTGGAAGAATACGCAATACTTCATTGGTGCGCGTTGTAACCACGATGTTGCTACCCAATGGATCGAGGACGTCCACAGAATCGATCTAAAAATAAGTATGATATAAACGGAACTTAAAAACTCGATATAAATTAATCAATAAATAATTATAGGAAATGAAACTATTTTTCCGGATTTAAATCGCGTATATTTGTTTTTTCAAACAAACCGACGTTTCGGGCCCTTTGCAGGTCCCATGGTCACGGTTGACTGAGGTGGTACAGTGTTCAACCAGTTAAGTCTAATATTAATGCACGCGACAGTCGCGTAAACAAGTCTGCAGTCTGTGAGCATGTCATGGATAAACCTACACATTCAATAAAGTTTGACAAACCCCAGGCCCTTGCAAAAGAAGTCCGTTATCTACCCAGGATGCTGCGAGAGGCCATTGAAATTAAAAAACATCCTAATTTCAACAGGGAAGATTGTTTCTCCGTACCACCAGTTTGGGATCCAGTATTTCCTCTAATGAAAAATCCCAAACAGACATAAGACTGCAGTACTAATTAATATGTTTTAGTTTATTCTAATTTCTATTAATAATTAATAATAAATTAAACTTAATAAAAATTCATTCAATAAAATAATTTGTAAAACTTAATGTAGCGTAAATTGGATTGTTTTCTTTGTAAAATTAAAAATAAGATATTTAATTAATAACTATTGTAACTATAGTGAAAAAATAGGGTGGTTTGCATTAATATTAGACATAACTGGTTGAAGACTGTACCACATCAGTCAACCGTGACCATGGGACCTGTAAAGGGCCCGAAACGTCGGTTTGTTTGAAAAAACAAATATACGCGATTTAAATCCGGAAAAATAGTTTCATTTCCTATGTGTAACAATCGCGAAAACCTAAGAACTCAATAAATAATTATGTTTTTCATAAAAACATCCAGTATGCACATGCAGCGCTATTATTGAGCATGAATGCTATTTTTTATTACCATTAATTTTACCCCTGATGTTTATGAAATATTTCACTTTGTTACATGCCTCCTGTCTAACATTCAGGACAGAATTTGACATGTCCCTCTAATAATCACTGAAGATATTCGTGAAAAATACATCACAGGACCACATGTATTAGAGCACACGCAAAATAGGTGCCTTAACGTCGAGTTGCGGACACCAGCCCGTTATACCAAGTACCAAAATGTATTAGAGCAGAACTAATAAATATATTTTTTTAAATATCAATGTAACAATTATGAAGTTCCCTTCTTAACCCCCAGAATTAATACCAAACATTGGGTTACAATCTTATATTTTCATATAAAGGATAATAACACTAGCTTGAGTCGGATTGAGAGTATGGATCACTGAATTGCATACGTTACTATACTCTTAAATCAATTTTAACTTAAAGAAAAATAAATATTAAGCGCCAGTGGCAGTATAAAACGGCTGCCACTCCGTTATTATAAAGTAGCAGTCAGCAGAAACGGCATAATTCCATTAGGATAATTTTTTGAATATATTTATAAATATTTAAGAGAAGGATGGCGAAAGCTGACCCAAAATCAACGAAGTGCCGTTCATGGACTTTACTAGTATAATTTTACGTTTCAGTTTATGCCTAGGTATTAATGCATTATATATATAAAGCTACAAGTTCTTACTCACTGATAGAAACCACCACGCATACTTCCCGATTTGGTGGAAAAAAGATATTTATACCGTTTACGCGGATAGATTCCAAAGCAAAGAATCAAATATGAGAAGAATGTGGAAAATGTAAACGAGTGATCAACGGCCTGCAAAAACTATAATACATGGGGGGATTTCTGTGCATTTTTATGAGATCCTGGTCAATTTCCGCGAGAAGTAAAAAACGTTCGAAATTTAAATAAACAAGATGGCCGCCATACAAATTTCAAAGCCTCCTATCACGGAAACTATTAGAGATAGGTAGGAGGTGCTCGAAGGAATGTCATAGAGGGTAACACTGGTCGACTGCCTGGGTTAAAAAAAAATTGAAAATGGCGATTTCAAAATGGCGGCCGAAGAAAAACTTGCTTCGATCGGGCTGAAAATTGGCATGCAAGGGTCTATAGGAGTCCTTAATTTGGGGTCAAAATTTATTTTTCGCCATTTTTTTAATATGGCTGCCATACAAACTTGTTGGCGGCAGATGGAAATTTGCTCTAATTCAGCTGAAAATCGGCATGGGGGGATCTCTATGGGTGTTTAATAATAATTTGCAGTCAAAATTTACTTTTTACTTTTTACGGCCGTAGACCGAGGTGTAGCGGAGGGCGAAGCCTGAAGCATCCGCACGCCACCTTACGTAGGTAGTATACGGAGACTCTATTACGGTACAAGATTTCACAATTGTTCAAAATGTAAGGCATACTTCCCGATGTAGTGGAAATAAGATACTTATAGCGTTGTTGTATCTCGACCGTCTCTCTGTTAGATTCTTTTTTCTTGGCTATGCCAAAAAGAAAAGTTTAAGGAAAAAATGCCAGACAATCACTCCAAATTTCTGATTTCAAAGTAGGGAATATCCTGGACTGTGAGTACCACAGTAACGATAATTCTGAGGGCAATACCCATAATACCGTGACCAGAACCAATTTAAAAATATTTTTTGATTCAAATAACCACAATACAACAGCATAACCACACCCCGTAATCTAAAACAGGCCGAGCCCGACCCCACCGTAAGTGGGATATAGGGCTCGTTTTGTATATTTTTAGAAGTCGGGAAAAAAAAATTGCGAACAATGTATTTTAGGATGGATGCAACAATACAACGCAATTGATTTAATTCGACCATAGATTAGGTAACGTTCTGTATAGTGGATACAATTAGTATACAAACACAAGTAGTATGATACAAATAGTGGATATTTAAGTGAGGGCACCGACTTTACGTACGTTTCATTTTAAGCATGATTTAATGTTTATCTCCCTAACGTATTGGTTATTTTATAGTACACACATAAAATATTAAAGCCATAAAATACCTAATCAAATAATCAATTAAACAATAATAACATAAAGTAAAAAATAAAACACAATGTGACAAAAATGTTTAGAAAATATTTAAACGAGATACGAAAGTTAGCAAAAGAACTTTTTGACAAAAGGCCTTTTGCCAATGTCAATGTCACTTTGAGATTGAGAACAGTGTGCCCATTTGTGGCAGATTTCTGACAATTGCGCAGATTTAATTTTTATTCATTTCCATTGCATATTGACAGAACGTGTTAACATTGTACTAAATGTGGCAGAGTTTGGCAGATTTAAGAATATTCAGCAAATTCTTTATTATTTTTAGGAACAAACTGAAAACTTGTTGTTTTCTGCTACTACAAACATACATCTGAACCGAAGTACAGGACAACATTATAAACATAAGGTTATCAAGTTTATAACCCCCAGCTTCTACAGGCTGTACTCAATTAGCTTTTTTGGTGCTTTGATAAAGATTCACAAGTATTGATAGGTTTCATTAATGCACGTCATCCAAAAAAAAAATTCTGGGTCACAAAATACATGGGATGTTGCCATCGTTCTTTAGAAGTAACAGATACACAAACTTTGGGGTGCACAAAAGGGCTCTCCGCACAATGTACAATTCCTTTCCAACATGTCTGGCACCCTCGGCAAGAATCGGTAAGTACCTTACGCCAATCGATAAATCAATTCACCATGGTGGCAAGCATTGTAGCCATTGACTTACAAATAAATGGACGACGGGTCTAACACAAAAACCACGAAAAAAATGTCACAAGTCAACCTATTTAAACATAGTGACATGTAAAGAAATATGAAAAAGCTAAAACGTTGAATTTAAATTGTAATGTCATCGCAGTACTGTCTAATTTTGCTTGCTTTGCTGTCAGTCGAACAAACGAAGACTAAAGCGTGAATGACGCTCTGTATACGATTTTAACGCCCTATAAGTTCGGACACTTTTTAGCGCGGACCCGACGTCCATATAATTGTAAGTCAATGATTGTAGCACAAGCCATCGTGAATCGACGTGATAAGACAGACATAGAAAGTGTCAAGTTCTAACTTTAACCACACAATAAGATTTACCAGATATTATGCCAGAGCAGATTAGAGGTGGGCGTTTAAACGAAAAACACTTAAAAAGTTTGCTTTCTAAAATAAGCACATAAGCATGCTTTTAAAATTTAAGCGAAAACGTTAACAACGTGCTTATGTCTCAAGTCCCGCCATCTATGTTTCCTAAACAAATTAATTCATCAATGTGAATAATAATTTTACAAATAAAAACAAAAGTCGTGTTTTACGAATAAACTAACTTATCTTAAAACCGTTAGTGGTCTACTCTTGCTTTTCGCTAACAACGTTACAAGCTTTTTTGACATAACAGTGTTTAAACTATGTGTTTAAACGATTTTGTAAGCTTCAAACTAAAAAGCTTTGAAATGAAAAGCGTTTAAAAAAGCACGCTAAAAAAACGAGTAATACTAATAATCTCCAACATACCCTTCTAGTCTCCCAAGGCCTGGCTGCAAAACTGTAAGGCTTGGAAGTGAGCGCACCAACTGGGCATAAGTCGATAATGTTGCCTGACAACTCTGACAAGAACATCTTCTCCACATATGTGCCAACCTTTAAGAAGAAAATGTTATACATTTTCTTTGTATATTTTACTAACTATTAACAGAAGAAAACATAAAGTGTTTAGGCTGTGGTTTTACAGCCTAAAAAAAATGTTGAAAATCACCTGCATGCTACTGCCTCTACCTGTAGTTCCGAAATCATCAATACCAGCAATCTCTGAAGCAAAACGAATGCACCGCGTGCAGTGTATGCAACGAGTCATTATTGTCTTGATCAAAGGACCAATGTCTTTGTCTTCTACAGCTCTGTAAATTAAAAAAAAAACAAAATAAAATATAATATACAAAATAAAATAGTTTCGTTCCGTTGCTTAGTTGGTATAGCGTCTGCCACGGTAAGCTAGAAGACGTCGGTTCAAATCTGGCCGGATCGAAGGAATTTTTTCTGAGTGTTCGATCTTTGTATTAATAATTATAACAAACTAGTGGAATAATTTCACAAAAAAAATTGAATATCAATTGAATAAAAATTTCAAATACATTGAATAGTGACATCTCTGGCCAGGACTGGTAACTGTAAAGATGTCTAACTGGGTGATAAAACATTCATAGATTTCTCATAGATGGCGCTACGACTAAAAAGTCGGTGAAAAAACCAAATTCACAATAAATTAATTAAATATTACTTTTTTATTAAAATAATAATGTTGATACAAGTTGTTCTATACAGTGTTGGAATAAAAGTGACATTACAAATATGGCAATCATTTCTAAATCCAAAATGGCGGGCATGATTTTACAAATAAATGGGAGTGGAGAGTAAGTGGAGAGTCGGTGTGAAGTCGGTGTGGCGTGAGTGGGGAGTGCGTGGGAAGTGAGTGGGGAGTGAGTGGGGAGTGAGTGGGTAGTGAGTGGGGAGTGAGTGGGGAGTGAATGAGGAGTGAGTGAGTGAGTGCCTCCGTGGTCAAATATAGCATGGACAATATAGTATTTGGGGTGCTCTCGTAATGAATATGGCACTCCTTTCTAAATCCAGGATGGCGGGCACGACTTTTCTACTTATGGCAAGTTGGGTATTGTTTTCGAGGTATTTGGGGGTGCTAATTACGAATATAAAATTTATTTCTAAATCCAAGATGGTTCCCTACTCACTCCCGCTCACTCCCCACTAACTCCCCAATCATTCCCCGCTCACTCCCCACTCCCAGTTATTTGAAAAATCGTGCCCGCCTTCTTGGATTTAGAAATGAGTGCCATGTTCGTTATGAGAGCACCCCAAATACTTTATTGCCCATGCTATATTCGGCAATGGAGGTACTCGCTAACTCCTCACTCACTCCCTCCCCAGTCACTCCCCACTAACTACCACTCACTCCCCACGCATTCCCGACGGACTCCCCACTCACTCACTCGCCCTATATATTTATCATAATTGTCAGATTTAATTGTTAATTGTCAATCAAAAACATTGTAAAGATTGAAAATTGATCAATTGTTAATTGTAGATATACGCTATTAACAATTGATTAATTGTTAGTTGCGAGAACAGCAATTATCAATTAATCAATTGTTGTCAATTAATTGCCTGAACAATTAAATTTTGCCTAACCCTGGTTCTATAAAATAATGAACAAGAAAAAAACATTTGTATTATTGTTGTACATAAACTAGTTATAAACAATACAATTCTCCTTGTGCATTCCTCCCCTAAAAAGAAATGAAAAGAATAATATACATCAAAAACATAAATAAGGCCTCACCTTTTTCCATCATAGTGAATAGCAGTAAATCTACTTTTATCAGAACCAAAAGCCATAGACTGGTCCTGGAGATCACACTCTCCTCCCTGGTCACAAATTGGGCAGTCAAGTGGATGATTTATTAGAAGAAACTCCATCACACCTTCCCTCGCCTTCCTTGTCAAGTCTGAGTTAGTCTTGACACGCATGCCTTTCATTACAGGCATAGCACAAGCTGCTACAGGTTTTGGAGACTTCTCAACCTCCACTAGACACATTCTGCAATTGCCAGCAACGGCGAGACGTTCATGGTAACAGAATCGGGGGATTTCTACTCCGACTAATGCTGCTGCCTAAAAAGGAAAAAATATTTAAGAATCAACACAAAGCTCAATCAAGGGCCGGTCAAGGCAATTTTTTTGCTATGCCAAACAAAACACTCTCTCTACAGAGTTTCAATACACCTACCACCAGAGCGGTTGACGTTTTCAATGAGTTCCTTACTCTTGACCAGGTTGCTGATGTGTTTGTGGACAGGTGGTCACAACTCATAGCCGTAAATTTATATTGTAAATTTATGTTATTAGCTATGTAGCTATTTAGAATACAAATTGTTGTTACTATACATATTTTGTGTTTCACACTTTAATTATTCTAATTATTATTATTACTATTTATAATCAATGTGGTAATCCAGTATTTTGCTGGGTATGTTGGTCCAGCAGTAAGTCTGCAAGAATTTTTTTATAAGTACTTAAATAAAAAATTTAAAAAAATTTAATAAATAATAATAAAACAAAGACAAACAGAAAAGGATAATTAAGTCAATCAAATTAAAAATGAACACAATTAATTACAGAAGTGCACTTGTGATTGTTTACAACAAAATTTAAAACTTGACCCCATAAACGGCTTGGAAAATATGTTAAAACACTTTGTGGTACTATTGTATACTATAGAGAACTTGCCTGTAGTACAGTTGTGCCTGGGGGAACATGCACTGGCTGGTCATCAATGAAAACTTCTACAGTGTTAGGAGCTGGCTGCACCTGAGAAGCGAGCTTACGCGAAGCCAGCGAAGCTAGAGGAGCCACGCGGTTCGGCGACGTCAGCGCGAGCGCTCGGGATAGCGGCTGGCGCAGCATTTCTGAACAAAATACTTCTCACTCAGGTAATTGCGTATTACGCCAAATCAATAACTTTTAACCACGGTTCAACTCGATTCAACAATCAAATTTATACAGTACGCCAGACAGAAAGTATCATTGAAAAAATAAACTCCTGAAAAAACAAGAAATACAGAATTTTATATGTTATTATTACATAAGTACATACACCTAACCTAAATACGTAATGTTTAATATAAACCCTTAAACTATGTCTATATTAGGTTATGACTAGAATAAAAGAATTTTGGTGTTTACTTCCTAAAATTACGTTGTAATTTCACTTTATTCGTACCTAAAAATACTGAAAAATTCTATCACAAACGGATGACAGATACCGAAACTGTCAAAAAGTATATTGGAAACGTTCGATAAGAGATCAAACTAATAAAATTTACGGTTTTTTTCAATAAAAGTTCTTTTTTTTTCATATAAGATTATTTGTAAGTCAATGTATAAGATTCTTTTTTTTTTTTCGCTTTTGTTATCCAATTATTGTGTATCTCATTTTTCTAATTTGCTTTTAGCTACACAATTTTGCTAAACCTTCGAAACATCTTCGAAACACATAACATTTTTCCACTATTTAAAAATTTCGGAAGATTGCCGAACAGTATTTGAGTCTATGGCCATTATCTATTTCTTTCTAATTATTTCCATCTCATTCTTTTTATCTCTCATTTGCTCAGCCGGGGGCTCGTGTGCGATTTGTAGTCCGGAAAAAATCAAATTTATAACAAAAAATGACCATCTCAGATGTTAAAACCGCCCAAGGTCTCAGTGATCTGAACAAATATTTGGCTGATAAGAGTTACGTGTCTGGGTAAGTAACTTTTTTGTTGTCTTTGAGGTTGGAATTCAGAAACACGTCAACCTTGTAAACTTGCGAAACTGCACTCTAACCTCTATTTTTAGGAATAACTATTAGTCTAAGTAACAATATTTGTATTTTAATTAATTATGTAGAACAGATACAAGGTATAATAATAATTATTACCAATTAGATGTTTCATTTGTAAGAAATATTTCAGATACACTCCTTCTCAAGCCGATGTGCAAGTGTTCGAACAAGTAGGCAAAGCGCCGGCTGCTAGCCTGCCGCATGTGATGCGCTGGTACAACCAAATCGCGTCATACACCCCCGCAGAGCGCAAAGTCTGGCCTGCGGGCACAAATCCTCTCACAGCTGGTGGAAAGCCAACGACCCCCGCCCCAGTCAAAAAGGAAGAAGACGACGACGATGTCGATCTCTTTGGATCCGGTGATGAGGAAGAGGTTAGTGCAAGTTAACCAACTGTAATATTAAGTTTATTGAATTGATGTAAATTTTTTTTGTGGAATTATTCCACTATTGTATTATATTATAGTTATTAATACAAAGATCAAACACTAAGAAAAATCCCTTCGATCCAACTTGACAACCAAACCAGCACCTTCAACATACCATGCCTGATGTTCTCCCGACTGCTATAGAATGAACCAGCAGACCTTATGAATTTTTCTATGTGCTTGTTGCAAATGTTTGTATTTAGTTTTAACTACTTTTTTGCCATAGAGCCCTCTATGACAAATCTATAAAAGTTTTTCTTCACCCAGAATGTATTAATACAAATTAGTGGAGTAATTAAAAAAAATATATTGAATGATAGTAAAGTACCATGATATTCAATAAACTTAATTATTACTTAAGAATTACCAGTATTAATGACAATCAGATATAGTGTCAAAGGCCATAGATTTTAGTAAATTAGGTAGACTACCATATATTCCAATAAAATGAAAAAAATCTACTGATACAATATTCTTTTGACTTCACAGGATGCAGAAAAAGAAAGGATCAGAGAAGAACGTCTTAAGGCTTATGCAGATAAAAAGTCTAAGAAACCAGCCCTCATTGCCAAGTCATCCATTATCCTAGATGTCAAACCTTGGGATGATGAAACAGATATGAAAGAAATGGAAAAGCATGTCAGATCCATTGAAATGGATGGTCTTCTCTGGGGAGCATCAAAACTTGTTCCAGTCGGTTATGGTATCAATAAATTGCAGATCATGTGTGTCATTGAGGATGACAAAGTATCTGTAGATCTCCTGACAGAAAAGATCCAGGAATTTGAAGACTTCATCCAATCTGTAGACATTGCTGCTTTCAACAAAATCTAAGTGAAGCATTTTTTATTTATTAAGTCAAACATTCAATAAAATCATATTTTTAACAATTACTTTTATTTCACAAAAGCTATTTACAAAACACCAATTAATTTCAGTCAATATAGTAGGCCAAAAATATTTTACAACAGAACTTGTCTTATACAGATTTCACTACGGCAATGTATTATCACATTTCAGTCACACACTTTCCAATGTACTGTATGAAATATTAAGTTCAGAACACTGTCACTTCACAGGTCTTGGAATAAAGACCTGGCTACTCAATGACTAGCTTTGGTTTGTTCAGGGTAACTATTACTCATTCAACCTGTATACCTTTCTCGCCTATGGTGGCCTGCAGGAACATGTTGGGAATGTCATTTCCAAAATAAATCTTATTGTTGAGAGCCAGAGCCTCATATTTTTTCAACTCTAAATATTCTTTGGTGAGCAGTAACTTGTTGGCTTCAGCCTGTTTCTTGAGGTGGTAGTAATCTGCCTCAGCTTTAGTCTGTTGTTTGGCTTTATGGATGCTGTCTTCAATCAGTTCTATTTTCTGAAGGGATTCCTTCTCCATAATTTTCTGTTCATACTGAATTTTGGCAACTTGTGCTTCTTTTTCTGCTTCTATCACTGCCTTTCTCCTTGCAGTCTCTGCTTCTTTTTCCACAACCTAGAAAATGATACAATGTTTTAGATTAGTAATAATAACGCACACACTCAACATAGCCCCGCACTAGGAAAACCCTGGGTCGCGGGTGCCATGGACACACACACACACATAGACAACCACAAATTACAAGCCAAACTCACGAGAGAAATAAATGTAGACCATACAAATATATCTCCCGGCCCGGGAATCGAACCTGGAACCTCTGCGCGATAGTCGGCATAGTAACCGTCCAGCCACAGAGGCAGTTAGATTGGAACAATAGGTAAAAACTAAATATTGTAACTTGCTTTCTGATGTTGCGCAGCGATAAGCAGTTTCGATTTCTCAGCCTCCATAAGTTCGTAATTCTTTCTAATAGCTTCAGGGATTTTTGGTTTTGTAACTCTTACAGCTTGTACCCTTAGTCCAGGTGCCATTTCATTTAAATCTTGCTGCAGAGCCTAAAACAACAGTTCCAGTGTTATTTAACTACACATAATCTCAGTACAGAGTACTAAAAAAACCGACCTCAAAGTACGTGGAATTACGTCTATTTGCTAAGTTTCATTGAAATATCCCGTAGTTCGCCACTATACAGGACTTGATACTGGAGATAATAAAAATAGGTTCTCACTATGACACTACTCAAAGTATATCGAGGGAAAAGCGCCTTGAATTTATGAAATAGCAAAATCAACTAAATAATTGCTAAAAGTAATTGCTCCTAAATTAAAGTTAGGCACTATTTATGAAAATGAATCTTCATGCGTGAACAGCCACCCTTTGAGGTGGATGATTTCCTTCAAAATGAAATGGGACCACTATGGAAGTACCCCGTATCCAACAAAAAAAGAATCATGAAAATCGGTTCACAAATACTGGAGTTATCGCGACACATACCATAACATAACATAACAAAAAAAAAAAAGAACATACAGTCGAATTGAGAACCTCCTCTTTTTTTGAAGTCGGTTAAAAAATGTTATACATGCAATGAAATTGTTATTTCTTTCTGCTACTTACAGTTCTTAAGTTCTCATCAATCTGATCAAAGAGATCAATGTAGACCTCATGCAGTGAGTGAGCGCTGCAGAACTGATTTAATTCATGGTGCACCTTGTTGAATATTAGCGTCTTATCATAGTCAGCAGTGAAGTTTCGAACTACATCAAGAACTGCAATAAAAACATAGTTAAGTGGCTTTCTGCATTATCACTTTTGCAGCAAATTATAAGAATGCAACAGCAACAAAGGAGACGGCCATCTGGGCGGAAAATGGAAAATGTAATAAGTTGAGGAATGGTTTCAAAAAAGGGTTATATTTTTCTAATACAAAATTTATAAATATCAACCTAATCCTTAATTTGGAAAATGAGATATCTTAATTTAATTGAGATAACAGACTAAATTATAATCGATTAATGTGAATGGCGTCAAATAATTAAAAATAGAAAACCGTTAGCACCGTATGATTAATTCAATCAAAATAATTATATCCGTTAAGAATTTAATACATTCAAAAGTTTTAAACAATAGATACATACATTACATTACAAAAATAAAATCTTAACATCAATTCTCATTTACTAATCAATTCATTAAAGTCTATATGTTTCATCGGTACAGTATTTTTAGTCTGTGCTACAGTGACAGCTTGTTGTTGAATTACCAATCTCTCATTTTCTAGCTATTTCGTAAATTACATTTTGTCATGGAACAAAAGTTGTTGTATATGATGTCAGTAACATTAAGTAGTAAAGTATTAATTGATACCACTTTCATTATTTTACATCTTGACCCAAGATTGCATGAAAGCGTATGCATCTCCTTTGCTTTTTATATAGGTTAAGGTATGGTCTCGCTCACTAAACATGTGCTTACACATTTTTATACAATCACATTGCTACAGCTTACCACTATTTGGTTCCAACTTATTGACCACCTCAATTCTCTCAAAATATATCATAACTCCTCCGCTCGTACCACATGGTACATTCTTCACTTCATCTGTCTGTAGAGTTGCCTGAATAATTGAAAAATGATATTTATAATTCATAAATATTTTATCTTGGTACATAATAATTTAAAGGAAGGCTTTCTAATAGATGTTCTTATTTTACCTGTATAGCTTTATATGATGTTAGGAGTGGAATCATCATGTGAAAACCTGGCTGGCTAGTTACTGGGAGTAGAGCTCCACCCTAGAAAAAAATGTTATCTGATATGATATGATATCATACACGATGAGCTTACGAAAATCAAAATAAATGTACCGTGCGATATGATCCTCTATAGGTCCCAGTGCTAAGCATAAGTTTCAGTAGGTAAGAGGTTGGAAATATATAAATTTCATTTCCTTGTGATATACTTACGCGGTAATAAACACCGACGTGACCCTCCTCAACTTTGTGCAAAGAGAAGTGCACAGTAACGCCCACAGCCAAGATAATGAGCGCCAGGATCGATGACTGGTCCGCCATAGCTGGGCTGCACCAACAAACAATGTATTTGTTTAGTATTATCATTGAACGTCTATCCACTCGGATGTCGCACAAAGCATACATACCTCAAACCAAAACTCACTACAACAACGGGCGGTATGATGAATGAGTTAACACTGTATACTCCGCAGTAACATGAAGATCAATTTCAACTATAATATTTGGCTATTTCAATAGATAAATATGAAACCCCTCGGTATTTAAGGCAGTGGGAAAATCGTAGATCTCGCCGAATTTGTGACATATGTTTGACAGTGACATTTGTTTCATTTTTATACTAGCTCGCAGTATCCAAAATAATCTAATTTTCTTAATTCAGGTTCTTGAATATTATTATATGGTCATTAAAAAAAAAAATCACGTCACGGATTAAAAACATTTTTATTCATGTAGGTTAAACTGTTTCTTCCTTATCCGCAGGACTAACGTAGGTTTTGCCTTCAGCATGAATAGCGTCAAGCACTGTGCTCATTGTCGCCTTTAACGCTCGGTACTCCTCCAACGCTTTTGCACATAATTCACCTTCTGGTGAGTTCCCAGGCTCAATGAACAACATTTCTAAAGCACGTTTCAAATATTTTTCTGCTCGCATAAGTTCATCCTGAAGAAAATGGTAAACATTAAAAACTCGTCATGACATTAATAAAATTACAATTGATATTATTTCTACTATACTACAACACGTACTAAATACTCAGTTCCAGTAATTTCACGACCGTCAAATAACTTCTTTGCCAGTTGCACCATAGTAGAGTGTAATTCGTACATGGTTATAGCTGAAAGGCAATTAAACACAATACAATCGAACATGTTGTGATTAAAAAGACCATTTCCGAATAATTTGCACGTTTACGCTAAATCGAGTGAGAACCAATAAAATCTTTCGACTCGCGGACATATTACTTATTATCAGTGTGTGATATGAGCATAAGTTATACTATAACGAACGTTTCATAGCCCGCCAAACCCTAAGAATGAAATAATCACCTGTAGTTCTACATATTCCAGGACTAAGCGTCTCGATGATCGGTAGTAACTCTTGGCAAAGTTCGATCTTACGTCGCATGAGCTTCTTAGTAGGCCGCGGTTCCCTGTTGATAGCGTCTCTAAGTACGCCAGCCAAACATTGCTTTGCATCTAACAGCAAGTAATGATTTGGAGCTAACACTAAAGAAACGTTCCTTATGTATTCTTCTAGTTCTTTCTCGTCTTTTTTATCTGTAACAATTGTTATTGATATGTAAATAAATCTAACGTACCAAGATCTCAAAAGTACTCCATCAACAAGAGCCTTGCTCTTAAATAAAACGAATAATATAAATTATTTCGCTACTATTTCAATGTACAGGATTTTTTTCTATACTTACTGAGTTTGCTCTAGCAGGTAACACATCTACTCAGATCCAATTGAAAACTTCCATTCTCAAATTGGTTTTTATTATCGGTAATAGGTACTAACCGGAATCACTAACACGTGCACACGGTGCTTAACTTGCTTAAAAATATTCTAAATTATCAACTTTAGTTAAAGAAACTTACTAATAGCATCCAACTTCTCAGAGCAGCACTGCACCTTATAACCAATAATTTCTGAAGGCAGTACCTTGTCGCACTTGTTACAAACCCACCCCTTGTCGCCTTCGGTTGCATAGCCCGTCTTACATTGAGGGCATATCGCAGAACTCAAGTAAGTACTAATTTCTGTGACGTCAGAACATCGGGCACACGTGCACATGAAATACTTTCCGATTAATAAATGTTGCTGACGAAGGGTTGTACCCTAAAAAATAAAATTCGTAAGTTCGAGTAAATTATTTTTTGTTGTAGTAATATTGGTACTATATCTGTATATTAATTTATTATCCTTTTAATGTTAAAAATTGTGTCTACATGTAATAGTGATTTAATTTTTTGAGCATTTGCTAAATTATGGCGGTCAATTTGTCCAGTAAACTGCGCTCTTTATATGCACGTACGTACCCAAAATTTTTCGTAACTTTGTAATCGTACTTACTTTCAAAGGGTCTGTATAATTAAAATAAATAGCTTCACCTTTCTTAATATCAACGCTAGCATGGCACACTAGCAAATTATTGTCGTTTATGGATAAATGAGTGTTTCCGGTACAATCGTGAGCCATGAGTGCTGCCTTGAGGTACACACCTCGGAGGAACTCTGAGCACCCGATGCCCGGCATAGGTGGACCACGAGCTTCGAAGCTGTTTATGTCGATGATAGCGCATATCTTTTGTACAAGGTCTTCATCCGTGTTGTTTTCAAGGAGGCCAAGAGATTCTACAAACTGGAAAATGATAATATTTGTCATCTGGGATAAGTATGTCCGATACTGTGCACACACAAGTTTAAATTATCGACTATTTAAATAATATTTTCAAGTTTTCGTTCTTTACCTTTACTGTATTTTGACAGTACTGCCACACTTCACTGTTCTTTCTTTCTTCAAGATGTTTCTCTAGCTGCATAAACTCCGCCCATCCTTGTAGATCGGTGTTTTTCTTCAGCAACACTCGTAGTACAGTCAGTGAGCCCACATTCTGCACCATTGTCATAGGACTTATACCTTTTGTTAGCTTTAGGTCGCGAAAGAAATCACACTCTGCCTTTGTATGAAATTCTAAAAGAAAAGAACTGCTTCAAGTATGGAAACACAGGTATCAAACGAAAATATCATGAAGATGTCGAAGAAAAAGAAAATTGTTCAGCGACATTTGAAATTTTCAATTTAGCCAGAACGTGGCCGAGTATGATCTCGCCACGTACTAAGACTCCAAATGGCAGAAGAAATTAGTGTTCAACAGTAGGGACATGCACTTATCATTTCAGTGATTATTGTGGTTGGAACCTACAAAAAGGGTGGTACCTTGATGTGAATTGTACAGGGAAATTTATATCAACTTTAGCACTAACTGGCGTTAGTATCTGGACAACCATCGTCTGGGCAAATGGGCGCGACGGCGCAGCTCTTGCAGACAAAGAACTTGCTGATAACTGGCAGATAGCAGTTGAAGCAGACGAGCGCAGTGTCGCTGCTGGGGCCTAGAACAAATGGCTGTTCCGACAGAATCGTCTCGCCTGCACGCAGGTCTTTAGCCGCTGTCAGGTACCTAAAATGTAGGTAATTCAGAAGCATTACATTATTTAAATTTCTGTACCAATATGTTTTTATAATAATTGTTTATTTGTTATTTAAGGTGTGTCAGCATAGAGTTTAAGCCTCAAGCCACGCCTCATTTTTAAACCTAAAGTCAAGTCTACAAGAAACACGTAAGATTAGTAGTATCCGTAGATTTCATATTATACAAATCTATAGTACTATCAGGAATTCTAGTACATTTTAAAATTAAAGGTGTATGTAACAGTGGGAACATTAACAGTGTAATATTAGTAGATGTAACATACCTGCCAAATTTTTCCGACTGCTGGATTTCGTACTTAATAGACATGTTTTGATGTCCTTAGACCAAACCTAAGCAGGATGAACAGTCTGTCAGTAAACGAGAGAGCTGCACTAGGCGCCTCATATGCAGTCACGCAACTGAGTATTTTCTCTCCACACGTATTCATTTATAGACCTGCGCACGTTGCGATATTTTTAACTTTGACAATGTAGAGCAATCATTGCCCCCATAATATGATCTATCGGAAATAAATACTGTAATTTAAAGAGGTAACGTTGTTGGTTTTTCACTAGTTATTCATAGAGACGATAGTAAATTATACGCTCCGCTTTAGATCTAAAATAATGTAAAAAAACAAATAGAAGACGCTCTCACTCACAGCTGCCGCCATGCTAGATGACCAGTTTTTCAGTTGAATGCAACTATCTCCTTTTAATTTCATTAGGTGCGCGAGTTGTCAATTGTTCGATTTAAAACTAACGCTCGCCTTCCACTGCGAGCGGAGCGGGCTCCGTACGAACTCCTATTGACTCACAACAGTAAATATCACGAAAGTGCTTCCACCACAAACGAGTGAGCAGAGTGAGTTACAAAAGTGGTCGCAGAGTCGCGCCGGTTTCCAGCGGAATCCGAACGTACTCCGTTTGCCTCGCAACGAGTGAGCGAAACGGACTCGGCGTCATTATGTCGCACGCTAGTTTTGAATGGACTCCGCATGAGATATAGATATACATATGGCAATATAGTATAGGGATTAACGTGCTCAGAAGGAAAGCTATTAATATTTGAAGACTACAACGTCCCTACAATATATTACTCCCCCATTGATCTCTACTCCCCCTAATTTATTCAGAGATGAATTATACACATATTAGAGGGTTAAAAAAGCATTTACTACGACTTAAACTTTGAAATTTCTTTTTCACAAAAATGATTTTTTACTTTTCCGCCGCCTAGCTCACTCTGCTAAGCCCACTTGCTGTAGAAGGCAAACAACTCGCTCATACGACCCATCTCTTTTCCCGCCTCCACTAGTTTTTTAATCCCTCTCCAAAAGAGTCATATTAAAAAGGGAAGGAAACTATAAGCAACACAATCTCATGGAATGAAAAATTATACTCGACCTCGTGTCGGTTGGTCTTCCAATAAATATTCAACAGATTTTAATTAAACAGATGTTTAGGAAATAATACATTTATTTAAAGTATTTACAGTATTTTCTTATACCAAAGAAGTCTTACGACTATTAAAACATACAATTTACACTTTCTATTTATGTACATTTATAATATAGATACATGTTGTGTTCATATATCGAATTTTTTTTTAAAGAATTCTATGTGTAAAAAATATATACAAATTTTACATCCATTCAAAAACGGATACATGCATTTGATTGCGATTCGAGCGCATTGTCAGCTCATAGTGTTTATTTACAGTTAAGTTTCGTCATTGCATTACATAAAGGATTATTCATCATCTAGAACTTATTGGTGTTCAGAAGTTATTGATAGAGTTTTCGTTGCACATTTTTTTATATATATATACCAATTTGATACGTTTAAGGCGCCTTCTAATTAGACGCCTGTAGAAGCGCTGCAACGGCGCGATAGTGGCGCAGCAGCCGCGCGCCTGTAGAGCTTCAATAACAATGAATTCACTAATTGTGACTGCAAAAGTGGCGCGCGCATGTTACGACCGTGTCGTAGCAACTGTGTTTCTAAATGTATTATTGAGATTTTTGTGAAATAACTCCACTAGTTTTTATTATGATTATTAACAGAAAATTCGAACACGTAGAAATTTTTTTTCGACCCGATGAGACTTGAACCCACGACCATACTGCACCGTAGTATTGCTCTTACCAACTGAGCTACGCTACGAGTCAAGTTTTCGAGTTATCGAAATTCTCCTATGTGTTTTAGTTAAAGATCTTTGTACTGGATCTTTCAGCATTCTGAGCCGCTAGTGACATGTAGTGAGAGACTTTAGAACCTCCTTCACCGCAGCCACCACCTTTACAGGTGCTTCAACTGACGTAAATGGCGCTTTATGCGCTTCTAAATAATGTATGAAAATTAGTGGTGCCACTGCAGCGTTACTATAAGCGTCTAATTTGACAGCGCTCTTCGTTGGAAATACAACTATTACCTTTACACGATTTTTTGAAACTTTTAGTCGATTTCCTATATACAAATAATACGAAATAGCCCATACAAAACTGTACAGAAAGTTGGAAAAGAGAAAAATGATGTTAGATCATAAGTAAAATACACAATTTGTAACTGTAATTCCTGCGATTCTAATAAACCAGTATTTATATACTTACGAACTAACTAAGTAAGCTTAGCCACTTGTTAGTCAGGCGCGCGAACAAAATGTTATGTTGACAGTAGGTACTTTTATATTAAAATATCGCTAAAATAACGGATTAGTCACGTATTTAAGTCGAATATTTTCTCGACATGTTTCGAACCAATTCGTGGTCCTTAATTATGAGATTCCGCGGCGGTGACTCGACGGAAACCTTTAACGACGAAAAATTCGACTTAAATACGTGATTTATCCGTTACTTTAGTTAATATATTGGATAGATATTAGACTCTCATGGTGGTTTTCTACTTTTTTTATTGTTTACATGACGAACGGCGATAAGCCGCGTGTAATATTAAACACTTGACACTCGAGAACCAATTAAGCCACTGCAAAAATAATAACGTGGACGATAAAAGCACTTGAGTAGCTTTTGTTTAGACTCTGTAGTCTATCTCTGTAGTTATGATTGTAATTCGGCGGCTTTATTTTCGAACTTCCGAGTGCATTGACCACTTCAGCGAAATTTTCATGGTATTTTACGGTTTAACTCCTAACCACTTCGTATATTCACTTCACGATATAACATATTTAAAGGTGACGAGCATTTAAATACCAATCGATTAACACCTAGAATCATATGAAAATATTGTTTTACTATTTTTAAAACAAATTAAAAACAGTAAAGGAGGGAATTTTTCGTGGAATTCGCGAAAATGACTTAAAAAAACTATAGGTCGCGAGAAAGAAAATTGACGAATCCTGTCAAAATTCAATAATTTTTTTTTAAATTCAAGTTTAAATTCAACCTATATTAAATAAAGTTTTGTGTTTCAATGATATTTTACCCCAAATTGTCTGTTTTAATGAAGAAGTTTTTTTCTAAAGAACAATGACAGAGTCCAATGACCACCGCTTTGAAGACATTTTTCTCCAAAAAGATTGTGATTTCGATATGATATCAAATGTTAATGTAACACCATCAGAACAAATAATGACGGTCATGTTAATAGGTAATAATTACAGAAATAAATATCAATGGCATACATCACAGCAGCCGTCTTCAGCAAACACTCAACATCAACCCTCGCGGCACAAGTTGTGACATTTTTTCCACCTAGTATATAAAGAGATGTTCTATGTATATACTAGGTTATCAAGTATTAAACTGACAAATATTATTTAAAATTTGGTGTAAGAATATGAATAACACTAAAGTAAACTGCAGAATTATGTCAAATACAGTGTTGCCAGGGCTCCTGAATCGAAAATTATATTTCGTGAAATGTTGCATCTTCGCAGCAAAAGTTACATTTTATAAGTTAGTTTTTTTAATGAAAGTTTGTAACTGTAAACGATATACGTCTAAATCCTAAAAACAAAAAGTAAGTACGCTCAAGAAAAATCAAACTATAACCAGTAATTGATTGATTTCATTTTGTTTGCGCCATCTCTGAGTTACTAATAGTCTAATTTGGGTGCGTTCGTAAATTAAGTATTAGGATGTACAATAACAAATATACTTGAATTTAAAAACTCAACGTCCTCAAAAGTTACGAAAATTGCTTTAAAACCAAGAGTTATTCTAGTAAGTCATTTAGAAAAGTTACGTAAGAAATGTAACAATCTGGCAACACCGGTCCTATAGAACCCACCCCAGTTCATATGTTATTAATAAGTATTATTCATGAATGTATAAAGTGGATATTAGTAAGTATCACTGATATAGAATGACTAACAAAAATGACTAACGCGTGCTAAAAGGTCCTATTCGTAAAACTGTATAATATGCGTTACAATTATAATATCACTTTTGGAATAAATGGCATATCGCGAATATATCATCCACGCGAAGAAACATCAGGCGTGAGTCTGGAACAAGAGAATTTATGGTTATCTATTTCGGCAATAGCAATTTCCTTAAATAAGCTAAGACCACATTTTTTTTATTTACTGTTACCTAGCCCATTTCTGCCGCCAAGCAGCAATGTTAGCAGTACTGTGTTCTAGTTATGAAGGGAAGTGTGCTGGTGAAACTCAACAATAATCACTTATGTCCCTGAAATCTTTGTGAAGTTTTGAGTGGCACTGCAACTGTTGTAGACAGGCAGTCTCTAACCATCAGGCGTACAACTTGTTCGTCCTGTCACATGGTAACATAATAAACAGTTCTTTCGTTTTTCAGATAAGTAGGATATTGCGCTCAATAGTGGAGAGGCTCGACTGTCCATACATATGTGGCATTGCTGTGAATTGAGTGTATCTAGGCAATCTTTATTATTTATAATTGTGTACCTCTCTAACGTCAGTAAATAGTGGTTACTAAACTCTGAGATGAAATCCAAGTCCAAAAATGTAAACAAAGATGATGCCATTACAAAAAAATATTTTACGAATAGTGGAACAGTGAAAAGGACTAAACATTAATGCAAGTTATATATTGTTTTTAAATTGTGTGTATGTACAGACAAGAGCACGTCAAGGTTGACACTTTGTACCGGTCTTATCGTAAGCGGCATAGAGTTAGATTTAAGTCTTAAGTGTCAAGCTTGACGTGCACTTGACCCTGTACAAACAAAATATTGTCTATTTTTTATCTAAAGCACCATATTTAATATAAAAATCTCATAAAACGATTTCCTGAGGAAAGATTTTTATCCTATTGGCAATGTTTCGTGGATGAACAACCTTTGGCTGTCCCTTTTGTTTATTCGATTTATTTTTTGTAAATAAACACAAATACTTTTAAGCAGGAGTGTGGATAATTTTTGCTATAATATTATAGCACTTAAATTAAATATTTTTTTATTAAGAATAAAATTTAAATAATATATTGGTTCATTACTAAATAGTGTTAATTACAATGAATTAAAAAAATAAGTCAGTTTTTGATCGATAGGGATGGATAACGGGTCAGGTCGTTGGGTTGCATTTGCACCAGTGCATCACCGCGATTTTCTTTCTTCATTCGGTTTCTGGCAGCTGTCGTTATCGAATGTGTTCCTTGCTACGTAAGCGTCATGTTGTTGTTTTTGTTTTGAATTGTTGAGTTTTCGTTTTGTGTAATTTTTTTGTTCAGTTTTGGTTTTACTCTGTTGTTACGTTTGTGTTTGCTTGCGTTCGTGTGAACATAACCACTATGAAGGCAGAAAAAAAGACCACGCCCTGCAATGTCCGTAACCGAGAAGGTTATGATAATGAATGTCAACAAGCGTACCTTTCAAACCTGGTCACAATGAATATTGGTCTTTGTGCGAGTGTACAAATAAAACTGCTGACATTCTTGGGATATATGAAAGAACCGTTCGAGGAACAGTTTGCCTGAGTAAAAACAAACGTCAATATTTGACATGCTAGCCACTGATATAGAAATCAAAACATCGTTTATATTCCCAATATAAAGAATATTCTCTTGAGTAATTTTCTATGGACCTCATTTCCTAGTAATTTTTGAATTGAAAATATTTTATGACACAAAATTATTCTAAACAGTTTTGTGTATTGTCAACCCAAAGGGATATTTTTCAATTATAATTTATCAGTCAGAATACAGTGGAACCTGTTAATAAACGAACGCGGGAAAAAAAGGTTTATGATCTATGAGATGTCACTTTGACAGTGACAGTTGTTTGTTTACATTTTTGGACTTCGACTACATCTCAGAGTTTAGCAAAAATAGGAGTCGAATAATGTTACTCCAAATAAATTATTATTATTATAATTTATAGTATTGCAAGAATAGCAGCACCTATCAATAATTTGGATACAAGCAAATTAGCCAAGAGTTTCATATACGATGGAAATTGTAGTCAACAAGTGTACCTCGTCTAGCAACGACAACGGCTGCGCCTGATGGCTGGCGCTGATGATGTCCTGCAGGCAGCGCGCGAACTCTTCGATGACGTCACGCACGGGATCGCGGTCAGCACCGTCCAGCTCGCGCGCCTCTGCCGTTGCGTCGCTGTCGCCGGTGTCGACCGCCGCCGCCAAGAGGCACTGGCATACTGCTTCTATCACTTCCGATGTCATGAAGCTACATGGTTGCCTAAAAATTATGAAACGCATATTATAATCTGATATATACTCCCGGACATATATTTCGAACCACTTTGCATTGTCAGTATTAAATGTCCTTAGCTTAAATAATGTTTGATTGATCAATAACTAATTCAAGTTCGAAACTGATGTACTAAACATCATTTGCAAAAGGTTTTGTTGAAAATTTGAATTTGCGAAATCGGCAAAAACTCTTTCTTCAATGATAATAAAACAAATTTTATTCTGGCACTTGAAAAATAAAAATGCAAGATGGCTCGATTTATGTGTCCGGGAGTGTATTATACTATAATATTTGCTATATATAGTGAAAGAATTCGTCTAGCAAAGTAGGTAATTACTGCGTTCCGCTTTTGAAGGGTAAGGGTGCTGGTGAAATTATAGGCACATGGGACTTGTCGACTTGTCTCAGGGTGTCAGGCGCAGTGGCAGCGCCTGGCATATTATTGTAATTTAAAGCTCTGAGTGGCACTGCAACTGTTATGGACAGGCGTGTCACCTACCAATATGCGCACGACGTGTTTGTCCCGCCGTCGCCTAGTATCATAAAAAAATCGGACTATACGCGCCGCAAATGCGTGCATCTAACTGTCGTGGCAAAATATGCTCTATTTATTTAATTTTTAAGTTTTAATTTTGTCTACGCGGCGGCCCCTCGGCGATTTATGATTGTTGTGTGCTCCGTAATGGGATGTGTATCAGAAATAAAAATAATTATTAAGCTTTAGGAGCATGTAATACGTATTCTGTGGATGTAAATTATTAAAATAATAAATAAAATGTTCAATGTACGTAAATCATTGAATTTTGTCAGTACGTTGTTGATACTTCTCTATGGAAATGCAGTAGGCGGCAACTACACGGAAAGCCCTTAGAAGCGCGTAGTTGGCTGTTGAGATCCATAAAGCGGAACGGAGTACCCCGTACTATGCTATTATAATATTTGCGTTTGCAGTACAATATCAGCGTAAAATTAACGCTGATATTGTACTGCAAACGCTGATACTGTCCATGTTAAGAAAGGTTTGCGACATGGAAGAGAGCATACTTGAGGCTGGTTGGCGGCCCGGGCGCGGCGTCGTGCGTGTGCGGCGGCTGCGCACGGCGGCCGGCGTCGTTCCTCGCGGACTGCACGTGCCGCCGCGCGCGCTCCAGCGTCTCCTCCACGTTGCGGCACCCCACGCACTTGCAAATCGACGTGCACGCGATTTTCGCCTGCGGACAACATTACGTGATACTCAATTTCTACATCAACACTTTCAGTAAAGGAATATATGTACACACGTTTCCAACATTTTTTTTATACTTTAACCTTTCAATAATAATTATAACTTCATAAACCATACCACAAAGGCGCTCTTTTTAGCTCTGAATCAAAACTCTATTATCTATGGTACTCGCTACTGAACTGGAAAAATACATTATAATTCTATACACAAAACTATAATGTCGTATTATTCGTAATCAAAATATCAAATATGACGCTACTCAAACGCTCTACTACTTCCCGATTAGTTAAATTAACCATAACCTAACCTAACCATAAGCTCATAAAAAAACTCTTTGATTTTATGTTTTGTAGCGTTTGTTTGGCTTTTGTTTGATTTTGTTGTCATAGAAAAGGTAACAAAATATGCATTAAATATTAGTTATGTTTCATTATTTCATTTACTCGTAGAAAAAGTGTTGTATGATGCCATTACGTAATTAGGTTTTAAAACCTATTACTTAGCCCACTCGGCAAAGGCTCGTAGCCTAAACAAGGTACTCGAATTGTTGCATAATGAGGGTTCTTCAAACCCTCATTATGCAACAATTGCATAAAATACTACTTCACTAAGAATTTTATTGAATATCATAATGTTTTTAATACCATGACATTCATTTATTTTTTGTGAAATTACGCCACGAGTTATAATTATTAATACAAAGATGAAACACTAAGAAAAACTCCTTCGATCTGACGGGATTCGAACTTGTGTCTGTGCCAAACCAGATCCACCGCTCTACTATCTATAGGACTAGTACACAGGACGCGAGAGCCAAATAAAGTGCAAGATTTCTTGCTAGAATAGCAGTATCGCACGCGTTATATCGCTCTCGCACCCTGTCGTGCTAGCCCTACTGAGCTACATATCAAGTCAGCAGATTTTACGAATTTTTCTAGATGTTTGTTAGAGATGAGATTTTCTATGTTTGGATTTTTTCCGCTTTTATAGCCGTAAAATGCGATTTTTTTTAAATTAATTACAGATCATGTTTGACTACACCTGATGTTACGCGACGAAGGTTGGTTAAAAAAATTATATTCATAAACTTCTAGTGTATCTTTTTTGAAGATGGACTAAAATGACAATTTATTATGCAACAGCATTGCCCGCTTGCAAACAACTAGTGATTGCAGTGGACAAGTATTCTAAATCAAATCAAATCAAATCTCATTTATTCGCTATAAACAGGGTAAGTACATTATAAATGTTGGTGTTAAAATTAAATTGATGAACTTAATCCTATTTAGCCTTGGCAAAAGCATGCAAATATAATAATAAAATACAATACATTATAATATAAATTCATTAATACATTAGATACAATAAAATCAAGATTAATATACGCATCGATACGGATCAATCTTTAAATTTGAAGAAATCGTCAACCGAATAAAATTATTTTTCTAAGAGCCATTTGCGCAGTTCTATTTTGAAATAAATCAAAGGAAGTTATTTAATGACACGGTAGCTTATTAAAAATCTTTCCAGATATTGCATAAAAGTTGTTTTGGAAGCGTTTAGTCATAGGAATTGTGCCTGGTAGTACTTAATCGGGGTTTCTTAAGCTTTTAGCAGTCATGTCTTTAGCGAGTATAAATTTAAGTTGATACGTCTTTACGAATATATCTATCTACTATCGACTGAATGTAGGTTACACTTATGCAATAAATAGCCGAACTTGTTTCATTTGAATTATCATCGCCCATCAATTGTCCAACTGCTGGGCACAGGTTCATTTAAAATGTCAATATTTGTAAGTTCATTTAAAGTACACAATTCAAACATTTTTGGTAAAATATTACCTTGTTTCACAATCTATCGAAAAAACTATCGACAACATTGACCTACCAATAAATGGACGTCGGGTTCGTGCTAAAAAGTGTCCGCACCTAAAGGGCGTTAGAATCGCATACAGAGCGTCAATCGCGCAACAGTCTTCATTTGTTCGAGTGACAGCGCGGTTGTCAATCATGCAGTACCACGTAATAATAACTTGTAAAAATTACCGCAGTAAAGTGTAAAAACAGGATTTTGTATCATATTTTCACTAAACAAATATATTGTTACCAGTTCTCATTTAAAAGTGTTATTTTGTACAGTTTCGTCGTATTTAATTTATATATAAATGAATCGTAAATATAAATTACAAAAGGACACAACATAATCAAATAGCTAACTGTCGCTTTTCTACACATTGCATGCGTAAAAGATGGAAAGAGACCCATTACGTCAATTTCAAGAAGCTTATATAAACTTTTTGGTCATTTTCAATTGTTCGAACCATAAGCGATTGAAATATTTAGAACAAAGAAACTATAGAGTCCCTTTGATTTTAATCTTATTTAAAAAAAAATTATTAATGATGTTTAACTCGAGCTAACGAAATAAAATGTCAAATGTATTTTTTAGGAAGATTACAAAACTAAACTAAATCGGTTTTCGGAATTACGGTTTACGTTTAGTTGGAATATCAGTACATTTCTTATAGTACACGTTTACTTTCACATTTGTAGTAATATTTGTATCTGCCCAACACTTTATTTCTTTAAGTGAATTTGCACAAAATTCGACATAATAATACATTGACTTACAATTATATGGACGTCGGGTCCGCGCTAAAAAGTGTCCGCACTTGTAAGGCGCTAAAATCGTATACAGAGCGCGACACTCCGCTTTAGTCTTCATTTGTTCTACTGACAGCGCGATACTGCGATGACATTACAATTTAAATTTCGAATAGGTTGACTTGGGACATTTTTTTCGTGGTTTTTGTATTAGACCCGTCGTCCATTAATTTGTAAGTCAATGTAATAATATATATAAAAATTAATTAATATTTACGATAAAGGCTACTCCATTACTCTTGTGTTCAAGTAATTTTCAGTCGAAGCTAAATATGGTGCATTTTGTTAAATTTCCAGTAGAAGCTGAATATGGTGTTTTTGAGTCCTTAAATTGTTGCAAGCAAAATTGGGCAATACTGCAATGACGTTACAATTTAAATTAAATGTTTGAGGGTCGTATTCCAGAACTCTACTCAATACTCAAGTCAGGACTTGAGTATTGCAGTGAGCACTGAAAATCATACTCAAGTTCTTGCCATTAGGGTCGTATTTCCAGTGCTTGAATTCATACTCAAGTCTGCTCAAATCCTGACTTGAGCATTGAGTAGAGTTCTAGAATACGACCCTTAGTTTTTTATATTTTGTTATATGTCACTACGTTTGTATAGGTTAACTTCGAACATTTTTTTCGTGGTTTTTGTATTAGACCCGACGTCCATTTGTTGGTAGGTCAATGGTGGACAACAACAATTATGACTATTAAATTTTATGAAAACTGGCAACCCCGCAAATGTCATTAAAAAAGATACTACAAATGCAATATTTTCCCTCTTGGAGGAAAAAGAGCGATCTGATCAAAGCCGATCATTTAAAAACATAATTGAAACATTTTCTTTACTAGAGAAATTAATTACCTCGTAGCACTCGCAGTAATTTTTAAGACAGCCACTCCTCTTGCAGTTGCAGCCCTTATTATGTCGCCGAACGATCTCGGGCCCGCCACTTTTCGATTTTCCGATCTTGGGTCTAAAAATAAAAGTAAACTACAATGTAGTTAAAAGAATACGGAAAAAAATGGGCGGTGCTACATAGAGGTGCACCCTCGCTAGTTTAACGTGAAACGTCGATTGTCAAAATTGCTATCTATGCTCTTGACTGTACCGCAAACATTTCTGTCTAATTTTAGACGCCTTTCTCTGTAGAGCTTGTTTTAGGTACTTCAACAAAGTCCCAAAAGCCAATGTAATGGAATTAAGACGAGGAGAGCCAGAAGAGACAAAACCTTACGGATATAAAATTCAATTTTGGTTTTAATTAAATTTAAGATCCAAAATAGAATTTAAAACAGGACGTACATATTTTGAAAAAAATATGAAACATAAAACGTCCTCGCTGAACAATTTTTCGAAATACCGCTTACGACCTTTTTAAACACCAACGATATGAAAACATACAAAACCTTAAACACGAATTTTCTGTACGCGGCGTTGAGTTTTCACACTTTTACGTACGCATTTTTACGGTCTTACCATTTCTACTATGGTATTCTTTTTTATATCATCAAGTGACGGGACGAACAAGTCGTGCGCCTGGTGATAAGCGACACGCCTGTCCTTAACAGTTGCAGTGCCACTCAGAGCTTTAAATCGCAAAGATCTGAGGGGCACTGCCACTACGCCCGTCACCCTGAGACATAAGTTGATAAGTCCCATGTGCCTGTAATTTAACCAGCACCTTTATCCTTCCGAACCGGAACGCAGTAATGCTCACATTACTGCTTGGCGGCAGAAATAGGTAAGGTGGCAGTACTCTCTTGGAAGTACTTTCACAAGGAAGGAAATATAGTCGCGTTACGTAAAACGCGGCCGAGTGAAAGAGCTCTTACAGACAATATTAGTATACGAAAGTAAACAACTTTTAACGATAGGAACTCCTCTCAAATCTCAGTTTCTTTTAACTAAAGAATAGTTGAGTCATTTTTATACTTCGCAGCAACTTACCTAAACGCATTCGGATTTCTATCGAGGCATCCCCTTATAGCCTTCTGTCGCAACTCTTCGTTCTCGAGATTGTTATGGCAATTGGTGCAGTTGCATCCGTTGCAGAACTCCCCGTTGGCGAAGCAATCGCAGTAAAGCTTCAGGCACTGCGACTTCGTGCAGTTGCACGCCTTACGCGGCCGAAGACCTAGGTCTGTTGATACTAGATCTGTTATGCATTAAAATTCAATCATTCAAAACGTTTGGTTTTGTATTTTCTGTATACTATACTCTTCTATAAGCAACCATCAGTTTGTTTTAATTAATATAAATTGATAGTTGCTCATTGTTAAAGAGGAAATCAAATTATAAATAAATAAATATTAGACATATCGCATACGTTGCTCTGATCCCAAAGGAAGTACCTATAGCACTTATGTAATGGAAATCGGAAATAACGACGGTACCACAAACACCCAGATCCGAGACTATATAGAAAAGATAGTTTCCTTCACTGGCCCGGCCGGGGATCGAACCTGGAACCTCAGAAATGGCGACACTCGGAAAACCTGTGAGCAAGCCACTAGACTACGGAGGTCGTCAAATTGATTATGTATTGAATACACTCATCGACGATTAATAATACATTAAAATAAAAATTTGAATCCTTATCAAAACTGCCAAAACTTTCGTATACATATAGATTCTACAACAATCTATATGTATACGAAACACTAGTGGATGTAACGTACTTGACGGAAACGAATTATTTACATCATCATCATCATCAATATAAAATAAATAAATGTATACAATATAAAAATCTGAATCGAACTTATAATACACTATTTTCGTCAAATTGTAAGTCTATTCGTGATCAGAGATGGGTTAGCGCCCGGATTTTAACACGACACTTTGTTTGTGGGCGGATACTCTTTACAACTTAATATTTGTCGTAAATCAAAAGTTTTCAAATTTAATTATCTTATTATAAAATGCTTATGTTTCACTAATTTACTAACTCTACGTAAAATGGACTGAAACGTCGTATCGACGAGATGCCAGCACACGCGTGGATATGAAAGCAGGTATCTAATAATTATAATAATATTTATTTTCTCTGCAAAGTTTATACTGTACACTAACATTAATTGATTTATGTTATAGACCACAATATTTGCAGGAAATATGAAAAAATCGCGCGCCGGGACAAGAATCGTGTTTTTCTTATTAATTGCTAATGTTAATCTTTAACTTGTAGTCACCAGGCACATAAATGCGAAGTCAGCTTAAGCCAGTCAGAAAAAGTTTTATGGCCATGAAATAAAAACTAACAAGACGTTATTACGCATTTCGCTTCCGCGACATAAGATTTTCAGAGCAGTGCGAATTTATCTGCGGAACGTCCGCGCAGAGTATCATATGTTAGAGCATCGTTTTACAGTGACGTGGATTGCTCGGTAGGGGGAGTCCCCCGAGTACCGGACACCTAAGTTTTTGCAAAGAATGTACAAATTTAGATCATGTTTTATTACGACACGTAACATTTTGAGATACACAATCATATTAGACATTCAAATAAATCAACATAGATAACTATCGAACAATTTTAACAACTAAAAAAGAAACTAATCATTGATCTGGTTTTTGGTATCATTGGAAACTGGTACTAGTACCGGACAAGTATTAATTCAAACCCCTTATACCGGACAGTACCGTTAACATCGAGATTTCTGAAATAAAAACTTAGTCAATAATCTTCCATTAATGCAGCAAACATGCTGAAACATAATGTACTCAACATTTAAAATAATATAATCTAACATATGTATATAATTTTAAGAAACATGGCCATTAAATCAACGCAAACAATAATTGAATTTAGTGAAAACAATTTAAAGATAACTTACAAAAAATAACAAACACAGAGATCTGAGCCCCGTGGGATATCCGCGCAGGTTTCATGTGCCCATTCTTTACATGAGCCACACTGAATCCAGTCTTCTTCGCAGTCTTCGCAACAAACAACACAGTAGTACTTCTGTAGCTGTTTTTCAACCGGTTTTATTTTTGTTTTCTTTATTTTTCGTGTGTCTTTCGTCTTTTTAATTTTGCGATTACCGTCTTCTTTTATTTTTTTTTCTTTTTATTTTCTTCTAAACGTTTGTATGGAGAATCAGTCAAAATTTTCACTTTTTTCAGCTCCACGTTTCCTTGTTTATTCTCTATTAGTGGAACAAATTACATAGCATAGACCATTTTGTCAAAATAAGATTTGTCTCCCTACTAGGAAACTTGTATGGGTAAAAATATACTTGCCCGGTACTAGGGAATCAGATATTGTCCGAACGTAGGGACACACCATACCCATGTAAAATTTCGATTACAATAACGTTAAAAAAAAATGTTTTTATTCGTTCATTTTAAAGGGCATACATAGTACAGGGGCGGACGTTTCCATTTAGGCTTGTTAGGGCCTGTGTTAGGAAACACCACTCTTCTATAATATTAATCGTAATCTTGCTCTTATATAATTTTAAGATGATGAAACATAATACCTTCTCTACTAAAACTAATCTACTATAATTGGTGTTACAACTAATACAAATTTCACTAATTACAGTAATTTTTTAACTTTTCAGACTAAAAAATAGATTAACCTAATTGTTACCGTGTGTGAGTGCAAGTATGTGTATATGTATCTGTAGGTGTGTAATTGTGTGGAATGTGTGAATGTGTACATGTGTGTCATCCATCCGATAGACGTACAATATCCAAAATTACATTACATTGTCATACCATGTAAGATAGTATCATTTCAATTGCTTGTCTCATATACAGCGTGTCCCAAAATTCAACGATAAGCGGGCGCTGGAGGGTGGACCTGCGCATAACTACTTGAGGAAAAATAAGAAAAAAATCTATCTCATTTTTTTTTTCAATTACGATAAAAAAATTGTTATTCTTCGAAAATTTACTCCCTTAATGATATTTTGAATCACCACGACCACATTTTTTCAGATATTTCTGATGTTTTAATTTTAACGGCCACCTAAGTAGTACTGCTGTCTACCACAACTCTTAAAAACCCTAGAATGCCTGCAGTTTTACACAAAAATCCATCAAAATATTTTTTTTCCTTAAAATTTTGAAATTTTTTTACCTTCAGTCGACTTTCACTCATCGTTTTGTAAAAAAAAAGTATGGACACCACTGCGGCAAGTTTTTTTAAAAATTGACGCAACTAACCAAGATTCCAAAATGGTATAATACTTTAATAAAACTAGGCGCCAAAAATATTGGTACCATTTCTAAGAAAGATTAAAATTCTTGATTATTGTTCTTGTTCATAATAATCACTTTTACTATGTGCCGAAAAAAGGTTATGTGTTGCAATTTCTTGGAATTTCAATGGCACGTGTGCGTAGTCGATACAATTTAGAAATTCCTCCAATTCACAGTCCAAAGTGATGCCAGGAAGATGGCTATTTAAATCTTCACAATTTACATAGTTGGAGCAATGAAAATCCGCACTGATGAGACAAGACAAATCCCAATATCAATTCAACACGCTGTATAAGAAGTTACTAACATAACAGTTGTATTATAAGTTTATATAAACATATCCGTAAATTAAATTTCGATTTGTGTATATTTACTTTATATATATGATGTACATACTGATATACTATAAATTTTACGTTTACTTGTTAATTTATTTATACATATATTTCAAACTTGTAATAATAATTGCTCATATGATTTAGTTTCGAGCCATTTTGTAATTGCTAACTTCATCCACGAACTATTTTCTTGTACAGATCCAGTTCTCAATTTAAACTATTATATAGATATGAGGCCCTGTATTTGTACTGACTACTAACCCCAGTAGTTTTGATTTTTGATACCAGCGCTATGCTAAAGTTTCTTCTTCTACGTAATACCCCAGGTTCATATGGCAAGTTTTTATGTTGTTTTATTACAGTGTATATAGTACATAAAGTTTCCTAACAGATGTTAGTTTTGTCAGCCTATACAAACGTTTATTAATATATTTGCCACACAAGTATTTCAATGTAAAATGTACTTACCAATGATTAAAGTAAAAGCAATACGCGCAATCTCTCGAAATAGTAATTTATGATGTTTCCAGTATTAGTAGATGCAACTGTTTTACACGCGAAATGTGTAATATGTCATCAATAAATCGTATCGAGCGAGACTAAGGCCTCACACGCCGCGAGGGGTTTCTTTCCGTTAAGTTTAACGTCCTTCTATAAACTAGAGCAAATGAGAGCATTATTATATTTATTTGGACGTGATCTGTCCGGTATTATGTGCTGTCCGGCGCTAGGGGATTCCCCCTACATGTTCCGCGTTTCATTGTAGGCGACTGTCTTCCGTGAATATCCGCAATAAATTAAATACTCGATTCAGAGCCCTGCAGATTCTACGCATGCGGATGGCCCGCAGGCGGGCAGTCCGTACGGACCGTAAGCACAGCTGTGAAACAAGAGCTTTTACTGGCCGGCTTATTGCGGTTCCTTGTCCAATACGTGTGGTGACTCCCTTATCCAGCGCAGTCGGTGAGTTTAGTCGACAAAAGTTTTTTAAAACGACATTTCAAATATTGAAATATACCAAATTCAATATTATTTAACGCGTGTAATGGTTACCGTGCACGAATTTGGGCACAAATCGACCCCTCCTTCGTAAAGTATCGTATGTCGAAATTGCCAAGTTTACAGGGGAGCGTTTTAAAGTTCTGAATTTACTAAAAGAGTGATCACCATAGATCATATAACCGATATCTAGGATTTTATAATACTCTATGTGAGTAATGAGCTTTGCCGAATAAAACTGAGAAATGCTAAAGTCACGTGTTATGTTCGTTTCAGTGAATTCAGAACTTTAAAACGCTTCCCTGTAAACTTGGCAATTTCGACATACGATACTTTACGTCTGAGGGGTCGAAATGTATTAGGTAATGAGTCGATATTACCTCACCTCGAATTCAAAATTGTCCCGTACTGAATCGGTTCTATTGCGACCCTAGATTTATTTCATCATTTATTTTTTTACAAACGAAATAAAAGCCATTTCAAAAATATATATCGTATACTATACGTGTTCTATTTAGTTCAGTTGATATAAATAAATTATTAATATGTATAAAGTACCTATTGAATAGAGCAGTTTTTTTGTGAAATTTCGAGATAAGTTTTTTTTATACTGTGAAAATTTTTAGGAATCACCGTATACTAATTGCCTCAAACAACTGCCTCCGTGGCCGAACGGTTACCACGCCGGACTGCCACGCAGAGGCCCCAGGTTCGATTCCCGGGCCGGGAGAAATATTTGTATGACCTACATTTATTTCTCTCGTGAGTTTGGGTGTAATTTGTGGTTGTCTATGTGTGTGTCCATGGCACCCGCGACACAGGGTTTCCCTAGTGCGGGGCTATGTTGAGTGTGTGCGTTATTACTAATCTATGTACATCCCCAATTTTACTATATATTATTTCCAAATCGATTCATTCAACACTTTCACTGTTATGCTGAATCAACCAAAGCCATTTGAGGTTGTATCGATACTTAAGACGGCACTTTGTGGAAATCCATGTTAATAATAAAACTCTGTTACCTGATTCTGAGAGAGCTGGCGGCGTGTCGGGCGATTGATAAGGGTTGAAAGACTCCACTTCCACATTTAACACGTTGTTGTTCATTCGTCTTGCGTCATCCTGTAACGTTAGCAATTAATTTATATGTCTATAGGCCTCTATTACTTTTTAATTAGACTGTTTTTACAAACTTTTAGCCTAATTCTCTAGTTTGGTTCTGGACTTCTTGGTAGTGACTCGAAATGAATTTTGTTTCTTTGATATAGGGAATTTTCTTTTAATACAAATGTACTTTTTTAACGAGCCTGAAAATTTTCACACCATGCTCTAAGAACACCATGACAAAATTTACAAGGAATTATCTGCAATATGAAATATTTTAACAGTTCATGTGTCAGAGACGTACCGTGATGTAAGCGGCATGGTCCGAGGGCAACGAGTGGTCTCGCTTCATGAATGACGGAACGACGATCAGCGGGTGGTCCTGCTCCGCGCTGCTACTGTCCTCGGTCTAAACACAATGTATAATATACCATAACAAACAAACATAACCATTTCATGCTATAAATACTCTCAGATGTTGGAAGGTATACTATAGCCCACAGGCGTCTGATTACCGGCTGCTTGCAAACATAAAGAGGCTTTATTTACAAGTATTTTATTTGCTTTGTTTACAAGTAGTCGCAACACGGGATACCAGCCAATATCTTGTCTATAGTTGTGCCTTTGCCCACACGCTAAATGGCGCTTAGTAAATATTTTTTTAGCTGAAAGCTCTCGTACGTTTTTGTAACCGCCTATATACTCGTAATGTGATATTTACGACGAAAATATGTACAATGAAAACCTCACAAGCAATTTCCCTATTTATTTTGTATTTTTGTTTCTTAATATTTGGCGCGTTCTTAGGTATTACGAGCTATGGCAGAATGCGACGGCAATATACTCCATAGTCCTTATTTATAATAGAACCATTTAACAGGTTTGTTTATAATTAATTAATATTGCCTATTTTATAGTTTATAATTATTGATATATCAATTAATTCATATTAAATAATATAGGGTAGTACTGCCACCTTACCTATATCTGCCGTCAAGCAGTAATGTCCAAGGGTGTTAGTGAAATTATACGCACATGGGACTTGTAAACTTATATCTCAGAGTGACGGGCGCAATGGCAGTGCCCCTCAGATCTTTGCAATTTAAAGCTCTGAGTAGAACTTTAACTGTTACAGACAGGCGTGTAGTTTACCATCAGGCGCACGACTTGTTCGTCCCGTCTCTTGATAAGTCAAAGTCAAAGATTATTTATTCAATTCAATTTAATCAAATTTGTGTGGATTCTGGAGCCGTGTCGTCTTTCCATACATCTTTATCTAACGCGTAGTCTTCAACTTTGTAATATGATTTTTCGATCAAAATATTTTTAAAGTACTTTTGAAACTTAGGAAATGATAAACTTAACAGATGCTCCGGAATCTTATTGTAAAAACGTATACAGTTCCCCATAAAAGAGTTGTTTACCTTGGTTAAACGAAATCGTGGTACCATGAGTATGGACTTAAGGTTAATATTATGGGTATCTTCTTTCTTATTGAAATGATGTATATTTTTACGGGCATATAAAATATTTGAGTAAATGTACTGTGATGCCAGTCATGATACCAGTCTCCTTAAACTTTTCTCTGATAGAAATCCGAGAGCCTAGATGGTACACAGAAAGAATCGCTCGTTTTTGCAATACAAATATAGCTTGAATGTCTGCCGCTTAACCCCATATGAGAATCCCGTAGGACATTATACTATGGAAGTAACTAAAGTAAACTAGTCCAGCAGTACTAAAATCGGTAAGCTCACGTATTCTGCGGACTGCGTATGCAGCGGAGCTTAATCTGCTGGCCAAGGTAGATATATGTGGAAACCATTGAAATTTACTATCTAAGGTCACTCCCAAGAAGACTGCTTTATTAACAAGGTCTAACTTTTCTCCGTTTATTTCTATGCTCTATGATATTATAAAAAAGCCTTTTTTCATTGTGCGTAATATTTATTTTTATATATCTACTATGAAGAGGCTCACCTGTACCCTGTCGTACTCAACAGCTTCATGGACATCGTGCAGATTATCGTGCATGAGGCCGCTGTTGTGTATTCGACTATTGTCGTGCATGTGACTGTCATCGTGTGACTCACGAGTCGGCGATGAGCTTTGCTCATTGGCGTCCTCGCCCACTGCGTCGGCTATTAACGCGCGCAATGCTGCTTTCGAATCTGGTTCTGTAAGAGTAAAAACGGTTAAGACTTATAATCTCAGTACAGAGTAACACAAAAACCGACCTCAAAAGTGCGTGGAATTATATCTATTTGCCAAGTTTTATTGAAATCGGTAACCGGAAAGTGCGCGAAACTGGATTCATCCCCTAGTTTGCCACCATTAGAGGAGGAATATTTTAAAAGGGACCACTACTGAGGTACCCTCTTTATAACAAAAAATCGGTTCACAAACCGGAGTTATCGCGTAACATACATACATACCAGTGGCGAGAAGGCCGATCCACAACAAAAAAACACTTACCTTAACAAAATTTCCTTTACCTTGCATTAAATTGAATATTTTAAACATAAGTTTTTTAAGTGGTGGGTTACGCGCGTCGTCTAGAGTACAGTCTTGATAATACGTGGAAAATTTTCGGCAAGCCGGTCGGAATCACGTTATATGGAAATCTCGCCACTGATACACATAAAAAAAAATTCCGTCAAATTGAGAATTAACCTTCTCCTTTTCTTTGAAGTCCGTTAAAAAGAAACACGTTCTCGAGCATTATAATCGCATACTTGACTGTTGTTTGCCTGGTCTGAGATGTTATTATTCTAAATTGGTTCTACCGGGAACTGAAGCCGGGACTCCATACAAAGCGCCTGTAGTACTAAATGCATTTATAGATATATAGAAATATATATAGAAATATATATAGAAATATATATAGAAATATATATAGAAATATATATAGAAGTACACATGCTAAAGCTCACCATAGTGTTTCTCCGGTTCGTGATGATCTTCAGTGTGTATGTCTTCATGATGCTCAGGCTCCGTGTCGTCGAGAGACGGTAGGTCACGCGGCGAGGCGCTTTCTGGTGTGATGCCGCGTTGTTCCAAGATCTCGCTCACGTCTTGCAAGGTCACAGGATCGGCCACCGCGGGGGACAGGGGAGCCAGCAAGCTCTGCCCGCGAGAATGTTGCTGCTGTAATTAATTATACTTAACACTCTTCTTTCCAACAACCTTCGTAATCAAGTGGCCGGTTTTCGTGGTGTCACGATCTCTGAGGTCCGGCCGGCTCAAAGTATAAAAAACTTTTCTAAATTGTCTCGGGTCTGGGTGTTTGTGGTACCGTCGTTGTTTCCGATGTCCATAACACAAGTGCTTTAGTTATGTTGTCTAATATTGATCCCCAAAAATCTTTTGAGAACACTAGAAGCAACAACAGACTAAGAAATGCCAGTGGAAATCTGACAACAGTAGTCTAAATCACCATCTGAGTGCAGTAGTCTAAAAAAATAACCTTAGTTAATTTTTCGAAGTCAACGTCTTCAAAGATGTTTAAATCTCACAATAACGCTTTTTTTCATAAATAATTGCGAAGCTAAGAAAAACCAAATAACAGAACATACAGAGAAAACACTTTTCGTAAAAATATTTCAAATTAAAACTTCAAAAAAAACGGGAAAAATTTATTTAAAAAAAGGATCGTTTCTCGAATATCGAAACACGGCACTAATGTCGTTATTTTAAACTTGTACACATTATATTTATATTGAAAGAATAGTATACCTATTTACAACTTTAATAATATTATTACAACTCACCATGGTTGCGTGTGTGGGTTTCGAGACGGGCGCTATTCGGACTAACTTCTGTTGCGGCTTCGAAGTTACTGGAACATCACAAAGAAAACAACACTTTCACCACCGATATCGCAACTTATTTGCTTTTTATTTCATATCACGAATATAAACACGATACAATAAAATTCCCTCCAGCTTGACACCAACCAAACAACTTTCAGAGAATTTTCGAATATCTTTAATTTAAATAATGTTCTAGATTTTAAGTTCAAATAATTTCAAATAGAGAAAACTCCAATTTTGCTTATAAACTTAGGTATTCGCGTCAATGTTTAATTTGAATTCCAGTTTTCCATTTTCTAAAAGTTAATGTTCGACGAATGTCATCGGAACTTGAAACATTTCCCGCGTTTATTAAGGATGTGTTCATTTTTGTGCAATAATTTTAATACCCTATATTAGTGAGCATAAATAATACAAGTATAAAAAAAATTGTAATATCATTCACCTGTTTAATACGAGTACGAGTATGACTTGCCGAAGTCATGCTCGTACAAACACTCGTTTGATTCGTAGTGAAGCTTTCAACTACGGTTTTTCTTCTTTATATATGATATGTTGAATTAAATTGTGCACTAAGTACCTATTCACTAAGGTTCCTATGTACACTATGAGGTATTTCAAGAATAAATCTTTGCACGAATAAATCTTAAGTAGAATAGGATACTCCCCGAATAAGGCATTTTCAGAATGAAGGCTACCACGACTACGTACTTTTACGACTATAGGTCATTTAGCGAATAGGTCGTATGACGACTAAGCCAAATTTAGGACCTACAATTGGCATTTAGTTGTTATTATTACCATTAAAACTTAGCTTAAAACTGAAGTCAGTTTTAAGCTGTTGATCTCCCTAAAATAAGTAAATTATATCCAAATATATATATTTGAACTTTTAAAACTCCTTAACGTACAGTTAAGCTAAATACTTTACTGTACACCCATTATTGAATTAGGCCCATTATCCACCAAAACAGTGCGGAGAGGAAGTATTTCAGCAAACAATATTACGTTACATTAGCAAAATAACCAAAATATTAAATTTATTATTTTAGTTATTCTTATTATAATTTGGTTATTACAATTAATTTATCTAAAATAATAGTTTCATTTCCTATGTATGTATCTATATATGTATGTGTAACAATCGCGAAAACCTAAGAACTGGAAAATCATTTCATAATAAGCTTTATGAACTATAGTGTAGCAGTAAAGATGAGTTGTTTTAGCAACCAATAGTTATTAGTTATTTTTTACATCTTCAAGCCCTTATTCTTCTCATTTTGCCTTCGTAAAATTTATGGTTAGTAGTTTACGATATTCATATATATGTATTGGTTTTATTAATTATTTGTAAATATATGTATATTTGCATTTATTTATCGATTTTTATCTATTGACTACTAATTCTTCATACACCGCCGTCTTTTTCTTTTGAATTATATAATTACTTCCATCCAAAGGTTGTCTGGCAGAAATCGCTTAAAGTGATAAGACGCCCATTGTACCACCGCTTATTTTTAATTTAATTTTATTGTATTTATCGAGTTCTTAGGTTTTCGCGATTGTTACACATAGGAAATGAAACTATTTTTCCGGATTTAAATCGCGTATATTTGTTTTTTCAAACAAACCGACGTTTCGGGCCCTTTACAGGTCCCATGGTCACGGTTGACTGCAGTCAACCTTGCAGGCATTAGTTTCATTTCCTATGTATTGTATTTGTTTCCTTTTTTGGTGTACAATAAAGAATTTTTGTATTGTATTGTATTGTATTGTTACGAAGAAAACCACGGGATTACAAATGCAATAAATAAAATATTAATAGCGGAGACATTCCATACACAACGTATACCCATACTGGCGTAACAACGTGACGAATAGAAAAAGATATGTATGAATTCAACGATTTTATGAACGTTATGCCACTGACACTGTTCCCGCTAAGGCGCTCCATCAGTCATTTGCATTGTACTTTTTGTTAAAATAACTTTCATCTTGCACGACTTGTTCGTCCCTTCACTTGATATTATTAAAAAAATCTCGATTTAGACCAGGGTTTCTTAACCTTTTTTTAGTCATGGACACAAAAAAATACTCTCAAAAATAGAAAGAGAATATGGACTCTTTCCGAAAAGATAAAAAAGATGAGATTTAGCTTTTACCAGCTATGATTGTTTGCGATTAAACTTTACATATGAATATATGTAAATTTATGAATATAAGCAAAGTTTAATATGTGACGGTTGCTGCCTGCTTACGTTGGATTAGAACGTCAAAGAGGTTGACCACGGCACTTACCCGTAATAATGGATGGCCGTCAAAGGGCGTGAAATTTCAAAAAGGTCATGCGCTCAGTAGCTATTTACTCACAACATACTGTATACCAATTTTTATACTAATGCATTACTTTAGGTAGGCTCTTAGGGGTCGATGGGCCACAGTTGAAGAAATCCTTATTTAAACGAACAACCTAATCCACTTTGACAGGTACTTACTTTTCTGTATGGCGCTGCTGGTGACGACTAAAGGCGGGGGCTGTGAGCCCATCTTATCTGCACTCATCTGTATCAAGTTACCTGCAACAAAATTATCAAATTATTAACTTTGGATTCTTTGAGCTACTTCTTTCTTCCACTTTTTAGTTCCCACAAGTGATTTTCCTGATATTTGATTTTGTTACCAATTCTTTGTACTTTTTTTTTTCATATTATTTACCTTTACTATCAGTAAGAACAAAAGTTTTGGAAGTTGTTGCAGTGCTGGTTTTAATGGCCGTTGTTTTGGCAGTTGATGTCGGATTCGTCACTAGGCGTATGTATTGTACCTGTAACAGGTCGAATGTATGGAATTGATTGAAAGCAAGTGTAAAACACTAAACTACTCTGTCTTGTTACACCCCAAAGACAAATATTCTGAAATAACCAGTTCAATTTCGTTATATATTTTTGTATTAAGCAGCGAGATGTCAAAATAACGACTACTATGCTTCAGTGGATAATGAACCGTGCAATTGAATAGGCAGTTGAAAAGTCGGCTCAACATTAAAGCTTATATATCTTTACGATTAGTACTGGAATGTTTATATTTAATTGAACTTACGCCTTTTCCTGGAACACTAATTTGATGCAATTGAGATTTTGCGTTTTTTGGAATCTGAAAACATAAATTTCCATTAAATAAATTATTCAAAAATTTTTACTTTACACTAAGCACTATGGGAATAAGATTTGTAAAAAAAATTAAATATCTATACTTTTTGGGTTATGTAGTTAACAGTGTACGGCACCTGTATTACAATTTCAACAACTTACTTGACTGACTTGCGCAAGAGTGCCCGACTGTGTTGTTTTCAATATCACGTTCTGTGGATTTGTCGTTATCACGAGTTTTTTTGTAGCAGGCCCTGAGAACCACGTTCATATTATAGAATCGCATAAAAACATTTTACCAAAGACATACGTACTGTGACGCCTACAAAAAATATCAATTCCATTTTTTAAATTAAGATCAATAATTTTTAAGGGAGTCATCACACTTATCAACACGGGTTCGCATTAAGCCGGTCATAAAATTATCAAGCACGCACGCACGCACGCACACACACATAGAAGAATTATCTCGAAGGTTTTTCTGTTACCGTAACTTTTTTTAATATAAATATTCTAATTTCTGTCGTCTTTTTTTTCTCTCATACATATAATATAATTTGTGGTTGGTATATGTTACTTAGTAACATATGTTTCATTTGCAAGGGTTGGGGTTGACTTGTAGCACAGGTGTTAAACCTATAGCAAGCACCAGCTCCTACAAAATATTGTTCTAAAATTACTATTATTGTTTATGTACTTCTTAATTGCTGTTTTATTTTGTAGAGATAGAAAAAGTATTATTATTATTATTTCTCCATCTTTTATTTACAACAAAATAAGTATCGAATTTCCTTTGAAAAATTACTCAATCAGAGAACTAAACTCAAAAGTGAAACATTGACTGAAATCACTCTGCTATGAGGATGTTGAACAAATTCTGAAAGTAGACAAATAGACAGACAAACACACACGCACAAATGCCCGCCCGCCCGCATTTGCTTTGTAATTAACATTATATAATTTCCTATTGTTTCATAAGTAATTAATTAGTTTTTAGAAATTTTCTTATAAACATACTGTTTGTCAAAGAATATATCTAAATTCTGATACTAGGTGAGCAAGACGTTGTGTTATTGCGCGCGAAGTAGGTGCGCTGTCAGTGCGTGCGCGAGGCTGCGCCATTTATGGGCCATAAAGGTCTTACTGGCGACTCGAGGCGTTTCCATGTGATTAAATGTGGCGCGTCCCTTAAAATACTTTTTTCTTATCAACTGACGAGAAGTGGTCAATTAAAAGGGCATATCGCCGAGAATGGAATGCGCCAGCATTAAGATAATATGTATTTACAGAAATACTGTAATAATTTTACCTGGTGTGGTCGATGCGGGTAACAATTTGGGCGTTGGCGATTTGATTGTAATCACTTGATGTTTCTTTGTGATTTTCATACCAGATTTCGTTGGAGACGTCAACAGCATCTGCGTAATAAATACATCCTATAATGTCGAACTGTTAATCTTGAATCAGTAGACGGGCCAAATAACAAGGAATATTTTAAATACAAATTGTAAAGTACTAACTATATTATTATTGACTATATTATGCAGTCAACCGTGACCATGGGACCTGTAAAGGGCCCGAAACGTCGGTTTGTTTGAAAAAACAAATATACGCGATTTAAATCCGGAAAAATAGTTTCATTTCCTATATATTATTATTATAATTATTAATACAAATACCGAACACTTACAAAAAAATTCGATCTCGCCGGATTCGAACCGACGTCTCCTAGCAAACCAGACGCTATGCCAAATAAGCCACGGAACGAACCAGCGGACCTCATGATTTTTTTCTAAGTGTTTGTTGTCGGATCTTTGTATTTAGTTTTCAACGACTTTTTAGCCTTTTTGGGATATCCTTTTTAGACTTTTTAGCATGGTGGTGAAACATTCTAACATTCAATAAAAAGCATATTATTATTTCTCGATGAAAACATTTGATATTATTTTGTAATTTATGAGTATGAGTGGGTACTACTGAGGTAATTTGATTCATATACCATTCGGAACACACACACAAAATGACACCATCTTCTCGCAACTGTACTAGACAAAGCTAGATCTGACCTTATTATTGCCGATGGAGATAGGCACCGTCTTCTGCTGCATAGCAACAAGTCGCGTGGCCGCTGTGCCGCCCGCTACCTTGGTGATGATGGGCGTCTGCCCTGTCGCGCCCTCGCTTTGCTGGCCTGCACACGTGTACCACAGATTGGGAGTTACTACCAACTTTGGCTCAATTTACAAGTATGGTCTAGTGTTACCAGCTTAAGTAGCAGTAGATCTCCTCGTGAAAGAGTTCGTCCAGGGTAGTACTGCCACCTTACCTATTTCTGCCGCCAAGCAGCAATGTGAGCATTACGGCGTTCCGGTTTGGAAGTCTAAGGGCGCTGGTGAAATTACAGGCACATGGGACTTGTCAACTTATGTTTCAGGGTGACGGGCGTATGGCAGTGCACCTAAGATTTTTGCGATTTAAAGCTCTGAGTGGTGCTGCAACTGTTATGGATAGGCGTGTCGCTTGCCACAAGGCACACGACTTGTTCGTCCCATCACTTGGTATTATAAAAAAGATTACCTTGAAGTAGGACTTTAACGGTTTTTCCTCCTTGAGTAGATGTGATCAGTTGTGCCTGAAACAAACAAATAAATGTTGAATTACTATTGTGCAGATCATTTTGGAAAGTGTGTGGGTAAGGACTAGATGGATATCCTCTAATATTGGTATGAAGGTTAATATTCCCCCACCTATTCATAGACTTTATGGTTTTACCTGTTCTGCGTCAGCAGCGCCGAGCAGGCGCACAGTGGGCACACCCGGACCGGCCGTCACTAGTTTGATCTTCTGTCCGGTCGCCGGCACCATAACCAGCTGCTTGCCAATTTGCGCTGCAACATCAAATCAATTACAAATTACTATACTAATGTAAAAAAATACTTTTCGTCAATTTCATGGTCGCGTTTACCCACGACAATGAACTCTCGATGATAGAAATGTTACGACAAAGTTGAATAAAAGCAAAAAATAATTTATACATTATTTAATGACTCTGCTGGTCTTTTGTGTCTCTCGCATAATGACCAACAACTAAAACAATAATTTAAAAAAAATGTTTGTTTCATATTAAAAAAAAAACATACAGTCCCCAATTTTTTTACAATTGGTTGTTTTTCAGAAAAAAAATTAACTGAAAGAAATAAGACACTAACTGTAATTATTTTACTTTATTAATACTGTAAATATGAACTTCCAAGTAACACTGTACTTCTAATTTCCAGTAAAAGTGATTGGAGAATTATTAGATTGGGGAATTTCCCGTCCATGGATAGTACCAAATTCAATATAAAAAATACAATATGCCCTTCATGCCTGTTATATTTTTATTTTCATACTTTTAGAAAACAAAACCTACTCCAGAAAAAAACCATCGTTTACGATATTTTTTTCATCTCCAAAAAACAGATTATTTACAACACTACTCTCGCACATCAAACAATGAATCAATCTCACCTAATACAGTATTGCCTTTAGAAGTAGCCTGCACACCAGCAGGCGTGACTTTCTTCACCAAGCTAATGGACTTATTGCCAACCAATGACATGGGTTTAGGAGCAATGGCGTATTGCTTGTTGCCTTGTATTAGTGACTGTTTCTTTGCCATGTCAAGCCGCGGCGGTTTAGGCGCTATAGCTATTTGCCGCGGTACTGCACTGGAGAACACTACCGCTTCTTTTTTTGCTGCGATTGGTCGCAATGTTGGTGTTGATGCCTGGAAGATAATAATTTCATAATTTTTTTTATTCCAGTGCTTCATACATGGGCCCAGTGAGAGTCAGCGCAAAACGGCGGACAGCAAGGCAGAGAAGGCTTTAACTGTATCTGTAAATGGGCTGTAAATGGTGTATTTTATGCCATTTCAATTTAAATAACGTATAAATTGCAATGCTCCGAGAACGACCTCAGAGCATCGCGGGGCATTTCTTTCTGCATCTCAGAACATTGAAATTTATACCTTATTTCAATTTTTATAGCATAAAATATACATTGATAAATTGAAGGTCCTCTGCCATGCCGTTCGCCGGTTTGCGCAGTCTTTAACTAGACACCTTATATTAAATGGTGAAACAAAGCATTACACTAAGGAAAATGAACTTGTATGTACAATTGAGTAGAATATTGTCTGCTTAAAGATGCATAACCGCATAAGTCACATTATCTACAAAAAATCTCCAAATTATGTACCTGTTGTAAGAAAATCACCATCGTTCTGCAGATAAATCTCTTATTGAGTTTATAGCGCGTGCAGAAAGATAGTGGATATTCATACCATAGCTATATAAATTAAAGACTTTTTGTTTAAAATGTCACTTATGTGGTTTTACCTTTAAACAGATGATATGACATTTGAGTGATTACCTTGACGGCAATAATCTTGGGTTGCATGTGAACATCTGATGTAACTACATCTGACGTAGCTGATACTGAAATGGCTTGCGGTTCAAACTGCAGATCTATCATTGACTCCGATTGCGAAGTGAGAACCTCCTGTTGCACCAAAAATGTAAAAGTTAAAAACAAGAAATATTATACAAAGAATTTCACATTATAAATATACATATAGTCAGATAAGGAGTGGTAGCCCTATAGGTTGCTTGTCAAGAGAAATTGACAGTTCAAATCTCTGTGGTGGCATGTACATTTGGCTTTAATTTCTAAATTGCGTACTATTAAGAATGTTTATTAGTACTAACTAATGGTGTACAAAACTTTGTGATGAAACCTGCATGTTGAAGATTCAAAATTACTGGAAAAAAGTGATGTTGTCAACTCATATTGAGCCAGTGCTGCCTAAACATCTCTTTAGAGAAAGCCCATGCCCACTGATTGTAAAATGACTTGATTCATGATGGGCCTATCACTCTTGTACTGACTTAATTTTGCATTTTCTGTAGGAACATTGCACAAAATTTTTTGAGAAAGTATGAGTTCAAGCCAAAGCAAAAAATCTTTAGGAATTTCATAATTACTTGTGCGTCATTATTAGGAGTAATCGAAGCCATCTGGTCATCCTGCGTGGAGTACTCTTGCAGTGTGAATTGTTCCCCCATGAAATCTGAAACTGAATACGTATTATTAACATGTTGATGGATACAGCAAACACCTGTACAAAAATACTGTTTAACACAGTATTTTTGAGCATGTTGGTAAAGCCATTGATATCATTATCATATACCATACTGCCCGAGGTACAGCACTATTTTCAAATTCCAAAGGCACTATTTGAGTTGTATGGGAGTTGGTGATTACAATGGGAACATATTATATTCTAATTTATAATAACAATTCTCTTTTTTCTATAATCATTTTGCTATTGTAACAGAAAAATTATTTAATATTATGTTGTATTCTTAATACAACTTATTGGATGTCTATCTGAAAAGCCCTTAACAATAATCAGTCAATAAATAAAATATTCAAACTGTTTCAGAAAAACAAATTATTCTTAGGACATGCTGGACACAACAATGCTTACCAAGACATTAACTTTATAAATTAACTACATAAAGGCAGCAGTATACTGAATCGCTGGTATACAAAGTGTTTGCTTTTAAATGGAACAGTATGCGGAAATCTGAAACCATTACAAGACACATGGAAACTGTCTTAGGAACCATTAAGTATTTTTTTGTGAAAACAATTTTGGCATAGTAAATTATTTTTTGAAGCGTGTGTTGTCCATAAAAATTAAAAATGATTATATTTGATCAAAATTTTTTTAGTGCTGATCAACTCAGTTTCGTAAATGGATTATTTCATTGTTCAGGATAAAAAAAGTTGCGACAGCAGAAGTTAGTCAAATTTCATAAAATATCTTTCATACAAAATTAATGAAACAGACTAATTTTTTTTCAATGCTGATTAACTCAGCTTCTTATAAGGATGATTATTTCATTGTACAGGATGAAAAAAATTGGTACAGCAGAAGTTGGTCTAATTTAATAAAATTATAATTTCATACAAAATGAATGAAAAATTCTAAGATTGAGATGTGAGAGATAAAGATTTATTATTTTATTATTATAAAAAAATTTTTGTATAGTGAAAGCACCTACTATAAAGTCCAAGTAAAGAAAAAAGTACTTAATTTCCAATTAAATATTATCTAATAATGCGCAAAGTTAGCAATTAATGTTTAATTCTAACTGTTTATAGCAAATAAAAACAAGTACCTAAGGGTTGGCTCCCTTTTGTCAGCATGCATCAGCTGAATGCGTGTTTTAAATTGTGGTGTCATTAGCACACTTCTTACTAAATCATGTTGATGATGTCACATAACATAAAGTAAGATCCTTAAATAACCAAGAAATTTGTGTCAGTACCCAACAACATTATAAAAAACTAGAGATTGCTTACCAATGATTTCTTCGTTCCCGGTGTCCATAAGCATCGGTTGCTCCTCAATATGCCCAAATTCCATTGGAATGCCTCCATCGTGGACCTCTGCACCCAGTGAAATGTCTGCTTGACTCACAACGTTGTCTTGAGAGTGATCGAAGTCCACCTAACGTAAAGAAACAGAAGTATTATAGGCCACAAATGTTTACATGTGTAAATTAAAATGGATATTATGCGTTTGCCACTGTAAATAATTTGTTATCCCGTGAAAGAACTGCAGACAAAGCCAATTAAAAGAAAATTAACACAGTTAATATAGAATTTTTCACATAAAACTGATAGTAATATCAGTCAACAAAAATAACTTCCAACACTCACTCCTATAGCACTCTCTAAGTTCAAGGAGTCGTCCAAGTTGTGATCCATATTGAAAGACTTTTACATCACAATATTCACTTAAAATGTAGTTAAATATAGGCACAAATTATTGTAAAAAGACACATAAAATCCAAAACAACTTGAGTTCAAAAGACGCCGCCATTTTAGCTTGTCAAAAAGCCCAAAGCCTGCGAACGAAGTCGCCACGGTTGAAAACAAATTGTCACGAAAATCAAACACTGTTTTCAGCACAAACAACACAGTTTCTAGTGAACTAAAAGTTTAAAATTTAAATGTTCTTACAGCAGATTGTTTCTTAACTATTTAAGATTCATTTTATTGCAATAAAACCAAGAAATTCCTAAATAATCAGCACAAAATACCGATGGCGCTTCTTTCAATTTTGTATGTCACATGCTGCCAACATTAAGCATAATTACTTTTTAATGACGCGTTCAGTTAAACTAAAATATTCCTAACTAGCAATACTATTTTCTCGTAAATGTCTGTAAAGGCAACGTTACAAATGTAATAAATTACGATAACCATGTTAGTTCAGATTTTTGGGAGCATCAATAGCTTTGAAAACCATCTGAATAATCATTTAGTACAAAAAAAAAGAATTATTTTGTGGCAATACCTTGCAAAAACACCATCATCGTCAACGTAACGACATGAACTGATGCGTTCAAAATTACAAGATATCCTTAAATCGATTCGAATCGTAACATTTGATGTAAAAAAAAACCATTGAGAGACTGACTGATTTTTTTCCGATTAATTCCGATTTCTGATGTAACAACGACGTCAGTCTCTCTATTCCACAGACTATTGGAGAGTATAGTGTTCTGTGCTATTGGATGCTACCGATGTATCAAAATAATTTTGTAGGTGTTGCAGAAATTTTGTTTATAATTAATTTAATTCTATAGAAATAGAAGAGCAAATATGCCTCTCGATTTACAGGGAGTGAGGCAATATCTCAGTGAGTTGAGAAACTCGGGAGGCCTACACAAGGACCAGGCTGAAAAGTAAGTAATCCGCGACTTTATTGCGTTTTAGTTGATATACCTACTTAAAAAACAAATAATATCTTGTTTTAGATACCGCAACGTTCTTATGGAAATTCTTAAAACGCCGGTGGAAGATTTGGCAGGTTCACTAAAAGCTTTTGTAGAAGCAAGTACGTAAAATGTTGTTCTTACAAATAACCATAATTGTATAACAATACGAATTTGATTTGCCAAACTAGACCAAATATAAGGTATCCGTTACATTATCTCAAGTATGAAATACTGCTAAATTAAATTAATTTCCTGCTCTCTAGGGGTCCCACAGCACAGCTCTCAAAATATAGTAATTTATTAAACCTACCTTAATTTCAGTTGTAAATGAAAATGTGAGTCTGGTGATATCACGGCAACTGCTGAGTGATGTAAGCACACATCTTGCTTTGTTGTCTGATGATGTCTCGCAGGAGGTGTCACACTTTGCTCTGGATGTCATACAACCCAGAGTCATCTCCTTTGAGGAACAGGTAAGCTTAGCTTGTGTTTGAATGTAATGATAAGATGTTATTATATCCTACTAGAAACTTGTGTCAGTAGAACACATTCAACTGAGTAATGAGTAAGGAAGAAAAGTGTCACAGGACTCTTTATTCCAAACTACACCAATAATGTGAAATAGATCAGTTTATGGTTCAAGGATAAATCGCAGATGTAAATGAACTACCAAATAGAAAAATAATATCCTGGCTTTTCTTTTTTTGCAGTGACTTGAAAAATAGAGTTTAGAGTATAATAGAGAAACGTAAAAACTGTTCAAAAACAGTTTTGAATATTGAAATTGTTTAATGATATTTTTTTTTTATAACAGCAATTGATGGGGCAAACAAGTAGTACGCCTGATGGTAAGCTACACACCTGTCCATAACAGTTACAGTGCCCCTTAGATCTTGAAATTACAAAGATCTGAGGGGCACTACCACTGCGCCCGTCACCCTGAGACATACGTTGACGTTAAGTCCCATGTGCTATTTGTCCATCCCATCGCATGTGTAATTTCACTATGTTTTTTATTTAGATTTAATGTTATACAAATAACTCAAGTAAACCTTAAACTTGTATGTTGTGGATGTAATGTATCAACACCTAGTCATATAATTATTTTCACTTTGTTGTAGGTAGCCAGTATCAGGCAACATTTGGCAGAAATATATGAAAGACACCAAAATTGGAAAGAGGCTGCTAATGTACTGGTTGGAATACCACTAGAAACTGGACAAAAGTATTCAATTCAATTCATTGCACCATATAAAGCTCATAGTCTAGTATTGTACTGTCATCCGCTAAGTAAAATATGGCTAAGTGACAAAATATTTTTTTAGATGTAAAAATATGCATATTAAATTATGGTTAAAAAATTATGATGAGATGTAAAAATATGGTTATTTAATTATGGTTAAAAAATTATGGTTTCATATCTGTAAAAACTGTTCAAAAACAGTTTTGAATATTGAAATTGTTTAATGATATTCCAGCTAAGCATCATTAAGGTAATTTCCGATAAGTCGAGCACGTTAACTAATTTTAAATGTTTTTAAAAGAGAATTTTGTGCTCTATGTTTTGGTATTTAAAATGGATATTTCACCATTTGTCACTTAGCCGCATTTTAGTTAGTGGTTGGCAGAGTAATAATTAATACATAGAAAAACATTGCCAATGTATGCACCCCTCAAGGAAGAATAGCATAAGTAGTATGTCAAACATGTTTGTTGCTCCATTCTCCAATTCTCCAAAGGATCTCCTATTGGAGAGGATGAGGGTGGTATGTGGGTTATATTTTTTGTGTCTAATGGAGCAATAAACATGTTTGACATAATTCCATTTATGCCATTATTCCATTAAGGGTGTTAATCTTATGAATATTCTTACTATACTAACCTACACCTCTGAAAGTAGTGGTTTTTGTTTTTAAAAAGAAGACTTGACTATTCTTTATCAAGCTCATCCGATACAGAATGTTTTTTCCAAGAGTATAATTTGTTAGCAAGTATAAAGAGTGAAGCAAAGTGTTTGTCCACTTGACATCTCTATTGAGACTTCATTCTGGTCATGTATTTATATATAAAGCACAATAACTGCTAAGTCAGTTTTGTAACAAACAGGAATATTTGGTGCATATGATGGACTATTACCATAGTTGTAAAAGCCAATTTCAATTAGGGTATTATGTTGTGTGCGGTTAAATCCTGCATTGTACACCTTTGGTGAAGAGGTTGAATAATTTGTATATAAAATGAGGTCTTGCCTCTCCTTATAAGGCAACATCTTGCACATGAGTATTCAGCATGGATAAAATGTACTTAATTGACCAGCACAATACTGACATTGGCAAATAAAAAGAAGATAAAGTCAGATTCAAAATATTACATGGTGTTTCATAATTAAACTGCAGGATTTATGTTGTAATAAGTACTGCAGATTATACTGAAATATGATAAATGTTATTTTCAGGCAATACTCAGTGGACTACAAACTAGAGACATACCTCAAGATAGCTCGCTTGTACTTAGAAGTGGATGACCCTGTGCAAGCTGAAGCATTTGTCAATAGAGCCTCACTACTACAGGCTGAAACTACCAATGAACAGTTGCAGATTTATTACAAAGTCTGTTATGCTAGGGTCTTAGATTATAGGAGGTAAATTTGGTTGACTATAACCTAAAACATTATATTTACACTTGTGTTAGCAGTTTAACAGCATTGCGTTGGTTAATCATTACAAATGGAAAGTTATTACTCATTGCAAAAGGACTAAATTAAGTATTATGCGCGCCCCTCATGGAAGAATGGCATACGTGAAATTCCGTCGTATTGTCGAAATTACAATATTAGTCGATAAAGGTACAAAAATTGGAGAGATGTAGGTAATATTTTTCTTTATCCAATGGAGCAATAAACATTTTTTACGTGATTTCACTTATTCCATTCTTTCATGAGATATGTAAATTTCAACTTTGTTAAGGATTATATATTTCATAGGAATGTCAATGAGAATTTAAAAGAGAACATAAATATATTTACAGAAAGTTTATAGAAGCTGCACAAAGGTACAACGAGCTGTCATATCGTAATATTATTCACGAAGATGAGAGAATGACTTGCCTCAGAAATGCTCTTATTTGCACAGTTCTCGCATCGGCGGGTAAGTCAATAATTAGACTTTAATTAACTAACGCCAACATAAATATTTTTTAATGAAATAAAAGGAAAGACTAGGGCAATGTTTTATGTGGTTAGTACAAACTTTTATAAACAATAAAATTTGCATATTCATTAAGCCTTTGTCTGTCTTCTTTTTCTTCCACAAATAGGTCAACAAAGATCGAGAATGCTAGCAACTCTGTTCAAAGACGAGAGGTGCCAGCAGCTGCCTGCATACTCGATTTTAGAGAAGATGTACTTAGACCGCATCATTCGTCGCTCTGAGTTGGCAGAGTTTGAAGCTCTCATGCAGACACATCAGAAGGTAGTTATTTAAATTGTACTTTTTCATCATCAGTTGTCAATTTTTAAAGCGCAACAAAATCTATTCAATAATCCACACTACTATTTTTAAATTTTGTCGGTACGTCACTCTCGCGCCGCACAGTATGTTATTTTACCTTAATAGCGGACATCCTCTGTGTTGTTTATGTGTTTTTTAGAAAGATAATATTCAAATAAAGTTCCTAATACAAGTCTACAGGCTGTATCTATCGTAGGTTTAGAGAAACTTAGAAAATCGATAAAAATCCTTAAAAACCATAAAATCAGATTATTTCCTTTCCTGTAAATGATTTTTCTTTAAATATTTCATGTTATGATAGAAAACTACTAAAAGCACCAATAAATAAAAAAAATAAAAAAATATCAAGTTTTCCTAGGCCACAATTAATTTTTTTCTATGATTTCCTTATTATTTTTTTTCTCAAGAATATCTACATATTAGCTTTTTTTTCAACGCGGATATGTTAATTACAGTAATAAGCACTACCACAAAAAAAACCAGATGCGACAAACCGAAGAGTTCAGAAATATTGAATTTTAAATTTTGGGTTAGGGTTTGTCACTGAACATTTATCCTGCCTGCAAAGCGCAATATTATATATTCATATCTTACTTTACTCACTTCTTAATTTTATTTTCTTCGAGAGGACCGCCGACCGGTGATACAGCGTGACCCTACCCTCCGATTCTAAAGTGGCACGATATATTACAAGGTCATTTTTCAGACATCGGCATTCCAAAAACTTGTAGATCTGATTTGATTTAAAACAGTAGAGTACAACTTCCAAATAGCCCTGATTTGTGGTGTTTTTAAATGAATATGAATAAGGAAATTAGGTAAATAGAAGCATTTTATAAGAATATCGTTAAATTTGAACAAAACTTAGAAAATATTTAATAGCAAATATTTTTTACCCTCAATTTGGGCGTGAAACTTGAGTGCTTGCCTGTTTCTGGGGTGAGCCGTATATGACCATTGATCAAAGGTCGGAAAATTAGATACATATTGTACTACCATGGAATGCGCTTTTGTGTCGGGTACCGGGTTTTGTGGAACTTACGAAGTCAAGTATAAAATTGAAGGAAAATAAACGTTATACAGCTTTTAACAATTTTCAACCCCAGCCAATGCACCGTTAAATAGAAAGAGATAACTGTAAAATAATCTAAAGGTGTGCGCGAGATAGATATACCTGCTTGTACCTGGCAGTGTGTTAATTTGCCTTAGTTGCGGAAATCCTCGTTTGATGTGTTTTTTTAGAAAGATAATACTCAAACAAAGCTCTTAATTAAACTCTCCTGACTATAACTATCATAGTTTTAGAGAAATGTAAATCGAGAAAAATCCATAGCGACCATAAAATCAGATTATCTCCTTTCCTGTAAATTATTTTTCATGAAATATTTCATGTTATGGTATAAAATTACTAAAAGCGCCAATAAGTCCAAAAAATAAAAAAATATCAACCTATCCTAGACCACAATTATTTTTTTCTATACTTTAATAATTTTTTTCTGAAGACTGCATGTTTTTTCAACGTGGTATTGTTAATTACAGTAATAAGTACTACCATAAAAAAATCCATATACGACAAACACAAGAGACCAGAAATACTGAGTTTTTAAATTTTGGGTTAGGGTTGTCACTGAATATTTATCCAGTCTGCAAAGTGCAATATTTTATATTCATTGAGTGTAGCACATTACCAATAAATATGTTATCGGAACAAGCCGGTGAATCAAGGAACAAGTTTTGACGTTATGATCGAGAGCACCATACACGAAAGTTGGATCGGAAAACCACCATCACAGACTTGTTTCACCGTGCACTGGAATCGTCTGATTCTTATTTATCCTCTTTGACACTTAGTACACGTCACAAACATAAAAAATCTCTACCTATATCTGATAAAGTTCTTCGCCTTCTAAGAGTGACCACGGAAACTATTCGTTGCCATCATTACCCATCAGAAAACATTAGTATTAAAGCTGCTGATATTACGCTAGCAACAGACGAAATCATTCTGCAATCCGATAATGAGGAAAATGAATGAGCTTTCAGCATTTGCCAGGATAATTTATCTTTATTCACACAACGTAATGCACATACGTAAATATTATAACGAAATATGCCTACACTATGTAACATACATTGTTTTAAATTATTTTTGACATAATTACTTCAATTTAATTTATTTCACTTGATTTTAAATTTAACTAACGTAACTTAAAAATGTGAAAATTCAGTTAATGTACCATGTTATCTGAACCCCATAAAGAAATTTGAATTGTTATGGGCTACCAAAGCTCCCATATGTATGAATAAAATTTTATATTTACCAACACTAAAATAAATTCACATCTTTGTATCTACTACCACAATTCATATTTGAAATAAGTATATTATTATTATTGTTGTTGTTGTTGTGTTAACACATAAACCTCCATTGATTCACGAAGTCGGATAAAAATTTATACATTTTGTGACAACCTTATTTCCATAGAAATGTAAAAAAAACCTTAGAAACGCGGTATTTTTATACGCGTATACTTTTTCTTTATTCGATAGATACATTAATGTAGTATATTCGAACATAAAACGAGAATGTCCGCAACTAAAGCAAAATAACACACTGTGCGCCGGTAGTCTCCGCCCGTCTTAATAACTTTAGAGTGGACAAATTATCTCTACTAACACCAGAGGATAAAGTTTAGGATTTTCGTGGTTACCCACTAAGTTACAGGTGTATTACCGCGCTATGACTTTTTATTTAGCCGATATTTCAGAATTGTTACACCGTTAATAGATAAGTGCCTGTGGTTTGACAAAAAAAATTAGAGTAGCGTCGCAAAAAATCGAGATGAGTATATAGTTGTCGAAAGCAAAAGAATGTAGACAGATGTCTGTTTTTACATCTGTCATTTGCTGCTGGCCAGAAATATCGGTAAAATAACAAGACGTTGTAACATAGTAAAAACCTGTAGCTGAATAGCGATAATCTACTCTCAAAAAAAGGATAAATTCTAGAGTCGACGAACTAAGAGCACATAACGACTGTTGAACTGGCAACCTTATACTGTCTCAATTTTCTAAAGATTCACTTTTTTATTCCAATTTATACTATTTCATACACTGCATCGTTGCAAGAAATTCCATTGTTTTTAATAACATGTGTACTTAATAAAAATATATAAAAACCATGTATTTTTATTTAATATACCAGACGCTATATAAATGACGTAAACAAGTTTTTTGTTTTTTTTTTTTGTTTTTGAGTTATGTGATTTAGTCCGCCGACACTGGAATAAAAATATCAAAATTGTGTTATTATTTCTACATAGGCAAAAACATCAGATGGTACAGCAATCCTAGACCGCGCAGTATTCGAGCACAATCTGCTGTCGGCGAGCAAACTGTACAATAATATAACGTTTGAGGAGCTGGGCGCATTATTAGAGACGCCACCCGCCAAAGCCGAGCGCATCGCCAGCCATATGATCAGCGAGGGGCGTATGAATGGTTACATTGACCAGATCAGCTCGGTCGTGCATTTTGAAAGTACGTTTCTCTTAAGCGCAGGCCACATCGACAGGCTAAGCTAAGGCAAAGTAGTTTATCTTGCTTGTCGGTGTGGTATTTCATATTTCTGTTCACACCTCGAACTATGCTAAGCAAGCTAACTGAATTATATAGGCTAGCAACCCAACGATTCCACTAAGTAAACTCCGTCACCCTTCTGCCTGCCTTCACCCGCGCGCATATCCATTGTGTTATATATTTGGTGGCGCGCAGCTGCAAATGTATGTGAACTATTAGAGCTACTGCTTCGAACGAAAGACTAGCGTCAACTAGCAGCACGTCACTACGCGCACACTCATAGCCCTGCACTAGAGAAATCCTGTATCGCAGGTGCTATGGACATACACAGGTAGACAACCACAAATTACACACAAACTCATGAGAGAAATAAATGTAGCAGTTAGGCAGTTACTACTGCCTTGGTTGCTCGCAGTTACGCGAGATAACCTAAGCTCATTAAAGCTCGCATAGTTGGTTGCATGCATTGACCTCCCAAATGTCTATAACGTATAAATATATTTTGGTGATAATGTAAACCTTTACCGACTGTCAAGTTTTAGTATGCAATACTTTTCGAATCTTGTCATTCTAATTGTCAGTCTTATTTTGTTGCCATATTACAAAACCTTGAAACAATCCCATAGTATGATTGGGTATATCGTGTGCCTTATCATTTCATTTGTTTTTTTTTATTTATAATTATTATTTCCTCTGCAGCTCGTGAGATCCTACCACAGTGGGACAAGCAGATCCAGAGCCTATGCTACCAAGTGAACAGCCTTATAGAGAAAATCGCAGACGCTGAACCTGAGTGGATGGCCAAGCTCATGGAGGAAGAGATGATACAGTAAAATCCTTGTATTTATAGTCTCTATTTGTAATTGGTAACTCAATAATTAAAGTTCTTAACGCCTATTATGCGCAAGTTATTAAATTTTGTATTACGTAATACGTTTTCAGGATGAAATAAAACCAAAAAGATACGAAATGAGAAAATACTGAAAAATACTTTATTAAACAATCTGTGTAATGAAATCAAAATAAATATAGTTATAAACACACAAAATTAAATAAAAACCTAAAATATATCTCCTCTGTACTCTTTCATTCACTGAACAATATGACGCACGCGGAATGAATTGGGAGAAGAATCTGCACTCGAAGAGGAACATCGACACTAACAGTTAGGATTTCCAATAAAACAACTAAATTACTGATTCCAACAGACTATTCATTTTTATTTTCAATCAATCAATATAGGTTTTCACACCTTGAGTGCTTATTTACATGACAATAGACTGACGTAATAAATTCATTAGATTAGCGAGCAGGGATGAGACCGCGTGCTTACAAATACATAAAGGAACGCTAAAGAAGCTGCGCGTGCGTCATCGGTGGGCGACGACGTCGCGTTACCTAGGGGCCTACTACGAAAAACAAAATGACGATAATCGTTACAGCTTCGAATACTCTACTACGAAATGGTTTAGATTCGATATCGGTCCAAAGCTCACCCGAAGATTGTGATTTGACTCTTGCATTTACGGAAATTGTATTTAAATTACAAATGATGTATCGAAGTTTTATCGTACCTTGATTGTAAAAATAACTCGAGAGGTATCTTTTTAGAAAATTTCACTAAAATGTCCCTAGAAGATGCCTCTGATCAAGAAAAAAAATGGGTACACAAGGTAGACGCGGCGTAAACTTATGGCGGTCTCTGAAGACCGCTTAGCTTTATATAGTAAATTCACTTACGGTAATTAACAAATTACTCAACTTGGTTGAAATGGGTTAAAAATATCGTTTCCATAATTGTTCTGATATTGTGATCATAAAATTTGGCCGTCATCGATCAGAAAGACTTCATAGTAGGTATCATCGCCGAAGCTCGGCACATTTCGGTCGTCGATGACGCATCGTAAAAGGTATTTCGTAGTATGCCCCCTGTGTGGAAGTGGTGATCGGTGAACGACATCACAATAGCTGCGTTTGACGCTTCGAATACACTATAGAGAACACTTGAAGATAGTTTAAACTGATTTTGCTATACACTCATTAGTATAACAGTTGACGTGATATTATCTACAGTCTAGAAGGCTCTAAATGCCTAGGGCTCGAGCTCAAGGGCCACGCCCACTTTGTGTCCGCCAGCGTTGAAGTTCTGCCCGTCGATGGCCGCTGACAGCGTCAAAGTCACGCCTGCAACGTAAACACATATTATGTAAAACTTTCGTACTTATGACGTCTACTCACACTAATTATATAATCTCTAAGAAACGTGTAAATATAGACTGAGAGATTGAGATAAAAGAAATCACATCATGCGTGAGACAAATAGATCGTACGATTTATGCAAAAAGATAACAATGGGCAACAAAAGCAAAATTTATATAATGATATCACTACAGTAACCGAAGTGTAAAAAATCATATCAGGGAACCATGAATACATGAAGAATAATGTGAATAGTTTCTATCTGAAAACTCGATTATAATTTCTCTGTGAATTTATATTTTTATTAAAAACCAAGTGACTTTCAATTGTTTTATGCGGTCATTGAACCACGTTGCGAGATCCTAATGAAATATAAATACGTAATGTTTAAAGTTCCATGTTGAACTTTGAATTAATGATTTACTAAATCTATTTTCACCATATTTTCGTAAATGATAAAAGTCTAACAAATGTGGTTTAGGACCAATAAAGTTACAAATAAAAGTCAGATTAACAGCAATCCTTTCGACACTCATGCATAGTTATTTTATCACAAAAGAAAATTCTTATTTATTTTGTAATATTTTGTTTGTTGTGGAATTTAACAACAATGATAAAGTACCATGTTCGATCTTCAAATTTGTATTTGATCCCTTGCGTGATCAATCAGAAAATAACAATGAAATAAGGTTTTTTTTATATTTATGGAATCTTCTTAAAATCTTTAAAAAAAACATGATTAAAAAAAAAGGAAACAGCTGAAGTAGCGTGTGTTTGGCAATGTTTGATGGCGTGCTAGCTAGACAGTTTTGGAAATTTGAGATTGAGTGTGGTAAGCTCTCACCTGGGCGTAACTTCTGCTGGTAACCAAGACCCACGAGCGACTTGTTGTTGACCTTGGCATGCAGCGAGGCATCATTCTCGAGCGCGTACTTGGCACCGACGCCGAAAAGAGTGTCTGATGACCCGGAAGTCCACCTCATGCTGACACCGCAGTCCAACTTGTCGGACACCTTTTGGTAGATGGAACCACCAAACTCTTTGCCGTTGTCACTGTAGTAAATATATACAGTATTATTTCTGTGACTTGGTTCAAGAAATGCCTAGGTCCCTATTATTTTACGCACTTCTTATACCAATTCACAGATAATATGATAGTAGGTATACTATCTATTATATTGGTGCTCCAATGGGGTACAGTGACTGACATTGACGGCGGCGTGATCGGTGCACATTTTAATTTTTTCAGTTCTTAAATCAACTTTAAGCAACTAGCAACAGACTCCACAAGTTTATAAAAAAACTATCACTAAATCTAATCGCTCTTTACTCTAGTATTAATAGGATATGTACTTTCCGTAATTAATTTTAATTGTATGGAAGTCTTGCATTGAAATGTATGAAATAATTAACAAAAAAACTGAAAATAAAACAAATTTTCGCCACGCGGACTTTACGCCGGTAAGTTCATCGACGGCGGCGGCTCACATGTCTATGTATCAATAATCAATCAGTTTTTTGAAATATAGTACTATAACTAAATTAACATCGAGTCCAGCAGTGGATTTTCAAACTTATTGCAAATACTTCACCTGCACTATTCAAACAAAACTTCCTCATTGCCATTTGAAACATGGCTTTAATAAAGCCAAGCACTTGCAATATTTTTATTTTGATAATATACAGAGAAAGGTAAAAAAGACGATAAAAACCTTAAATACTAGAAAGTAAAACTAGGTTTTTTAAATTATATGAATTTGGTAATATGTTATTTTGCTTGGTTTTGTTTATGATAATTAACTAATATTTGAAATTTAGCCCAGTTGGTATTAGTAAGTAGTTGCAAATTCTATATTGATGATTTACAGGCCTTACACATAACATTTTTTTAAAACAAGTGCAAATAACTAGAGCCCATTACGACATCCTGTTTAACTGAAGCAAATGTTGCATAAATTCATAAATCAATAGCTGAATGTTTTGTTGCTATCTACCTAGGTACATAAAATCAATAAATAAGTAAGATTATATATGTAAGATAAGGAATGGCATGACTTCTCTTAAAAAATAGAAAAGGAAATAGGTAAGCCAGAACTTATGTATTGATTATTGCATGTCTGCCTCATCTTGTAAGATTTTTCCAAAAAATCCACATTTATTAATTCAATGTTTATTTTAGTGAAACAGGTGTGCAAAAATAATCCATAATAACAAATAGTGGATGTGGCAATCTTCATTTTCAGCCGCCTAGTGAGTCCCTCCCTCTGTATGTTTGCCGTATGACTATGACACACACTTGGAATTCGTTTCCTATGCAATTTATTTTGTTTGCTGTAGTTAGAAGTATGTATTACACATAAGTTAGTGAATAATGTAAAATAAATACTCACACATTGGTGTGCAAAGCAAAATCACCAGTCTGGTATCCGAGAGCAAAGTTGTTCTTGGTTAACTTGCCCTTCTGTGAATCAAATTGCCCGTGCGCACCAACAAGCCAGCCCTGGTGGCCGAGCACTGCCGCCACATCGACAATGGGACCGGCCAGGTCCAGGTCCATGTTAGTGTTAAGTGCCACCCGGTCATTGACAAATGAAGTCTTTAGTTTGCCGGTCTTGTTTCTACAAAGTAAATTTGTCTTAATGTATTTGTACAGTTCAAATGTTTGCTCGCTAAAATAATTATATTAATGTAAGACTAAAATAGGTCTTACCCGGTTTGTGGTGCAAAGGTGCCCTCTAATGTAACTTTAAGACCAGCGGCAATCTTGTCCTGAATGGTTATGTCGGTGGCCAATGTGTTGTCAGTATTCCATTTCTCCGTGAATGTAAGACCATAGTCTTTCACAGCGTATTTAGATGACAGACTGCCAAATACCTGTAAATGTTTACAATTATTTGACGATCTAACAGTTTATTATTCTATTAATTTATGCAAATCAAGTCACCTAAAACACATGCATAGAAGCCAATAAAACCACAAAAAAACACAACAACCACAAAAACTCAAACATTTGGGTGTGACAAAATTTCCAAAGCCAAGAGAGTGCAGCATTCATACACTACAATATAGAGTTACAATACCCTGAGAGTTCTTTTACCTAACTGTTAGTTTGCAGGTGTTTGCCGTCTATAAATAACATTAAAATTATGCTACCTTAGTTACCTTTCCGCTTTCGTGGTTTGAGATGATACCACTGGTAAATTCTACACCAGATTCACTCTTAGTCTTCAAGTCGAGTTTGAACACTCCAAAGTGGTAACCTTTGGCAAACACATCATTGGCTTTTTTGCCGAGATCAGCATAGTATGGGGGGGCCATGTCCTGAAAAATAAAACTCGTTTTAGGAAGCCCATTTGATTACTCATTCTGATGTTATTTTCATTTGGATTGGTTCAGGCCGTAAATGATCCGTCATGACTAGCCCACAGTTCAGGGATATATTACTTCAATAAATATGATAGCAGAATGCAACGTTAGGGTGCAAATCGGTAAATTGACAATCAGTGCCAGTTGTGTCAGGGTCGGCAGCGACTTTGCAAACTATTTACAAGCTCATCGCTAATGGTATTACATAACATTCAGGTATTATGACTAAGCATGAAAAATTGTCGTCAAACTGGTGAACTAGGTCAAAATGTTTTACAGAAAAGTGTATCGGGTTGGCCGTAAACTTGACCTTAACTGAAAGATTCAGATTTCGATATGGAAGGAACAAATTACGAGGCGCAGCCTTCGTACCAACTGCAATGGTTCCACCCAGCCAATTTCAACAAAATATTATATTCCATAACTCCAATTCTGCCCCACATTGTTCATAGGGTTAATATATTGGAATTATTGAGATTATGTGTGGATAATCGCGAAAATCACAAGTATGACGTCGAAACCCCCGGCTACGAGTATAGGTTATCCCGAATAAAAACTGTTTGGGACACACGAATAACCAATTAAGATTGTCAAAAGTTATATATGCAAAGTGCACTCACTGTGTGTTAATTTAATTCACAAACTGGAACTAGTTTTTTAGAATTTTGGCAATAAAATTGCCAGATGAGTTAACCTACCGCACCACACCACAAGACAATTATTAATACCAGTGGAGACGCGAGAGGGCGTACTTAGCGGAAATGTTAATATTGACTTAATACTTTTAATTCTATTCTTTATATTCATAAACTAAACAAAGAAGCAAATATAGTAAAAATCTAAAAACTCAAAAGCGTTGCAATTGTATGTTACAATTTGCAATACAAGTTCGTAAAAAATATAAATAGAAACGATTTTGGTTACACCTGACCTTGAGGTTTTGATTACGTTTAGAAGTATGCAAAAAGTGATGCCTTGTTTCAAAACGAAACAAAACTTTTTTCGTAGATTCTCAAATTGAAATAATGCTTAAAATCCATTGACTTACAATTATATGGGCGTCGGGTCCTCGCTAAAAAGTGTCCGAACTTATAGGGCGTTAAAATCGTATACAGAGCGTTATATCAAAATTGTGTTGCGTATACAGAGCGCCAAGCAAGCAAAATTAGACAGTACTACGATGACATTACAATTTAAATTCAACGTTTTAGCTTTTTCATATTCCTTTACATGTTACTACGTTTAAATAGGTTGACTTGGGACATTTTTTTCGTGGTTTTTGTATTAGACCCGTTGTCCATTTATTTGTAAGTCAATGTTAAAATCTAATATAGTACAATTATATTAATGTATACGTTTGAAACACAATTCAATTAAAAAAAAAATATTAAGATAGTATGACTTTTCCTTATTCTGAAATTTATCAACATTATAGCGCGAAGTTTAAAAATATGAATGAAATGTAAAAAACTTTCAGTTTGCTGAATGTTAAGCAATGCCACATAGAAAAATTTGAACCGATACCGATTCCTTGTCAAAACGTGTGACGGAAGAAACCGTTCTTAACTTTCAATAGGTTCGGCACATCGTTGCTAGAAGGAAAATTAACATAATTAAAAATGGAACAACCGTTAATCCTAGTTCTACCTGTATCTTTTAATATTAGCAAATTGTTATCACTATACACTTACATCTTCAACAGACCCTAGATTATGAAATAATTTTTTGAAGATAGATCCGACATTTGTGACTTGCAAAAGAATTTGTCCACTGTCTCCATACGGTTCATTGCACGGGATCTTTTCACCAGTATCATCATCGATGCAAATGGTCATCTGTGACAATGACCCATCCTAGGCAAACAAGACACGTGTTCACATTATCAAAGAGCAAACGGTAGTAAATGCTTAGGCGTGTTGAAGTATCTTGTTTTAGATACCTACGAAGGCTACGAACGTCTTATTAGTTATTACTATTGCATATTCCTCATGATTTAAAATACATCACACAGCTTGACACAGGTCTCCCCTAAAGAGTACAGTTTGCCTAATAAGTCTACATATCAGCAGGTCAGTTAATAACTTTTTTATTAGAAAAAAAGACCTCAAAAGATTGTGAAATACATCAATTTGTTAAGTTTTATTGAAATCAGCTAACGGAAAGTGCGCGAAACTAGATTCATCCCCTAGTTAAAGGTGGAATATTTTCTCAAAATTTAAATGGGACCGATACTGAGGTATCCCTCTTTCCATTAAAAAAGAATCACCGAAATCGGTTCACAAATAAGTGTAATCTCGTAATATACAACCTCCTCCTTTTTTTGAAGTCGGTTAATATTATAATTAAAAATTGTTCATTCATTACTAGTTTATTATGTAGGCAGTTAAATACTTGCATTTAAACGATGACATTTTTTCAATATAATAATATGTTGTTGGCTGACCATAGTGTTTGATTTTTAACGGTAATTAGTTCCCTATTAATTAGGACCCTGGAAAATGTATCATACACTGGAGTAATGCAGGTACTTACACGTTTGTAACATGGAATATCCTTCTTTGTGATCCCAGCATTCACTGTGGGAAATGTGACATAATACCCCCATAACTCAATAAATTTATCATAGCTTTCTGGTCCTAATAAATACTCAAAAATTGACATAATTAGTGTAGGTAAATCATTAAATAAAAATGTGTTTTTATTTTCTTCATGAATTTCGAAAATTGACACCAAAAGAGACTAGATTGATTGAAAATTTAAATGAAAATAATCTAAGAGGCTGCGTTTGTCTAACTTTACTTAATTCGATATATAATTAATAGATTTTAATTATCTAATTAATACTGAATTAATTCGGTGTTAGTGTTTGTGACTGTAGTTTCGCTTGTGTTATTTATTCTAATAATTTAATGCGGAGGGAGGGTGGCAAAATTAATTGCGTGAAAAGAAAATTTTAGTTAATTTGTATGTCGTTTCCAGTAACTATAGTTTCCGTAGTTTTTCTCATGAACATAACCGACGAAGTCAAAGCCCCGATGATACCGTGCCCTTTCAAAAATACGTTCGTTTTTATGAGAGCTGCCTGATGCGGACTCGAATTGGCATGGGTCCAGTTGCGCCCAGACGAGACATTTACTATATCTACTTACTAGATGTAATTAGGGGTGATCACAACAGATAGAACCGTTGGTCGCAATTATGTAGGCTTACACACTGAATGAACCACCCTGTATAATAATAATAACCATTAAATCTGTACCGGTTAACTTCTAGAGAAATTTTAACCGGTTATAGCTTGGGTCAAAAGCAACCACTTTTCACATTATGGCTTTATTATTTGCAATATATGTATCTCTATTTATAATTCTACTACTCACAGTTCACTCTTACATGGAATCTGAAATTTTGTTCGAGACGCCGCCATATTGTTTTTCTTCGTTTATTCTAAAATGGTACCCATAAACGGTGGGGATTTTTAATTATTTGATAAATGAGACACATACAGATAAAATAATCAGCAACAACTTTTTCTCTATAGAAAAAGTTGTTGCTCGATTATAGAATGATGCAAATAGTGTAATCTTTTATGCATTTTTATTTTCGAATTACAAAGTCAAGCATTCAAGCTCGTTTTATGAATAATTCGAAATCTCATGAAACGACCTACTTATAGTTTAAAATCTATATATACTATTTACGGTTTATGATAGGGTCTATTAACTGCCCACCAAAGGGCCATTTCACTGAATACTTACTAAAGATTCGTAGTTTGAGATGTATAGGTACTTAAATTTTTTAAAGTTGTTCAAAAATGTTTAAATAGTATGCTATTGATGTAAACAAACAAGGACCATGGGATTGGGTGCTCCTGGCAACTGGTAGCAATCTATTTTTCACAATTAGGCAGGCTATTCTTAGACATCACATGGAGATAAACCAGGGCTCCATCAATATGCGAGTAAATACCGTTACTATAGTACCAGAAATCTCGACCGAATTCTCGAACGATCGGGTCTTATTTTAGACACTATATACGGACGGCTTTCAAACTTCAGCCACAATCAACATCTGACAATCACGGGAGCCATTTGTTTCCATTAGTGCGAGTGAAATTTTTTAAACAATCGCTATGGGAGAAATTAATCACTATGATGTCAGGCAAAATGAGAAATACGGACGTTATTTAGTAGCTAATAAAGATTTGGAGTGTGGGGAGTTGATATTTACTGATACACCGTTTGCTTTTGGACCAAAACCAGGTAAGTTGTTATATTTATCTTAATATCAAAGACACAGGTTTTTTACGAATTTATTGATTAATTCATTTGAGAACCTATTAGAGAGTAAAACTCGCATTAATGTAAAGTATGCAGAGACCAAGGAAAGAATGATCAGTCACTTGAAATACAATTTAAGTTAGTACCGCTCTTCATTTCGGTAAACACTGAGCGTAATTTGCTTAAATCAGTAGAAGGTTAATAAGGTTCAATGTCCTGAAAAATTAGCTTTTACTTTTAGCCACAAAAATACTTGCGACTAAATGATAGGAAAGTTTAAAAAGATTTTATGAATATTTTAGTTCAAATGGATTACATAGCGTTACATACATTTATGTCAGCATTGATTTTATTTCAGGTAAGTAGTATTTGTGCATGTCTTTTTCACTCATATATTTAAAACAAATTCTTAATAAAAATTATTCATAATAAAAAAAAATATTTTTTCCTAAAATTCTCCTCAAGTAACTTTGATCACTCTGTCCCTGGACTCTTCATATATTTCGCATAATAATATCATTAAGAATGCGTAATATTCGAAATATATATTCATAAATACCTGTACTTGGACCCAATATTAATTAAGCTAATTTATTTATGAAAACATTACAGTACACACAGTCAGTTCAAAGATGAGACGGTACTACACGGGTATAACAAAGCTACTAACACTATAAAATAAATTATACCATCTTGACAATAAGATTAAGACAAAGGTAAAGTTAATCTTCAAAACAATTTTCATAACTCAACTAAATATTGTTTACGTCATTTACAGAGTAGCCTACAGGCAGCGATGAGTAGGTAATGATTATAATTTGCATTGATCGAAAACTATTTAAATTTTGAATCTTTTTTTTATACTGTAGTCATGGGGCGTGATTGCTCTTTATAGTACACACGATACTTTAACTCTACCAACTAAAAATTAAAAAGCTGCTATAAATATATGTACTGAAATCTAGATACTCCACCATTATGCCTGGGATGCTACTGCGTGGTGGAGAACACGCTGTGTTCACAATGCGGCTGGCCGATTTGCGGCCCGGAATGTGAAACGGCGCCGGCACACGTAGGAGAGTGTGCGGTCTTCGCCAACGCTAAGGTTCGCTTCCAGCCCGTCGATGACTGGACTACCAGCTCGCCACAACTCGATTGCATCACTCCACTAAGGTACAATTCTTTGACCTTTAACTGATATTAAGAGATGTTTAATAACTGTGCATACCACGGAAACCGAAACTAGGTATTTAGTATAGGAAATGATTACTTTTTAACATGTGACTCAGCCTCTCAGCGTAGGATAATTTATCTACATGTTATAACATTCTTTATACATTCTACATATGTCTTTTTTCATATAGGTACCAGTAGGTAAGCAAAATGCGATTAACGTTAACAGAACGTTCCGATTCTTTCATAGGCTACTGTTAGCTAAAGAGAAAGACCCCGACCGCTGGCAGTCCGAGCTAGAAGCCATGGAGACACACACGGTTGCACGCAAGGAGCGGCCGACGTGGGGCGCTGACCAAGTGAACATTGCTGATTTCCTAGTCGACCACTGCAAACTTGGTAGCCGCTTCGATAAAGATCTTGTGCAGAGGGTCTGCGGGATTCTTGAGGTTTGTCGCCAATACAAGCATCGGTACCTACTTTCATTTTCATCAAATCATTCAGATTTGTGATCCATTCTTGCTTTTGCTAACAATAACGTCAGCTTTCATAAGAAATTCCCTTACAGCAGGTAATGCGTTGCGAGATCTAATAAATAATCACCTAATTCTGAACTGCTAATCCATGGGATGATGTAAATATATTGTATCACAGGTTAATTCCGTAGAGGTTCCATCTCGCGGCGGATTCAGCATTCGCGCGATATACCCTCGATTGTCCATCGCTGCCCACAGCTGCGTACCTAATATCGCACATACTATTCTTCAGAATGGTTATCAGTGAGTAACTAGCTATGCTCTCTTCACCACCTTACAACACTCTAATCTTAGATTTAGTTACATATACAAGAAACACCTACGTGACATAGGACGATACTATAGCATGAGGCAAACTGTTTATAGTGTATAGTCACACTAAACACGCGACTTCTTTCTTACAGGGTTCTAGTGAGATCAGCCGTACCAATCAAGACTGGCGAACCACTATACCTCTGCTACACCTACGTGCTTTCACCCACCATCATAAGACGAGAATTCTTACTGGAGTCCAAGTTCTTTAACTGCGATTGCCCACGATGTGCAGATCCTATGGAGCTGGGTACACATTTAAGTACCCTGAAATGCAACAAATGCGACAATGGAATTATTTTGTCGACCAATCCTTTGGGTAGGTTATTTACGAAACATGACATGTATTTCATTTGAGTTTAAATTCTCAAATCAACAATATTATTGTAAAATATGCAAATACTGGATTAAAGCACACGAGCCGTTACCTTGACCCCTGTCTGGCTCTAACTATAGTAGCAGTAGAGCTCCTTGTGAGTTTGTCCAGGGAAATACTGCCACCTTACCTATTTCTGCCGCCAAGCAATAATGTGAGCATTGGTCTCATGGATGGTTCTCAAATGTTTGTGATTTAAAGCTCAGGTTGCGCTGCAACTGCTATGGATAGGCGTGTCGCTTACCACCAGGCGCACGACTTGTTTGCCTCGTCACTTGGTATTATAAAAAAAAACTTGCATCCAGCGGTACCGACGACGTTGTTATGTCGTCTTCATTACTCCACAAATCTGCGGATATTATGGAGTATATACGAGTGAAAGCCAATGTTACCATGAGTTCCTCCACAATATAAATTTTATTTCATTTGTGGTGAGAGTACCAACACACATTTATCTTCATGAAGGAGAAGTTTTGGCCGAAGGGTGTCAAGTACCGACGTTTCAGAGACCGGTTACCGGATACCCGCGTTGCGTCACACGGCCTAGACAATACGTGTAAATAATTAATTATGTTTTCTTATATTATAATGTATGTTATTAGGTAGGTATGTATTTACGGGTCTATATAACCTAATTAAATTACAGATAAATAAATTAATAAATCTTGCTTGAAGCCCGAATTTAGCAAAAATCACTACATATCCTCATATATGAAATCAAAATCAAACCAAATAAAATTCTTTATTGCGTAGATATCATGTACAAATGTAGTTTAAAATAACAAATAACAAAGTTTAAAATAACAAAGTTGTTTCTTTCAGACAATGAAGCGCCTTGGAAATGTACAGATAAGCAATGCGAGTTCAAAACAACGAACGCAGCGGTCCGCAAGATGCTGGCCGTAGTCCAATCGGAAATCGATCAGCTTGATGCGATCGAACCAGGCCCGCAGACTATTGAAGCCAGAGAAACCGCTCTTAAAAAGGTATTGTACTTAAACTGCATACTTTCCGTAAAAAATGCTATAACTGGTTCTTGTCTCGACAATCCTTGGAGGTAGGCGTTCTAGTGTAATTATATCGCACCCCTCATGGAAGAATGGTGTAAGTGGAGTTACGTCAAAAATGTTTATTGCTCCATTAGATACAAAAAAATATAACCCACATCCTCTCCAATTGTAACTCTATCGAAATTATTAGTCGATAGAGCGATAATATGTGAATATTACTCCGAGTGTAATATTAATATCTGTATCACAATTCAGTATTTTATGCTAACTACTTGGTGATCTGCTGCGAATGGCAATTTTAGTGTTTTAGTTTGTTTTTTTCAACTTGATATGCATGCGTAGCAGAATATCAGCGGTGCTGTTAAACATTATACCATGATGCTGAGAACTGCAGACCTTTTTATATCCCACCAGCTTAGAGCATACAACACTATTGTCCATTACTATACTGTATAAAAAAATATAGTTATATTTATTTTGAGTTTGAGATAAATAAACTATTTTTATTATTATGATTTTGCATATCTATTTTAAAACTCTCGCCTCTCCCAAAGATTAATTTTGAATTTTTTAAATGGCTCATTCGGCCGGGGTCAGGGACTCAGTTCCAAAAACAGGCGGACAATATGTGCCGCATCGAGCAGGACGACCTTCTATTATTATTATTTCGAGCAAATCTCATTACAGGGAGAAAGAAGAAGAAAAAATATATGTGATATAACACTAAGTTTTTTGTAGTGTTATAGTAATTTTCTATAGCATCAATGCAATCTTTGCAAAACAATTTTATTATGACTCTCTCACTGAAAATAGCTAACAATATTCTGTTATTTTTTACAGTACAAATCAGTATTTCACCCTCGCCATGCGCTGCTACTGTCGCTCAAACACGCTCTAGCGCAGTTGTATGGGCGAGTAGAAGAGTACACTCTCGACGAACTGCCGGACATTATACTGGAGCGGAAAATAGAATTCTGCAAACTGGTGCTCGACACCTTGAATATCATCGCACCTGGAGAGAACCGAATGAGAGGTAGACAAACATCTTTTAAAAATTCCTTTTTATGGTGATTTACTTCACTTATATAGAAAGAAGTTTGATGATCAAAGTAATTGCCAATTATATTTTACGTGAAACTACAAGCACATCAAACAAACGGTCATTTTCAATTAAGATGGTTAAAGACGTAGCCATTGTGTGCATTAAGTTAAGCATTTAAAACCTACCATCATCACAACCTAAATTAGCGTTGAATTTATTTCAGGTATGATGCTCTACGAACTTCATGCGCCAGTAATGTTTTTAGCTAGGAGCGAGTTTTCAGCAGGCCTAATTACTCAAGAAAAGCTAAAGGAACGTTTACAAGAACCGATTCAACTACTAGCTGATGCCGCCAGAATACTTATGAGAGAAGACCCTCAGAGTCCAGAAGGAATAACGGGTCAGGTCGCCCAACAATCCATGGAACAACTTAAGGCTAGTTTAGAAAGTCTCTAAAATTTTTGTAAGATATATTTCATATAAGTTCAGGATCAAAAACCCGAATTTAAGTGTTAGACATGGTGTGTGATTTGTATGACCTATGATCTCCTGAGTAAATAAAATTTTATGTTATTTGAATTGTTTATTTAAACAATTAATAGATTAGTTTTACTAAATAATTGTTTTATTTCATTGCACGATTACAAAAAGAGTACCTATTAGAACTTGATTTTCTTGGGCTTTTTAATATTCCCATTACTAGGTACTCCTTGAATTTCTTGCCCAATACTTTCTATATTGTCAGAGCTATCTAAGGTGTGCAGTTTCATAGAAGTTTCGTCTTTCTTGTCACTAGCCTGGAAAAACGATATTACATTATTGCATAATAATGATAAAAACAATGGCATAAACAAAACAAGGGAGAAAGTTAATATGCAACCCACTTAATAATACTTACAGTAGGGCAATCTTTCCTCAAATGGGTGACATCTCCACATAATTTGCAACTTCCTCCATTTGGATATAGTCCTTTGGGATTGTCAGGGCACTGTCTTGCTATGTGACCCTAAAACACATAAATAATACCACTTCAGCTTAACATCAAGGATATAATAATATAAGCATGGAATTTTTGTACAAAAATGAGTCACAGCTCCATTTGCAGAAGTATAGTTGATCCACCTACCTGTTCTTTGCAAATAAAGCAAGTAGCAAATCGGAACTCTTTGTCTCTTTGCACTTTGCATTCAAATTGTCTATGCTCCGTAGATCCACACTTAAAGCATACTCCATCTGCCCCATCCACTCCTGGTATCTTGGATTTCAATTCAGGACAATCAGACAAGTTGTGTCCGCCTTTCCTACAATTGTAGCAAACATCTCTCTTCAGTCTAGCCAGTGCTTTTTCAGCCCTTCTCCTTTCCAACTTCAAAGTCCTGTTAACTTCACTTTTTGGAATTCCTTTCTTCAGCATATTTCTCTTCAAATCCTCAAGACGGTCAGCATCTTTTCTCATAATAGGAAAGCCATCAAATCTAACCAGTTCAACATCTTTACCATTTATAATGAGTTGAAAACTTCTATCATTTATCTGTTTTCTACGTACAGGTTGCCCATCAATTAGTTTCTTTTCCTTCTTTTTTTTGAGAGCTTTTATTTTATTCTCCTTATTAATTTGACTTTTGTCTATAGTATCCCCATTAGGATTGGATCTTTTATTTTTTTTCTTCATTTTGTGCTGAGTGGTTTGAGCTGTGTTTACTTCTGAATCAGGAAATTCATTGTTGGTGTTTGTATTGGCATTATTTAGGTTTTTATTAGAGTTTGCTGATTCTAGTGAGGAGTTTTTATGCTTATTTTTCTTTTTTTTATTCTTTTTATCAAGTTTTTGTGGAGTTTCTGGTAGTGCAAGCTTTGAGTCATCTGGATTTGGATTATTTTTGTTTTCAAAATTTCCTTTATCATTATAGTTCAAGTCATTTTGGGTTATATGTTTTTTCTTTTTCTTTTTAGGTTTTTGCTGTTCAGTCTGTACTTTACAAGCATTAGTATCAATTTGTGAGTCTTCAACATGCTTTGTGTCAACTGACTGACAATTATCATGACTAGTACTCAATTGATTCTTTGCCTTGTTTTTAATTTTCTTCTTTTTAGAAGGGGTCTGCATGGATTGTGATAAATTATTTGATTCCTTGGCATTTTCTGTTTCAGGGAAATCACACCAAGTGGCCTTTCTTTTCTGAATCTTCTGCTCCTTCAGGAAGTTTTCATAGTTTTCCATGCGCTGCTTTTCTGTCTACAACATATATACATGCATAACAATTCAACTAGATTACAGAAAACTATACATAACCATGACCATGAGTCCCGTAAAGGGCCCGAAAGGTTGGTTTGTTTGAAAAAACAAATAAACGTGATTGAGATCTGAAAAAAAAAATTTCTATTCCTATGTTATTAATTTATTATTATTATATATATTTTAGACTCTCGCCTCTCCCAAGGCCTTTTTCTCGCCTGCCTCCCTCCTTATTATTATTATTATGTGTAACAATCACGAAAACCTGAGAACTCGATATATACATAATTAATTATATAACATTAGTACACAAGAGTCACTTTTCTTGAAATAGAAATTTGGGACTAAAAAACCAACAACTACTATTGTTAATAAAATTGTTGTACGTTAAGTTACATTTAAATTACAGTAGTACCTTCTACATAGCTTGTAGACACAAGTAATACTCACTTCTTGCCTTTTCTTGGCATCTTCGTTGTCCTTTTTAGATGTCAAAAGTTGTTCCTTCATCACTTCCCAAGGTGTACCATCTTCGGGAGCTTTTTCGTTCGATGCCTTCGAGCCTTTCGCTCGAGCAAACCTTGTCATCTTGCTATATAACTTCTAAGTAATAATACTAACACAAATATGCACTTTATTACTTCTTAAATTATAATTAAAAAGAATTCTACGCATCACAACAACACGTGTTACGATGTTACGTGACAAGCTGACAGTGACGTAACAGAACAAGTGTTGCCATGCCAATCAGCGTTGCCAATCCTCAAAAATTACGGTTTAATGGGAACAGCTTTCAAAAGTTCACATTCCCCATATCTGATAATATTTATATATTCATTCTCAGTATTTGTTATATTAGATTATTATGGCTATAAATCTATCGCTTGAAAATATATCAAAGAATTAAGAACCTCAAAATGTAACTATCTGTCGTTATGCTAAGGTTAGAAATAATAACCGAGTTAATATAAGTATAAGCCACAATTTAATATTTAAACTTGACGAGTAGCAAGTTGTAATGTAAAAGTACTAACTGCTCGGCTTTATTTGGCAATAGCTGCCTTCGTTTTTTTCATATTGGGATGCGACCTAAACGGGAACAAAGTGCTTCAAATCCTACCGAATAATTCCAATTCCAATTACAAGCGGTTGGCTAATTATAAATGTTGCTATAAGCGGGGGATGTGCGATGTTGAACAAATATCGATATCGTTCATAAGTATAAAATAAATAGTGTTTCATCTATAATCATCAAACTACTGATGCATTAGCAATCGATAGATTAAAAAGTGGTAAAATGTGAGAATCCCCGTATTTTCCCCACGTAGCTCCAATCCTCACAAAATCCCTAATTGAGATGAAATTTCCTGCAATTTGGGGAATTTCCTACAAATCGGCACTAATGCCTAACCCTAAATTTAGGGAGAGCAAATTTCTTTTTATTCTGGGTCGTCTTGGCAGACTACTTCGCCTGCCGAAGGCGGTATGTTCCACAAATCTTCACAAAAAAATACCCACTGATGGTGATTCTAATATTTTTATTAATTTTATTCCACAAATCCCCACCAATGTAGTACTTGCTTATGCAGTGGGGATTTGTGGAAAAAATGCCCACCAAAATATTATTATATTTATTATTATATTTTTGTAGGTGACAGATTCGGCAAATCCCGAATCTGTTATTTTGTATGAAAATATTTTAAAAAATTTGACTAACTTCGGCTGTCCCGATTTTTCTCTCCCATGCAATAAAATGATCCCTTCATGAAACCGAATCGATTAGCACTCAAAAAAATTCGATCAATTTTATTCATTTTTATGGACAACTCACGCTTGACCACAAAATTTACTATGCCAAAATTGTTGTCACAAAGAAAGACTTCATGATTTCTAAGACAGTTTCCTTGCATCTTCTCTGGTTTCGGATTTCCCCATAATGTGCCATAAAAAAACATTCTGTACACATAAACACAAAACTTGTCAATAAAAACTTTGCTACTTGCAAAATGTATTAAAATATTTTCTGTATTGTTCTGCTTATTTTTTTCTTTGAAAATAATATGCCGCAATGGCGCCAAAACATAAATTATTATAAGCGTCTATTAAGATGTGTCCCACAAATTAGAAAGATATATGTATAGGTACTATACGCATAAAATATCAAGTACATAATTCGTTGTTACGTCGAAATCCCATATCGCTCATGTGGTGCTACACCATCGGGTACATTACATATGTAGTTATGTTCTCGATGTGTTACACTGACACAATTGTACCTACTTCTTGTAATGTTACAGGAAATGGATTTTAATTTATTTTTTAATTTTCTTTCAAATTTATGACGTGTTAATAAAACGTTGTTTATTTTTACAATATTATATATACATTTATTATTACTGCCAATTTTTCTTCAAACGTAAACACTTGTTACAGATGTGTTAATATATTTACTTAATTAAATTTTGTTAAAATACAATTACGTCAATACGGCATTAAATGAGCGCTACGTATATGTATGGTATGCCTCAAACCAAGTGTAGGGTGTAGGTATGTTAACACGCGATCTGACGCACATGGCAACGACGTTACATTCCGCCATCTGCTTTTTATATTACATTAGTGACTTACGTAATAAGTATATATTTAAAACTTAACATAAACAAATAGATAATTTAAATTCTATACCAATTAAACTTCATTATAAAGCACCAGCAAGATAGCCACGTCAACTGAAAATATCAAACTGTTTTGTCTCCTTCAATCGGAGAAATTGTAGGAGACTAAACAGATTACTTACGCTTCGCTCGTCGGAGACAAATTATGTATAAATAAACGATGTCCCATTGCTATGCGACGCGGAGAGAAAGTACTTTAAATATTATAAATAGGATTGTAGCTTCATGGAGACATTATGTAATTTAAAAAGTAAATAATACTACATTTAAAGATTTAAAAAAAGTTGCTGGCCTCACCTATTAAATCGAAAAAAATGTGAAAAAAAACATCCAGTATTTTTAATTTCGGTCGAAAGGAAGAATAATAAGGATTAATTCCTTTTAAGTAGCATAGCATAGCTTTAAAGTAAAGAAGCATCATTCAATCAATTAAGGAATTAATTCTTGATTGATTGATAATTGACCCTTTCGATCGGTATCATACAAAAAAAGCTGATTTTTTTCACATTTGTTTGGTTCCGTTCAGTTCGATTAATACTCGTAAACCTAAAAACTTTTTGAAAGTCTATGTATGTAGCATTAATTACTTACCATTAAAAAGAAAATAATGTCTTCAGGAAATACTGTTACTGTCCATGAAAGGGTTTAAGATTTGTGTAGTTAATTACCCTCTGGCAAGTAAACGTATTATTTTATATTCCTAATTGTAAACCCGTTAATGGCCAGTCCCATATCTTTCTACATAAGTTTTGTGTATAGTGCCCCTCCCTGTCAACCTCTTGGTTATGCGGGAAGGTCACTATGACCAATGCGAACGAACACGCACAGGGACCATCTAAGTCAGATCGTAAGCCCGGCTCAGCGCGATTTCACGGACTTCATCCCGTTCTCTGTATAAAGTTTGCTGCTACTAAATTTAGGCTAGTAGGCTAGTAAGCTTAGGTGAGCTGCCCCGGTGCAAGTACAGCACACTCCCTATTTTCCAGATAGATACCTACCGGAGCTGTAGGCACACTCACTTCCCGTCGCGCTCCACAAGACTAACGGTTGCCATCGCTGAACCGCCGACTCTAAGTATTGAGTATTAAGTAGACTACCAAATCTACTCATGAATGGCGGAGCTGTAAGGCAGGCTCACTTCCCGATGCCGAATGAACGGCGTCTCTCCATATCTCCGAACGCCCCCGCCACACACCACCGGAGCAGGCGAACGTGGTCATTCCTTGCAGCTAACCACAAACCCCGGCGAGTCCCCCAGAGACGCTCGTGAAGGCGTATGTCTGGCGGAGGGCTCGGCCCTTCGCCTGCCGTACCCTGGTCTTGCTGTCGAGCCCGTAGTCTCTCCGGAAAACTCTATCTCTCGGTTAAGTAAGTAGATAGGGACCCCGTTAATGGACAGTAAATACTATACCAGAAAATTTAATATCAGGATAAGATAGAAACGGGTACTCCATTTTGCTACAGGACATCAAAAAACCATCGGCGCGTTTGGCTATTCATCGGAGCACGCTGGTCACAACCCTAATATATGGTAGTTACTGTTGGGTATGGCAGAAAAACATGAAAGTAGGGTGAATGCTGCAGAAATGAGAGCCTTGCGCATATGTGCGGTATTAGTCTTAAAGGTAGAATGCTGAACAGTACAGTAGAGCGTTGTGGTATGAAAGATGATGTAGTGACAAGGATAGAGAGAGAGAGGGATGCTTCGATAGTTTGGTCATGTAGAAAGAATGAATGTTTTTTATGTATGTTTTTTGAATGTGCTTTGTGTAGTTGCCGCCTACTGCTTCTTCATAAATAAGTATCAACCATCGAGTATATGACCAAGAAGTAGAGACGAAATGTCATTTAATTTGTTTGAAAACTATTCTGCCATATCATTACTGTGACAATTGCGCTCCGATTGGCTAGCCCGAGTTCGAAACAATTGACGGGTGTCGTCAACTGTTTAGACTTCAAATCGACCAGTTAACTTGAGCTTTGCTATAATGGACTTAAATTGCAAAATTACATATTTAATATTTAATTACCGATGAAATGTAATTCCGTTTGTTTTGTAATTAGATGTTTTGTTTTTCCTACACCACCGAATAGAACAGCACGGCATTGTTAGAGATATTATATTTATTACAATAAATACAGAATATTTTTTGGAATATACGGAGACGTCCACACAGGTCAGTAGTTGACCTGTCTATATTTCAGTGCAAAGAGAGTTGATATTTATAAGAGCTGTATCGCTAATGTGTTACCAGGAATATATGGCCCTTATTTCGTCTCTATTTCTGGTTATATACTCGATGGTATCAACAAACTTACACTGCCGTCCACTAACTAAAACGCAGTTCAGTGACAAATGGTCAAATAACAGTTTTGAATAGCAAAAAATAGAGCTCAAAATTCTCTTTTAAAAACAGTTAAAATTGGTTAACGTGTTCGACTTATCGGAATTTACCCTAACGATGCACAGCTGAAATAACATTAAACAATTTCAATATTCTGATAACGGGGATATGGTTTTTATGACATCTCAAAAAATTATTTTATTATTGAAATGACACTAAACTGACAAAAAACAATTATTTACACCATTGACTTACAAATAAAGTCAATGGTGTAAATAATTGTTTTTTGTCACTTTTTTATTAGTAAGTCAATGATTTACACGCACACATTTTTAGACGTTACATTAAGATAGTATGGTGGACACCATTATACTAAATCTATGGTGGACACCGATGTGTTTATATGAGATGATACAACTTTCTAACAGCAACAATAAGTACTAAGTTTTATCTAACTATCTAACTAAGTACTTTTTTTCTCTAAAACGCAAATTATGTTTTTAGTACTAATTCAATATGAATATGACACATGTTGACGGGATCAGCCCTCAGTGATAAAGCGTAATTATTATATGTATTGAATCCATATTGAATCAATATAAGTATAACATTTTTGTGTGCGATAAGAATGTGATTAACGGGTTAATTATTTGTGCAATATTATCATGAATTTTAACGATGTCGTACTAGAGTTTCTCACAATTGTTGCTTTTTAGTTACGAATACGGTCACTCCATATCATCCATGAGTGTAGTAAAAAGCCACTTGAACGGACTTGTCATACTTAAATCATATCGTACGAACGGTACGAAACGTACAAAACCGTACTCATAACCATTGCAACTATACAGGAAAGGGCGTTTGTGGAAGAATTTGCGAAGAATACACAACTACTAGTTGTGTATTCGTTTTCATTTCATATTCATTTCATATTCATTTATTGAATAAATTTTAAGAACTTATTTCCAAGAAAGTAAATCCTACAATATTGTAAAGTAAAATAAATGCAAATTACTTATTTTGATTTAACTTTTTTACCATGTAATTTATCCTCTATTAATTGAACCCAATTTTCATACTGAATATTGTCTTCTTCTTTCAATTCATCGCAAAATTTGTCAATATCTTCTTCTTTGACGTCAGCTTCATCGTCGTTTAAAAACTTTTTATTTTTCTTCTTTTTTGAATTATTTGTTTCTCCCGAACCAGAGGGAACTTCTTGAGGCTCACCATCGTCATCAAATAGTACTTTATTGGATTTATCAACTTGTCCTTTACTTATTGAAGAATTGTTTGTATTACTTTTTGTTACCATTCCTATTTTTATTTTAGATTTCTTTGTATTCTTAGTTTTCTTAGCGGCATTTATTTCAAGATTCTTAGCTCTGTCATCGTTTGTATCTAATAATATGTGATTCTTAGCTTTCTTTGTTTCTATTATTTCGGTGTCCTCCTTAGTGCTATTATGTTTTTTACTTCGTTTTCCCATCTGAAGCAACAAAAACCATAACTAATAAAACTAAAATAAACAGCAACAAAATGAACGTCGTAGTAAAAGAAGATGAAGTCATGAGAACAAGTACGTACAGCCAGCAACTATTGAACGGCCAAACTAACCTAAAATTTACGTATTTAAAGTTGTATATTTGACATAAATCTAGTCCACATAAGACCACAGTGAAAAAACATGAAACATGATGGAAAAATTATAGGCACATGGGAATTGTCAACTTATGTCTCAGGGTGACGGGCGCAGTGGCAATGCCCCTCAGATCTTTGCGATTTAAAGCTCTGAGTGGCACTGCAACTGTTATGGACAGGCGTGTAGCTTACCATCAGGCGCACAACTTGTTCGTCCCGTCACATGATATTATACAAAAAATTAGCATCGTGACAAAACTGACGTCTTTGGGCGTGTTTTTTTTTAATTTTATTTTTGGTTACTTTGACACACGATATCTACTGATTTATAACAGTGAAAAGCTCACGTTGGTTTTATTGATATAAGATTGCCACGTGTATTTTGAGCACTCTGAAACGTATAGATCAATTTAACTAGGTATTTCAAACATTAAGTATTTTGATGCTGACTGTACCTGGTCAGTGTTTAGGTACTTAATCGGGTCAATAAAATAGCTCTAAATATTTACAGCTCTACGCATTGCCTAAACGTAAACTACCTACTAAATATTTGCAAGTCTATATATACAATAGTCAATATTTAAAGTAGTTTATTTATATCTTTGTAGACAAGGTTGAGATGACATTGTTTTTGATTTAACTCGACTAGATCGCTAATGAGATATATAAATACATATTTCGCGTTTTTATAACATTTCATTCGGTAGGGGTGCTACAAACACTACGATATTGCGCTTTATTTACAGCGCGCCGCGTTGAGTTTTTATAACTTGGCATTGGCAGTACCTATCGACTAGTAGTTTTCATCGCCACGTACGCTAAATGTACGTACATGATATGAGTAAAAAAAACAATTTGAATTGTTATCAGTTTGTAGTTAATGAAGTATATGAAGTAATATAAGTGATAAATGTCAGCACTCGACGAAGCGATATTAAACGATAAACACGCATTACTCTTTACGTAACTCCGAGCTCGGTCGGCAGCGGAGTGCAAGTTACGAGGTCGTGGTCGGCGAGCTTCAGCCCAGACCTCCCACCTCCCTCCTCTACGCGAGTCGCGACGTCAACCGGCTGCGCAGACCGCAATCAAACCGATTTCTATCAACTAACTACCGCGTCGGACGCCCGTCAAGACTTTGCGTGTGATCTTCCGAGAAAAACATTTATAAATCAATCTTTTTCTGTGAAACATGGCTGATAAACAGTATATTTTAGGTATGGACATTGGTACGACTTCGGTAAAAGTATGCGTCTACGATCCTGTCACTAAGGAGCTCGTAGCTAAACAAAACAAGGATACGGCGGCTAACATTCCAAGTGATCAAGGAATAGAAGGGAACAAGCAGGATGTTCCGAAAATAGTTTCAGCGGTGCATTACTGTGTGTCACGTCTTCCTCGTGATATACTACGACATGTGACAAAGATTGGAGTGTGTGGGCAAATGCAAGGAGTTGTTTTGTGGAAAAATGGGTACGTAAACATTGTGAAACAGTCAGTAAATTTATCTTATCTTTTATTATTATTATTAAGAAAATAAAATATAGTTTCATTATTAACATTGTAATTGGTGTTTTACAGAGCTTGGGAAAAAATAGAAAAAGAAGGTGTTGTAATGAGATTTGAGGGTATCCGAGAAAACATGTCAGCTTTATACACATGGCAAGACACTAGATGTAAACCAGAATTTTTGGAATCACTCCCAAAACCCAACTCTCTTCAAAAATGCTACTCAGGATACGGATGTACAACTCTCTTGTGGATGTTGAAGCACAAGCCTGATAAATTAAAGAATTTTAGCTTTTCAGCTACTGTCCAGGATTTCGTGGTAGCTATGCTATGCAACTTGGAGACCCCAATAACGTCGGATCAAAACGCAGCCAGCTGGGGTTATTTCAACACTGAGATAAATGAGTGGAACATTGATATTTTAAAATCTATTGATTTCCCAGTGAATCTCTTGCCTAAAGTTGTTAAAAGTGGGGAATTTGCTGGAAAACTAAGTGCATCTTGGAATGGGATTCCTGAAGGGACCCCAGTAGGCGCGGCATTGGGAGACTTGCAATGTTCTATACTTGCTACTCTCGAAAACGAGCAGGATGCCGTACTTAACATATCAACATCTGCCCAACTTGCTATCGTAGTTAAGAGCGTTTCGGATTTAGGCTGCAGCACAATTGAGCACTTGCCCTATTTTAATAACACTTATTTAGTGGTGGCAGCTTCGTTGAACGGTGGCAACGTTCTGGCCACATTTGTGAAGATGCTTCAACAGTGGATGCTGGATTTGGGCTGTCCAATTCCTCAGTCAAAAGTATGGGAGAAATTGATCTCCCTGGGTTTGGCTGCACCGACAACATCACCTATGAAAATAAAACCTCATTTGCTGGGTGAAAGACATGACCCAACCGCCAAAGCCTCGGTGGAAAACATCGATTTGTCCAACATTCAATTGGGACCAGTTTTCAAATCACTGTGTGATAGCTTGATAGAGAATTTACACTTCATGATGCCTAAAGAAATTTTGCGTAGCGCAAATATAAAGAGAATTGTGGGAAATGGTTCTGGGTTATCCAGAAACGTAGTCTTGCAAAGGGCTGTGGAGCATTATTACAGTTTGCCTCTTGAGTTTACTTCGGGAGGCGACGCCGCGAAGGGTGCTGCTATAGCTGTTTTGGAGACTGTTGAGATAGATGATTAGAAAGATGGAAATAATAAATTTTCCACACTCCAAAATAAACCTATGTAATGATAACCAACCAGTATCAGCAAACGCACACATTGGTAAACTAATCATTACTTACATTTTAATATAGAAGTATTATTTACACAGGGTAGGCAGGTAGGGTATAGCAGATAGAAAGTAGGACAATATTGAAAATATAGTAAAAAATGTTGCTGTACTGTTTATATTATTGTTTGTAAGAAATTAGTAAAACGGTTTATACGTTTTTGTTACGCAGAACGGAATAAATATACTATCGTTATTAGTAATTTTAGGATCAAGTACTTCCAGCAACAGTAAGTATTACTAATTACTTTACTACTAAAGTAATTTTTGATACCGGTAGGTACCTAATCAAAGAATGAAATTGTGATTTTTACAGCAGCTGAGTAGATGGTGCTTGCCGTTTTAAGGAAATAAGACATGAAAGGGTTTACTTTGTAACTACATTATATCATAGTGATCGAAATTGAGTGATTTAAATAACCTAAAATTTGAGTAACGTAAATAAGAATGTGGACATTCCCTTCTAGAAATCCCGGAACTTTTCGGAACTGATTATCGTTGAATATACGTATTATAACTAATATATAACTGCCTCTGTAGCCGAACAGTAATCATGCCGGACTGCCACACAGAGGTCCCACGATCGATTCCCGGGCCGGGAGAAATATTTGTACGGCCCACAATTATTTCTCTCGTGAGTTTGGGTGTAATTTGTGGTTGTCTATGTATATGTCCATGGCACCCGCGACACAGGGTTTCCCTAGTGCGGGGCTATGTTGAGTGTGTGCGTTATTATTGTTGTTATTTAATGAAATTTGCCACAAACATTTTACACAAGCGCTTTGCACGCATATTTCGCAGTAGAAAGAAGCAACTGTTTTTTCTTTCACACAGCATCGAAAGTAGCTGCTATCTCTTTTACACAGTACGAAAACAAAATAAGACAAACAATAGAAACCATTGCCATTATTTATCATAATATATTGGCGGTTCCTATTGTTTGACATATTGATTTCTTTAGTAAATCCGTATGCATAAACATTGTAATTATTATAATGAATACCTACATACATATAAATAAAACAATAATTATATAATATATGCCTATATTAATTTAATTCGTCGACTAATGTTATATGTTGGTATATGTTGATATGGTAACACGAATCCCGGGATTTTATTTGTCATATCACGAAATGGGTATGTTTTGTTAATTACTAAGAAATGTTTGTGTTAATTACTAAGAAAATGTTCAAACTTTAGGTAACTTAACTCACTCAATTCCGATCATCATATCCCATAAATTAAATTAACAAAGTGCTTCTGGGACCATAACTTATCATGTTTGAACAATGTATGGCTTTTAACTATACGGTTAGACATAGCTTTTTAAAGGAATGCGTTAATAAACTCCTGTGTCATTATGGCTTCCTGGTATTGAGAAAATTATTTCAGGACATACAAAATTTACAATTCTGTCACTATTTGGGTTCATACTAATTTATTTAATTATGAAAAAGCTTTATTTTCTTTACTTACTACTCATAGCTGTTACTTTTATTTTTGAAATAGTCTAAAGTAGGTACTTTGCTAATGTAATATTTATTAAAATAAGTAATCATCAATTTATTTAAAAAGGTAATCATTTGTTTAGAAAATTTGTTACCATCTAGAGGTATTATTTTAATTGTAATTTTACTATTTACATATTGCACATGTCTATACCTAATAAACAATTTAATGAAATGCTTTAATGTGTTTTTCTCATAACTGTTAATTAGTTGAAATAACAATGAGTAAAATATATATTAAATTTCTATTGAAATTTATTTGTAGTTACTTATATTCTATATATATTTAATGATAGCTTGTTTGGGGGAGGCCTATGCCCAGCAGTGGGCGTCGTATGGCTGAATGATGTTTGGGGGAGGCTTCCCCAATGTTCAGCAGTGGACGTCTTTCGGCTAAAATTATGATTATAAATTATTACAAAGTAGATTTTTTTTCAGTAGACTCAACAATATCCATGTATTGTCAACAGCACATCAAGTTAAAAACTTTGTCTGTATATCACTTTAAATGCAATGGAACAAGATGCATCATTGCAGCTTGATGTGCTGCTGTCTGTACTAGTAGACTTAATATATCTCCCTTCAATATACCAACACTTTGCAGATTATTTAATATATATATTTAGTTCTTAAACTTAGACCAAGCCATTGAGCTAGAGTGCCAATCATGGCCATAATTATTTATAGGCCGTACCGATTTGTCTAATAAACACAAAAATAATCTAACTGTATCATAAATCTAGATAAATCTAAGCCTATAACCTTAAAGTCAGCTAAGTTAAAACCACACAACAACAAAAAATTCAATTAATACAAACAAAACATCTCACCTCGGCAAAGCAAGTTTTCAAGGTTTCGTCTCGATATCTTTCTAATTTGTGGTCTCGGTTTATCCGCTGTTGTTGAAATTTGATTCACAGTAGTCAATAATAGTAATAATTGTTTTCAGAATAGTTGACTGAAACACACAATTAGTTTTCCACAGTTCAGAAACTGTGTTCGTGGATTTTTTCGTTTTAATTTCTATCCCATCGAAAAAAGAAAGAATATCGTATGTAGCGCGCATAACCATGCGGTTTAGCCATGTTCAGGCCAAGTTTGAACCTTATTTAGAGGGAAAAAAGATCAAAATTACATGATCAACGAATTAAAATTGACGTTTGAATCAGCTGATTGATTTATTGTTTTTTTCATGCTTTCCGTGAAAGAAAAGGTAAAGGTTTGAAACCATACAGCCAAGACTTGGTAAATTTTTGTTGTTAAACTTCTTCGATCAGCTGATTTGTCAAACTTTGACGATGATACATATTTTTTAATTTATAAAATTTTTAACCAAAACTACAGGTTTTGGCAATAAGGCAAAAATTTTATAATTTGGATACAGTACATCAGGAATCTTTTCTTCAAGGTTTGATTTCGATACTGAGCCGATCGACGTTTTGTGTATCTTGTCTTGAATCACGTCACGTGAGGATTCACGAGAATAGTAAGAGATTGATTGCAAGACATTGTGGAATGTATTTACTGAATATTACATTAAAACGTCGAATGACAATGTTGGAGTTCAATAGACTACGCGACGTGTTTCGTAGACCAACGTAAATTATAATGTTTTAAAACTAATTATTTTATTATTATTTGTAACACTTTTTTTTTATGTTGTGGTTTTTTATTTATTGTGTATACTGGAAAAAAAAAAAGTATTTATTATTTAAAAAACTTTCTAACAAAACTATCAACACGGATAATTTAATGCATAAACATTGGTTATTGTTGTTTTTGTCATTCATTTCTTTACGTTAGTTACGGAATAGGTAAAATAAACCTAACAAGCACTCTGCGTGAAAGGAAGTATAATTTGAAAGTGATGTTTGCGCGCTTATTTCGCACATCATGAAGTCATGACCAGTCATGACGTCGTCAAAGGTGGCATGCTTTTAACATTATTAATTATGGAAGTGAATAATTTCTCGCATTATTTTAATTAAAAATAAATTATAAGTAATTGCCGTACAGTTTTTGTAAGTTAAATTATCGTTGAAAAAGCTCTAAACTTAGAAATGATTGAAAATATTATAAATAAGAATTTAGAGTTACCAAGAAATAAAATGAAAAAGCGCATTCGCCAAAGTTGGCTCCTAACGGGAGTCTGTTTATTTTACATATTTCGCGTTTTTGTGCTAATTTTACTCTGAATACGTGTTCAGGATACTGTAGAACTGTATATTCACAATTTACTCAAATACGCATAAGTGCCAGGAAAAGTCTGAAGTCGAAAATAAAGCTGCAATGGATACCGCAAAAAAAACCGACGAAGCGACTGAAGGAAATCTTCTGGAGCAGCCTAAAGAAGAGCGAACTTCTACAAGGAGTCCACTCACGAAGATGCGGACGTATGTCTTGGCGTTGAGGCCGTGGTCTCTGAGCGCGAGTTTGTTACCTACTTTGCTAGGCGCCGCATTGGCGTACCGGCTCCCCGGAGACGCTGGCTTCAGCTGGCTTACACTATTGCTGACTATCTGCACTGTGATACCAGTCCACGGCGCAGGAAACGTTGTGAATACGTATTTTGATTTTGTAAAAGGGATAGACAATCGCAAATCTGATGACAGAACTCTCGTAGATCACATTCTTGCAGTTGACGAAGTTGTGTCTCTAGGTGCTATACTTTATATGGCGGGTTGTGCATTTTTTGTCCCATTAGTTGTATCCTCACCAGCAAGGATGGAACATTTAGCGTTAGTGTATTTTGGTGGATTATCTTCCTCCTTCTTGTACACTGGGGGAATTGGTTTAAAATACATTGCTTTAGGAGATATTTTAGCACTAGTTATATTTGGCCCAGTTTCTGTTGTGTTTGCATTCTTAGCTCAGACGGGTAGAGTTGATTGGCCTATTATCTACTATGCTATTCCTCTCGCATTGAATACTGAGGCAATTTTACACAGTAATAATACTAGGGATCTTGAAACAGATAGAAAAGCAGAAATAGTTACATTAGCCATATTGATTGGAACCACAGCATCATTTTTATTGTTTGCTTCTTTATTATTTATTCCATATATAATGTTTGCTGTAGCATCAGTAAGGTGTTCTTTATGGTTTTTATTACCAATGCTCACTTTGCCACGAGCTTTTGAAATTGAAAGAAGGTTTAGATGCGTGGAGACCATGCGATATGTACCTAGGCAGACTGCTAGGCTCAATTTTTACTTTGCTATGTTGTATATGATCTCATGTTTGTTTGCTAACAAACTGCCTTTTCTTCTAAGGTAGAACTTAATATTGTTGATACTGTTAGCTATCATTGTACTTATTAATACCTTGGCTTCTAAGTCCTTGATGAATATGATCAGTATTTTATTTGGAGGAATAATCTTTGTGTACAAATAATTGTATTATTTATATTGCATCTCATATCACATATCCATGTTATTGTTAATAAATTAGTCATAATTTAAGGGAAAATATTAATTACATATTATGGGTAAGGGTCAGATCCCACTTGTCTGTATGCCTTACTATTGCATCTGTTTAAGTTGCGTGTCTCAAAAAGAAACAATATCTCATGGGGTAGTGGGACGTATGGTGCTAAAGCATTGCTCACATCAGTATTGGGTCTGGGCTACACCACAAATTTTAGCCTGAACCCACTACTGATGAGTGCTAACAAATGGGGTGTAACCCTAAAGGATTACTAGTATCTATGGTACATAATATTGTCACATACAGCTCTTTTTAACTATGCTTTAAATCTATAAATAACAATAGTTTACATAATTTGTGTACATTTAATTTATATTTATTTAAAGTTAATTGTAATATGTTGTCTTCATTATTTCTACTGCTTCTATTACCCACTATGCAATAGCTTAGCTTTTGTGATTTGTTTATAATTTTAAAAATGATGCTAAAGTGAACATAATATGTAACAAAGGGAAAAGACAAACTAATATAGAAAATAGGCTATTCGATTTCTATTTTTTTATTGTATCAATCAGCTTCTATGAACATGTTGGAAGTTTGTTTTGTAATATTTCAACAAGTACTAGACATAATTACGGTTAGTCAGTGGTGGTGAGATTCTCACTTTTTTTAATGAAATGGTCCTGGTAAATTATGGTAGCAACCAAGTTTATATAAATTATTAAATAAATTTAAATTTTATTTAATAATTTATATTTATTTAATTTGATATTGCATACATCTGACGACCTTGACGGCCCAATGGTTTGCACTATAGATGCTGGAGGTGGAGGTCCCAAGTTCGATGCCCAGTAGGGAAAATTTAAGAAATGAATTTTTTAAATTGGTTTTGGTCCAGATTTTCTGGGTGCCATGGAGTGAATTCTTTGGTACTCATAGTATAAGAAATTTGGTATGGTGGTAAAAAAAAGATTGCCATTTTGTAAGTTATTGATTTCTGTAACATTATAATTTTGAGACAATTATTGATTCTGTTTGCACATTTGGTCATCAATTTGTGTCTATTTTTGACCGACTCAAAATGGGGAGGATGTTATCAATTCGACTATCGTTTTTTTTTATGTATCTTAACGCTATAACTCCTTTTTGAGAATATTTGTGAACCGATTTTGGAGATTCTTTTTTTGTTGGAAATAGGGTACTATAAATAATATAAACTAGGGGGTGAATGACTTTTGAGGTTGGTTTTTTTAGCACTGTGTACTGATTAATTTTAAAATTGTGTCAAATACCTTATTAATTTTTAATTTAACTTTTTCTTTATTGAATTAACTGTAGGCCATATAAATGTGCGCAAATTTAATTTCAGTTGTGTATTTATTACTTAAGGATGCCAGTCTTTTGACTGCAAATTATAAGTTGAAATTCCATGGTCGCAATCATTGTAAATATGAACTACTGTGTGTTAAAAACAAAATGACAATAATTTATTGTATAGCGAAAATTCGTTTAGATTAATTGTTTAAGTGCCTCCGCTGTCTGAAGAATTACCCGGGCGCATCCGTCAACTGCAAAACGCGCGACACCGCCGCCCACAAGTCTGATAACTCACTGCGCAGAGCGGCGTTAGTTTTCTTTAGAACATTCCAGCACGTAAATCTCGATTTAGCTAGCGAAAGCCCTTAAACATCTGTTATTATTTAAATGTATAAAAGAGAATTTATATGAAATGAAAACAATGTTGCACATTTATCATATTTTATTGACATCAACATAAGATACCTTTATCATAATCTGTAAGATATAAAGATAAATACATGCCATCAAATTATTATACAAGTGAGACCATGTAAATTTAAAGAAATGGATTTCATTTAGGAATGCCTGCTATTTACTAAGCTGATTAAAATTGGCAGTGTTTGGAGGAAATTTATGGAGATATATTCAAATTACTAGTATTACATATTTTAAATTATGCTAATGATATTTATATGAGTGCTATTTCTTAAGAACACTAAAGTGAAGATCCATTTCGAATGTTAACTAAGGTATAATATAAAGGAACAAAATCACATCATCATATATTAGAGATAACATAAACGTGCCAGTTAACAAAACTAAACGTAATATCACTATTTATATGTCAAAACCATAAAATAATAATTTTCTAATCTTTATTTTGCACAAAAATAAAGTTTTTAACATTCCATACAATATCTATGTTGCACAGTATAATAGCCATTAGTCGTACTAATGTGGGACTAATCAATATAACTAATTGGGGAAACCAGGAACATGTATTCAATACCGGTGGTCTGACACAGTATGACACAGAGTCTATCCTCCAATTATATAAATTGTGTTTTGTCTGTGCTAGTCAAATAGCAAATATGAATTCGGCTCGAATGTCGATAAGGATATATTGTTTGAAGCCATTTGGATTTACATTATTTTTATGATATGGTCTATGTCTATGGCCTAACGTGTTTTGCCATTATTACCACCCTTTTGTTACACCACTGGGTTTCTCTCAATTTGATGTAAGTTCCATTGTGTCACATGTTCCCAGTGTATACCTCGGTGTACGTTTACCGTATACCCTACGAAATGCACAATATATTTACGTCACGCTAAGTGTGTTTGCGTGCTCATGTTTCGCTGTCTGAATGACAATGTTAGATATACAAGCACCTCGTCTCTCGAGTTTTTAGGCCTTTCAAATATTTCTATATGTGACGTGGTACGATAAAAATAATAAAACGCCTTATTTCCTCCGATTAGAGGTCGTTGATTTAAAATTAATGAAAAATAAGTAAATAAATCACAGTAAAACATTTCAAGTGCGTTCTTGATTTTTGTCATATATGAGACTTTTAAAATGGAAGATTGGCGTAAATATTTAATTATAAGGAGATATTTATGTAGATTCTAGATACACAGTAAATACTGGTGATATTTTACGGCACGAAACAATCGCACTGAAATAGCATACTTAGAGTAATCTCACATTCATGCATGTGGACAATAGTCCGTGGCGCCGGCGGGATCCCGCGGCTAGTCTTTATTGTATTACATTATATACATCAGACTTAGTATGTTGGCTTATTACTTTAGGACGATTTCTTTTCACGCTGCCATTGGATGATTTTCTCTTTGAGCTCCGATGCTGTGAGAAAATATTCGATATAGAATTTTAAAAAGATTGATATAATGCAAACGTGTCTTATTAAAAAATTGTGTTATTTTTATTTACCTGGGCGTAGTTGGTCCTCTGTCAAGGGTTGTCGACTGAACGGGTCAGTGGCACTGTTGAGTAAATGACGCAGGATCACCGAACGGTCCATTACCTGAAATATTTGTGCGACTGGTCAATATAGGGTAAGTACTGTTGTGAATTCTAATGAAGTATCAGTTATTCTAGGCAATTATGACAAAAGATATTGAGTTTTATTTTGATTACCTTTCCAGATGGTAGGAAAACTGGATCGATCATAAGAGTGTCCATGAGAGGATCACGGAACTCCTCGGGTGCGTCGGCGAATTCGTCACTTTTCTGCTGATTTGAAACTGGAATAGAACAATTTAACAAGGCCTGTCAAAAACACGATATAAATATGGCAATCAGTATAAAAATATTTAATACATCATTTTTATATTTTTAGCTTGTCTTAACAATATCAAGTGACGAAACGAACAAGGTGTGCACCTGATGGTAAGCTATACGTATGTCCATAACAGTTGCAGTGCCACTCCCAGCTTTAAACCACAAAGATCTGTGGGGCACTGCCACTGCACCTGTGACATAAGTTGACAAATCCCATGTGTCTGTAATTTCACCAGAACCCTTCAAAACCGGAACGCAGTAGTGCTGACATTACTGCTTGGCGACAGAAATCGGTAAGGTGGCAGTACTACCCTGGAAGAACTCTTTCACGAGAACCTCTACTGCTACTAATTACTATTATTAAACTACTAACAAACTATTAGACGACTTATATTTCAACAAAACGTAAAATTCATTTGACTTTGATATCATCTCTAATAACACAAAATGTTCGCTATATAGTGAGAATTATTATACATATCCTATCCTAAGTATATTATCATATCATAGTGTATTTCATAGTACTCAGTAGTCAATTACATAAAGAATGTCAACTTAGTGATTAGAGGTGCGCGTTTAAACGAAAAGCACTTAAAAAAGTCTGCTTTTTAAAATAAGCGCATCAGCGCGCTTTTTTTTATTTTAAGCGTAAGCGTTGGTCACTGGTCAGTCTATGCGCTTAAACGTTTTCCTAAACGATTTTTTAGCGTTTAAGTGAAAAGCGCTTTTACAAGCACGCTTTTTCCATTTCAACGGTTAACAACTACAAAAGTTTAACAATTTACGTTTTTGAGCGCTTTTAAACGCCAATGAACAAAATGTTAATATAATAATGTTATGTCATAAATAAACATATAACTCGTTTTTTCTCCAAAAAAACTTATCTTAAAACCTTTAGTGGTATACTCTTGCGTTTCGATATCAATACGACGTTGCAAGCTTTATTTTAACATAAAAGTCTATGCGCTTAAACGTTTTCTAAACGATTTTGGTAGCTTCAAACTAAAAAGCGTTTAAAAAAGCATAACGTTTAAACGTTAAAAAAATATAAATAACTTTTTTAAGTGAAAACGCTACCTAACATCGTAACTAAGAGGTCCTCTAATTGCAAATTTGTGCGACCATCTACTGAGTGAGTCGATAATAAAAGTTAAGAATCCATCTAAAAACCAAATCATGTCTTATGTACTCGTACATTGGATTATTTCAATGTAAACTGTTTTAATTCTACCTGTCTTTACCATAATATGAATTCATGCATAAAAGCTACACTTGATTGTTTCTCTCGGTCACACTACACACGACGTTGTCAATGTTCGTGTACAGAGATTCACCAAACGCGCATGTGCGGTTCATATCAACTTCGGTTGAGTTTACTAGTTTACTGCACATAAAATATACTGACTGGCAATTTGAAAGGCGTTGTCTGCGAGTGCCTTAAATCGCTCTATTTCGGTGGGCGTTTTTATACACGCCTTGGCCAATCGCACGGCAGCCTCCTCGAAAAGCTGCTTGCGAAATGATCTCTGTGGAAAAAAGCAACGAAATCATTGATTGATATTCAAAAACAGAAATCGTAACCTATCTAACATGTTTCATTTATAGTAAAAAAGCATAAAAATATTGCGTTAATTTATTGGGATCTTCGATGCATTAAGGGGTATGTGGTGATGGGTACATACAGAAATAAATGATCTATTTTTAATTGCTCTAACGATATTTGATATATTTTCATAAGATATAACCACTCATGGGATATAATTATTAATAAGTGGTACAACAAAAAGGTATAATTTAATTGTGTATAATAAATTCAGTTTAACAAATATTATATAAACTATTAACTGGGGTGCACAAAAGACGACGTACGATTACTTTCCTGTACGTCTGGCGTACTCTGGGCAACAATCGGCGAGTGCCTTACATAATAGCCTACTAAATCAAACTAATGGTACCAGACGCTCACTACGAGGAAAAAAGAACCTAAACACGAGCTCAGAGAGGTGAAAATAACGTTGCCCGTCGTGTGGAACCGAATGCAGGGGTTGCACAAGGATTGTAATGTAAATAAAATACTTGTCTGAGCGCTTGCACTGTCGGCGATACACGCAGCGGTACGCACTTATCGCTTAACCCAGAGCGAGTGACTGAGCCTCGTATTAAATAATATGATACATAGTCTATCCTAGGGAAGGAATTTATAATAAATTACACTCAATAACATTCGTTGAGTATTGTACATTATACCATCCATACATCGACCCCAACTACGTAATTTATCGTATGTCCAAATTGCCAAGTTTACAAGGGAGCGTTTTAAAGTTCTGAATTCACTGAAAGAGTGACCTTCATAGATCATATAACCGATATCTAGGATTTTATAATACTCTACGTGAGTAACAAGTTTGCCGAATAAAACTGAGAAATGCTAAAGTCACGTGTTATGCTTATTTCAGTGAATTCAGAACTTTAAAACGCTCCCCTGTAAACTTGGCAATTTCGACAGACTTCACGTCTGAGGGGTCGATATTAGATTGAAAGTAAAAATATATCATTTGTCGTTACATCGAATAAACCGCAACTATTTCAGGGTTACAATGGACAAACTTAGTCATTTCAATGGTTACCTCGTCTGCGGCAAGCGCGGCGTGAAACTGTGGCGAGTCAAGATGCAAGTAGATGTCCACGAGCTGGCTAAGTAGCCGCCTTGGCTCCCACCCGTACTTCTCTGGCCGGCGGACCTGAACATAAATGATTAATTCATTAATACTATTTACTCGCTTCACTCAAGTCCTTTTAAAACAGTAAGAGGACTTTTCACTAGACATCATTCGTAGTTCTGGGGAGTGCTTTGGGTTTACATTAGCATAATTAAAATAGTAGTCATAAAAGCTCCGAAAAGCAAATTACAAATGAGCTTACTCAATTATGAATATCACTGCGTTTTTTACGTTAGCTAACCACAGACAACTTTTGCGGAAATAAAAATACGAAATCACCGAATGAAATAGTGAATGTTCCCAAAAATGACTGACGTAAAACAAATCTAACAACTTAATTTATATTTTCTCTATCGAATTTTTCTCAAACATGCTCGGAAATGTTTGCATTACTTTCAAAAAACGAACACGGAAAGTTTGCCATTTAGGGACCGTGCGACTTCGTCCCGGCCAAGGCCTGCAAAATAAGTATGAAAATCCATTAGTGTCCTCTTCTCTAAACTTTTTAATCTACCTACTAATAATCAACTATGTAAACAGACAAAAGAAAACCTCATACAGCCAACTGCCCAGTGTTCATAACTGCGAGAATATTATATATAATATTTTTTAGTTTTTTTTAAAATACATCTTCCACTCTTTAGTCTTTTATTATTTTTTCCTAACATTGTTTGAGAAAAATTATATACATCAACGGGAACCGGGATTGTTTGACTCGTATTAATACAAGGCCTCACTGGCGCTCGTCCTTATAACTCATACTCGTCCAGAAATCCCTTACTTCCCGGCCTCTGCAATCAAATCTTTATTAATTAAATTTTTATTGAATTGATATTCAATTATTTTTTGTGAAATTACTCCACTAGTTTGATCCGGTCGGATCAAAGGAATTTTTCTGAGTGTTCGATCTTTGTGTTAATAATTATAACAAAACTTTATTCTTAAGAAAAAAACTTTGGAGAGCACATCTAGGTGGAAGAGTTTTCCTATTGAAGCGCAACTGGATGCTGAAGCGCAGCTATGTATTTTTTCCCAACATACAATGTAATTCTACGAGTTAGTTCGATTATTGGACAGTTAAAGGTTAGGAAAAGTAGTGTTTATTATGAAATATATAAAAATCCGCTGCTAATGAAAATATAGGAATAGATTGAGAATCCAGGGTCTATGTGCTTTAAAATGCACCACGTGAAGTTTATGGACATGCCAGTTTAAGGTTAGGGCATGCATCGGTCATCATCTTCATCGATATCGTCTTTAAAAGTGACCTTATACATATATTTCATAAATTTTGGTTCTTGTTAAACTATTCCATCATAAGGAAATAATATTATGAGTGACAATATAGGTCATATATCAGTTGGTATTTCTTTTGGTAGTTTAGCATATTATTCAGAAGTACGTACAGTTTATTTCACAGAATTATAATTTGAACAAGCTTTTAACGCAGCTTACAGTAAGCCTTAGTTCGCCGCAATTTAATTTGTTTGTAATGTTTTTCGGAGCCTTTATTATTTTCCTAATTAAAATAGCGAGTCTATTTCAGCTCTACAATTGAGACTTATTTATATTCGTACCTTAACACAAATTATTGTAAAGCTTATTTTACGAGCTATTTAATAATAATATACATAGATATTGTAATCTTTATGAACAATCTAGTCTCATTTATAAATAGGTATTTGTTGGGCAGGATGATAGTTTATATTATGAGCTTAATATGTATTCCGTCAAAATGATTATAGTATTTTGTTTAGGGTGATGAGGTGTGTGTTGGCAAAGTTACCTTGAGATTATTGCACTTGGCCCCGCAGAGTTGCTGCAGGTTGAAGTTGAGCATGGAGGCAAGTCGGTCTACCAGCTCAGCACGCAAGAACGGCTCCTTGATCTCCACTGTCAGGTACTCTAGCATGTCCACAGTTTCTCTGCAAACCATGATTTAGAAATATAAATATTATAATACAATGTTGATTTGTATAGGATGACGTTTCGCAGAGCAACAATTTTTTTTTCACCTCATTAGCTCGAAAAGGCTTTCTTTCTCATTAGAAATCTGCGCGCAAAAGCGGTTTTTGCACACTAGCGTGGAAAGGGTTTTTGAAATTCGAACTTGACTGTGGAGCACCCTTAGAGGATGGAAAAAAATAGTCTAATGGAGCACCTAACTTTTTCTTTCGATGAAAAGAAAAAGATAATAACACGTTCAACTACGCGATTTCTCGTACATTACTTATCTATGTAATATAAATCCGTTGGTATATTTTATTTTTATTATTGTTGCCATTAAAGTGACAATGGTAACTAATTGTGTTTATGAAATTATTTTAATTCTTCGAAGATCTAAAATAGAATAATATATACTTTATATATAACAATAAAAACTTAATCACACAAAATAAAAGTACAAGCAAGAATAAAAATTGATGAGTGTAAATTCAGGGGGTCTACTCTCGATCTCCGTCCGAAACAATTACTGCCAAATAAGCAATACTAGACCAAATGGAAAGACGCGTCCGAGAATGAAGCTTCATTCTTGATACTTGTCTTTTAATTTTGTCGAATATTACGTATTTGACAGTAATTGTTTCGGAAGCATGTCGGACGGAGATCGAGAGTAGACCCCCAGAACACATCCGAAGATATTTATTTTATTTAAAAAATAGTTTTTTTGTTTGTTTTACAGTTCAACTCTTTTTCTTTCATCTACCATTTTCCTCGTTCTATTGAGGTGAAAAGCTGTGTGTTTCGCTCGGTAACAAAGTTGTTTCGCATCTCGTGGCTTGAAACCCTCGCTACGCTCGTGGTTCACAACAACCTCGCTGCCTTGCATAACAAATAACTATTAATATGAATATATTTGTATCCGTTGCAAGCCCTGTATTCTCGTTGTCCGCCCGACATTCGTTCGAAACCAGTACTGTCAAATAAGTAATACTTGATCAAATTAAAGACGTACGATACAAATGAAGCTTATTCTTTTTTTTTTACAACATTCTATTATTATTAATAAATTAGTCATACCGGATGGAAAGGAAAACAACTTAGTAGGTCTGTGTACACTGTTACAACTCTTTTCAGTAAAAATGCAGTTAATTGTTTTTACAGCCAAACCTTCGATATGTAAAAGCTGATAATTGGCATGCCCTCTTAATTAAAATACATTTTTTTTTAAATTTAATATATATAATTGCAGTCCTATCAACCATCCAGTTTGGTAATTTAAGATTTCGAAGACTGATCCAAAGTATCAAGCTTGATATGATATTGACCGTAAAGGCCCATTTAAATGGAGAGAGTTTATCGCACGCTTCGTGACTTTCGTCACGATTTTTCATTCGCAATCAATAATCGCCATAATATTATCGTATCAAAATGTTTACATATAGGCAAGAACTAAAATCTCGCCTACGATTATGTCATACGAGATTCGCAAGCAACTTAATCGCCTCCTCGATTGTTTACACAGAGAAACTACTAGCAAGAAGATTGTTGCTTACGAGTTCGCGACTTGTCTAAACTCGATCTTGTATGACATTTTTTCAATTAATTCTTGTCTTAGAAAAGCAGTGATAATCAAAACACCCTCGCGTACTGCACTCATGGTAGCGACTGCCTGGCACAAAAACTCGAAATACGATTTTTGCTTTCAAGTACTGTTTACATGGAGACATTCAATATTCAAAGGTGAGGCGATTATCGCTCACGTGGAAGGGCGATAATCACGAATGTTTAGACGAGGAAAGTTTTTTATATTCTTTCGATAATCGTATGTTCGAGACGAGAGACTCTCTCCATCTAAATGGGCCTTAATGGTTCTGCAAAGAATGCAGACAAAATGTACAAAATTTTTTGGTTTAAATTTTATTGTACTCCAATTTTGTAATACTTATTACACAGGGTGTAAATTTGAGACGGGGCAGCAAGGCCAGCTACCTTAATCTTTGTAATTACAGGAAAACGGTTCTAGAAGACTACCCTTGAATTTTGAAGATATTTTGATTGGCATTCACAGATTTTGAAATAATGGTACAGTCAGCCAGATAAAAAACAATTTTTACAAAACTTTTTTTTATGCCATTCGATCCGGTCTCTGGTAAGGATCAATAGTCTCTATGGAACCAACTGAGGTAACAGTACTCGAAATGGCAGAAATCGCAAAAAATCTTTTGCGACTGCCACGCAGAGGTCCTAGGTTCGATCCCCAGGCCGGGAGAAATATTTGTATGGCCTACATTTATTTCTTTCGTGAGTTTGGGTGTAATGTGTGGTTGTCTATGTGTGTGTGTCCATGGCACCCGCGACACAGGGTTTTCCCTAGTGCGGGGCTATATTGAGTGTGCGCGTTATTATATTATTATTATTAATTTGTTTGAAAACTATTCTGCCAAATCATTACGGTGAACTGCGCTCCGATTGCCAGCCCGAATTCGTAACATTGACGGGTGTCGTCAATTGCTTCACTTCAAATGGACCAGTTTAACTCGACCTTTGCTATAATGGACGAAAATTGAAAAATTACATATTTCGTTACGGATGAAATGTGATTCTGTTTGTTTTGTAATTAGATGTATTGCTGCCTTTCCCATACCACCGAAAGAAACAACCCCCCGTTGTTAGAGATATTATCTCTATTACAATAAATACAGAATATTTTTGGCATATACGGTGCACGTAGGTCAGTTGTTGGAGCTGTACTATTTCAGCTTTGTAATGTGACTTCAGCGCAAATGAGAGTTGATATTTAAAAGTGATGTAAGGCCCATTTGCCTGATGAGTTGCCAGGGATGGATGGCCCTTATTTCCTCTTTATTTCTAGTTATAAACTCGATCCCTTGACTGCACCAACGGTCAAAAAGCTCTTAACTCGTTTAAAAATTTAAGTAGCGGATCCGAAGGTTACTGAATATTTCCGCCAAAAGGACGTGCTGTAGCAGCGAATTTGCACGAAAACACACAGAACAGGCGAGGACTTTTCCCGAATCATGTTTTATACCGGCTTACCTGGCGAGAGTGAGATAGGAGCGGCACTGTCGCTCGTCCTGCGCAAGCGCCCGGGCTCTGGCCTCGGCCGTGCCGCTGGATGCACCCTGCCCCTCTTGCGCCTCGTGGATGCGTTTCAGGTACTGTCGTAATCGTCAACATATATGTTACATTAGCCGTTCAATGCTTGATAAATTATTTTTTTTGATAAATTATAACAAAATGTCATTTGAAAAAAGTCGTGGTTGCCTAATGGTTTGACCTACCGGCTCTCAATCCGTGCTTGCGCTTTTCGGTGAAGGTAACGTAATGGAACCTGCGCGTCGAAGAAGGGATATCAATCCTCGGAAAATATGTGAAGTATGGACTATGGCTTAAATCTTCGCCTGAGAGGAGACCGGTACCCAGCAGTGGGTTGAATGGGTTGAAATAAATGGGTTGATGAAGTGAAGAACTTCATTTGACAAATTGACTTTGGCGATGATCGCGAGTAGATAGGAATTGTCGGTTCCCGCCAGAGGGCGTTAGGGTAATTTTGTATTTGGTTGTAAATGGGTGCTTTCAAGGTAGCATCTAGTAGTAGTAGAAGTTCAAGTTCGATTGGTGTTGGTGTGAGGGATGTGAGGGAGGTATTTTGAGGGGTGTCCAGTTTGTGAAAAGCTCAACTGTTGTGGATAAGGGCGGGTGACGGTTACGGCCGTTCAGGCTGTTGGTTGTTCGTGGAGATGTTTTTTTTTCGTTGGGAAGTGCGTGCGCTGCTCTAGGAATCATGATGATGTGTATCGATTGCGCTATGTTATGTAAAGATAGCGTTGCTTGCCTGTTCGGGACAGGGAGATTTAGTTGGTCTATAATGGGTAATAAATAGTGACCAGCATAGTGGTGTAAAACCGAAAATTGCTATCTACTATTATTTTTACAAAACTGACACTGTTTCAATAAGTCCAGTGGTAGTAAATAAGTCACTTTATACTAAATAGTCAACACACAAAAATGCAATATACGCTATAGAGACGTACACTAAAACCTGGTACAAAAAATAATCTTGGTATAGTTGGCGAAATATTATTTGCACCGATTCGTCTTATCGCTTCATCTTTAGAGTACAATAGGACAAAAGAGTGAGTTGTCTCTGTAATGCATGTGCCATCTGTATAGTGCAAATAACTAGTTTAAATACTTGTACGCATTGGCACTTACTTCTAAACTTGGTCATCTTTATGGAGAACTAACTTTCTTGATATAGTAAGAAAAGAGTTTTTTTTAAATTCTTATAATATCAAGTGACTGGACGGACAAGCCTGTCCATAACAGTTGCATTGCCACTCAGAATTTTAAATCGCAAATATTTGAGGGGAACTGCCACTGCACCCGTCACTCTGAGACATAAGTTGACAAGCATCATGTGCCTGTAATTTCACCAGCACTCTTACCCTTCAAAACCGGAACATAGTAATGCTGACATTACTGCTTGGCGGCAAAAATAGGTAAGGTGGCAGTACTTCCCTGGACGAATTGGATTACATTGGATTACATACACCGTTGTGAAAAATTTCATCTATTACCTTTATATCTGCGGAGAAATATAGCTGATGTGTGTTTTCTGCTGAACATTGCACAGAATAGGATTGATTGTCCAGAGCTCCTCAGTAACATTATACTCAAAGTTCCAGTTAAGAAGTTTCGTAAGATTAATTGGCTTCATGTTCCATTTAGTCGTACTAATTTTGGAATGAATAGTTATCTACAAGGATCTATAACATCATTTAACCAACTCAATGACGACTGACGCATAGATCTTTTCTGTAACAGCGTTACGAATATAATATAAAACTATTATGACTAATAACTTCTTTTCAAGTGAGTGATAAAGCGATTGTTGTGTTCTCATAGATGTGCTACTTAGTTATTTATGGTAGTGTTATTTTCTTATTTTTATATGTGGAAGCTTTTAATTGGCATTGGGATTATTTATATTTAAATCCATATTGTAAAAGTAGCTCCCCTAAGATAATAAAATAAAACTCTTTCACACGGAGCTCTACTGCTACTAAAACTAGTATTTTATGAAGTATCTATAGTTAAAAAAAACGACCTGATAAGTAAAGAAATAACTCAAAACTAGTATTCAGAGCGAGAGAGAGAGAGCATTTAGCGCACCCATTGACTCGTACGATGGATCAAGATCATGTACGCTTTGAGTAAAACTAGTGATAATGGCTTTATGACTTACAAAAGTGTAATAGAAATAACGAACCGTTCAAATATATAATATTCATCGGTGCAAATTATATATCTTCAACTGTACAAACAATAGCGGGAAGAGCACTGATATATATGTTATTTACAAGAAATAAAATTTAAAATAAAAATTATTATTAAACAATATAATAATAAATATTCGTTAGCAAACCAACCGTTAGACACTCGTCAAGAAGGAATGTAGTATCATTCATCAGCATATTGATGAATTTGACGAACTGCCGCCCAGAGCGAGATTCTTTGATGATAGCCTAAAAGAAAAAAAAATCAATTAACATAAAACCCTGTCGATAAAATCTTAAATGAAAGTTTTTTAAACCAATGATTCGTCGTACAACTTATTTTATCGCAAGTTCATTAGAATATAATATCATTTGTTTTTTATAAATATGGTACAATAAAATTGGACATAAAAAAGTTCAGTATACATAGAAATATGAGTGATGTTGTCTATTTTTTTTTTTGCCATATCGCCATCTGTGAGAAATCTGTGAAAGTTTTCTTCACTCAACCAGATACCTTTACAGCTACCAGAGGTTGACAAGAGATGTTGCTTTATAAATTGTAATTGTCTATTAAAAACTATTCTCTGTCAAAAATGTAGTTACAGTACAATATTGTATATTTATAAATCCCCCCTTCTATGTTATTTTTTATATAGGTATGCATGTGATGTGAACATCTAATTTGCGTTTTTGTGTTGTCCCATTTTAAATTCTCATCATACTCAAATGATCTCCGGTTATCCAACCATACACAGTCACACCAACGTAAAAGTGTCTTTTTCAACCTTGACATTGGCAGAATCATCGTGTAAATCGATGGAGCCATTATAAAGATGTGTTACTACCATGATATTAATTTATTTTTCGTGAAATTACTCGCAAGAAATGCCAATTCAATTAAGTAATTAAAGATATGTAGTAAATTACCTGCTTGTGAATAGGTCTCTCCCACATTCCCTTCAAAATGATGCTGATATGGAATCGTATAGTGAACTTGTCGTAGAACTCTGTGCTCTGGCCCGTAGTCTCAATGTCCGTATAGAACTTCATCAAAGAGCTGGCTAGCGCAGTTTGTGACATTGGGTGGTCCATGAATTTCTCATACACGTTCTTCAGTTTGAGCGGCACTGAGAGGTTAATTACGAATAAAACTTCTACAATCTTGGCTACAAGGTACGGGTTCTTGATAAGGTGAGAGTTGCAAATGGCGGTTAGAAGCCACGTGATGATTGGATCTTCGATGTAGTCGGCCACTATTTGGGGTACGTATCTGGAAATTGTATGAAAACTAATGTAGATTGTCGTACTACAACAAAAATTATACCGCGTGGAATAATATTTCGAATATAGCTCGCTTGCTAAAACTATGCGAAAAACAAAGTAAGAGAAAGCTGTACAGGGCGACTCACGACGATGGGACACAGAAGGAAAGTACTTAAAATATTGTATATATTCATAAGACAATATTTCATTTTTAAAAGTACAGACTTAAATTGTTCATTTAAAGGAACAGTCAGGGTCCCCTGCCTGGTTCCTTATAGGCTTAGTAAGTTTAGTAACAGTAGAGCTCCTTGTGAAAGAGTTCGTCCAGGGAAATACTACCACCTTGCCTATTTCTGCCGCCAAGCAGTAATGTCAGCATTACTGTGTTCCAGTTTCGAAGGGTAACAGTGCTGGTGAATTTACAGGCACATGGGACTTTTCAACTTATCGGGCGTAGTGGCAAAGTCCATCAGACCTTTGCGATTTATTTTTATCATTTATTTTATTAGATCAATTTATTTGTTATGGGCAGGCGTGTAGCTTACCATCAGGCGCACGACTTGCTCGTCCCGTCACTTATTATTATAAAACAAAAATAATGTGTGTTACCTTCCGAATACTGCCTCTGTGGCCGAACGGTTACCACGCCGGGCTGCCACGCAGAGGTCCCAGGTTCGATTCCCGGGCCGGGAGAAACATTTGTATGGCCTACATTTATTTCTCTCGTGAGTTTGGGTGTAATTTGTGGTTGTCTATGTGTGTGTCCATGGCACCCGCGACACAGGGTTTCTCTAGTGCGGGGCTATGTTGAGTGTGTTCGTTATTAAAAAAAAAAAAAAAAAAAAAAAAAAGAATAAACATGGTATACTTGTACTACTAGTGGTTTTTCTTACATGAACCATAAAAGTAAATCTATATTTCCGAAATCATAATTTTTAATCCTCCTTGAAATCCTGAGACTTACATAGTTACTTGTTTGGCTGTGATGCAAATGTTCCGATCTATTAATCGATAACTAAAACTGTAATTAATAACGCACAATCTCAACATAGTTGCCAACGGGTGCCATGGACACACACAACCACAAACTCACGACAGAAATAAATGTAGGCCATATAAATATTTCTCCCGGCCCGGGAATCTAACCTGGGACCTCTGGGTGGCAGTCATAGTAGCCATTCCACCACGGAGGCAGTTATTTGAAAGATACTTAATTGGATTAACCATAATGTTATTTTCGTTTAGCATGCAACATAAACTATCCATATTTCTATATTTAACAAATAACCTCACTTTTACGTGGACTAAGATTTTTCAAATACAATTACAAAATTGTATTGAAATGAATATTGTCGAAAAAAGTGGTCAACTATTAAGTTGATACCGTCAAAATGTACACGAAAGTGTTTATCTCATTTATTGAATCAGAAATTTTAATAAAATCGGTTTGTTTACCTAATTAACCGACTTCAAAAAGGAGGTGGTTCGCAATTCAATGATTTTTTGTATAGATGTTACGCGATAACTCCGGGGATTTGTAGACCGATATTGGTGATTCTTTTTTTTTGGAAAGAGTGCACCTCAGAAGTGGCCCAATATCAAATTGAATAAAAATATTCCACCTCTAACGGTGGTAAACTAGGGGATGAATCCGGTTTCACGCACTTTCCGGTAACCGATTTCAATAAAACTTGGCAAATAGATGTAATTCCGCGAACTTTTGAGGTCGGTTTTTTGTCTCTGTACTGAGATTATTTGGGTAATGGATTGAAACAAATTATAATTATTTAATAATATGAAATATGAAATTTTCTATTGCTATGTAAATAATAACTTTTATTCGTCAAATTCTATTGTTATATATATGTTAACTCTTACTAAACAGGTCAAGATACTCGTCAAGGCAATGATTACTTTGTAATGGTTTTTGCGTGATGGTTTTTGAACAACACAAGAATAATGTTACTGCCTCTCCATTGCGTTCTATATATATACGTGGCAATTTCGCATGGTTATGTCAATATCACTTAAATGTGTTACGACTTACTACAATCGTATCTTGTATGTGGTCTTGAGTGTTCAAATGAACCATTAATTTTATCATACTAATATTTAAGCTGTGGAAATAGGTAATGAAATGTAACGTACTGCACTGCGAAGAGCATGAATTCGGCGATGTCCTCGACGTACCACTCGGGAGTGGCGCGGAAGGCGAGACAGGCGGGTGGCCCGCCCGTCTGCGCAGACGCCAGTTGCTGGCTCAGCAAGGCGCACACAGACGAATAGAACTGCAGGCTGCGACGCATCAATTCACCGTCCAAGAGGGCTGTCTCGGCGCATTGTTTTGACCTGAACATTTGTATATCAAGTATAGCTTTTTGCTCACTGTACATGTAAAAATTAATACATATTTATACTGTCCAAAAAAAACAAACATTGCACTCGTAATGCTAATTATAAACAACAGCTAACTCACTCTAGAGCTTTTGTTAACCTCTGGAATGTACCTTCCAGTACTGACGACATCAGTGGCTCAGTGATTTACACTGTGGGCGTTGGATGAGGAGGTCCGGGTTCGATTCCCGGTAGGAACAATTTGGAAATGTCTGGGTTTTCTATGAAGTTACCTTTAATTTGAGAGTACAGGGATATCCTTAATTTGAGACCAGGCAATTGGTGTGGTTGTCTGGCACATTATTATATGACATGAAAGTTCTGGTGACATTTGAGACAGTAATGTTATATAGTGACCTGTGTAGCCGTTTGATCTGCCGCCGCCAACGACGTAGTAAGTCGCGGTTGCGCGCTGCAGCATACGTGTTACGCCACTGCGGCTCGGCAGCCATCAGCTCTTCAATCACCTTCTGCAGGTCGCGGAATGCTCTGCAAATACGTCATCCGTTAAGATTTTGTATTTATCACAATTTTGCCCAAGTATCGACACCTCCAATGAACTTACTCCATTTTTGTAAACTGCCATATTTATTTACTAATATTGCTGCTACCCGAATTTTACCCGAAAAAAGGAAAATAAAAGCAGAACAGGCCCAAAAGTTAAGATGGCGTAGGTGTTCATTGGAGGTATCGGTATTATAATATAAAGTATGTAAATCTGATGTAAGAACAACCAAAAAGCAGTGATAGCCAAGTACACTTGCCTCTTATGTTGGAGGTAACGCGTGCTAATGAATCACTTTAACGGTTAAGGAAAATATCGTGATGAAATCTTCATGTAGGTATATGAAGGTGAAGGTCAATAAAATACTTTTACGATGTGTAGTATCCAACTCACAAAAGGTAACGAGAAAGGTCACTCTCCAGGTAAGGTGGCAGTACTACCCTGGACGAACTCTTTGACAAGGAGCTCTACTGCTACTAAAACTGGTTGTGTCTTTGTGTGTGTTTATTCCAACTACTTCATAAGAAGGTAGTTTTTTTAAACTATTCATTTAGGGGCTTTGATGATTATAGAACATGTCAGAATATATTTTAAAAAACGCTTTAATGGAATCCAAACATATAAGTCAAAATACTACCTAATGAAACATGTATACAAAATCTTCGCGGCACTATTTGTAGGCTCAGGCAAAACGGATTGAAACCAACCAACATGAAAATGATAGGTTACATTTGAACACACTCCATGAACAATAAATGAAGTTCATACTTTTATTATTTTTTAATGAAAAAAGAAAGATGTACACTCTCAGGAATTCCACATACTTCGCAATTAATACATAAATTATTGAACTGACCGAATCCTGCGCTGGTGCGTGTGCAATGCGGGGATGAGCGCGACATGGTGCATATGTAATGTGAGGAACCAACACACCGTCTGGAACTTCGCCTCCGGCCACTTGTGGGTTCCATCTTTGTCTGCAATAATACAACTTATATTAATACGGCATTGTATGTACCTAATGCTCTCGTTTTAAGGGAGATCCATGTCTGGCAGTGAGATGAGCGTTGTCGTACGCCACTAACGATTACCATTTTGACGTGCAACGTTTTCGAGACTTGACACTGTTGGTTTTCAGTCTCGGGACTACAGAGACTTTGTGACTAAGGCACTAAATAAAAAGTATTAAAAAATTAATTAAACGAAGTCATTGACCAACAGTGGTTAGTAAAAAAATTACTGTCGAGAATGGAGCGTAGTATAATATGTAGAAATTTAAACACGATATAATATCCGAACCTCTCTATCTGAAATTACATTAAACGCCCTTTGTTTCTTACATGCTAACTATAAAAATTAAAAACGAAACCTTTGTAAATAATTTTTTAAAATATTTTGTCAAATTTTCAAAGTAGTAGCAATAGAGCTCCTTGTGAAAGAGTTCCTCCAGGGAAATACTGCCACCTTACCTGTTTCTGCCGCCAAGCGGTAATGTGAGCATTACTGCGTTCCGGTTTTGAAGGATAAGGTTGTTGCCCAAATTGCAGGCACACAGGACTTGTCAACTTAGTCAAGTCTCAGTGTGAGGGGTGCCGTGGCAGTGCCCCTCAGCTCTTTGCGATTTAAGGCTCTGAGTGGCAAGCGCGTAGCTTACTATTAGGCGCACGACTTGTTCGTCCCCTCACTTGATATCATAAAAAATAATAAATTAAAACATCATGTTTTGACTGCCTACATGCCTAGACTATAAGTATGGAAACCTATTTTTTTTAAATAGTCTCGAAAGTTTTGTTTTCGAAATTTTCATCTTTTGCCATCACATCTCGAGACAAATTCTGTTCTTACTAAAAAAACACAATAAATATGTACATGGGAAGACAATTTCAAATACGTTACTGGAGGAGCATAAAGGCAAATAGCAAGAGTTTGGCAGAAATGGAAATCTCTGGAAGAGGGCTATGTTATTGAGTTATCAAAAACAGAAATTTTACTAATATTAAGCATGTAATATAATGTTTATATATTAGATAAGTTAGTATGTAAGTTCATTTTTATTCATTAATCAGCAATAAAATAAATTATTAGAAAAAGATACGTAGCACTTACTTAGGGAGTCAAGCCACTCTTGCGCCTGTTGCGTAGTGAAATATAACCTCGTTTCTTCGCGGATGTTCGCCCAGTTGCATTCGGGGTGGAAGGTGTATAACGGATACACGCGCTCCAATTTGATGCGAACTGATAATAGTTGAAGCACTGAACATACGTTGAGCATGAAACCGTCGCCTGCAATTTGACAAATTGTTATTTAATCAAACGATTTATATTTACCATCCAACAATTTGTACATGCACTCGTGTAATATTAGCAGAGTGTACCTTTGCTTCTTTCTTTATAAAAATAGTGTAAAAAATAAAAATACATCTTAAGTTTTAGAAATCAGGAATTGGCATGACATTTGTTTTCACAGTGTTATAACTATATAGATAGCAGGTAAAGTGCTAACACAATATTGCGTATCGTATTTAGTATCTTTCGTTCCTGTAATTATATAAGGTTCTTGCTTGTTATTTATAAGATAAGAAAGTAAAATACCTACAACAGAATTACGAAGCGATTACTTATGCAAATGCTTAAATATGAATTTGCCAATAAATGAAAACAATGACGAGAAATTAAAATGTATAAGAAGTGTTCCACGAGTTCAAGGCAAACGACAATGTGCTGACTGAAAATACATAGAAATTGTAACACTATTTACGAGATAGTCGAGTAATTATTTCAAAGATCAAGAAAATCGTAAACATAAATATTTACTCAAAATTCGCTAAGTGATACGTCTGGATCCCGGAAAATAAATAATTTGGAGAAATGCCAATACAAAATCGTCTAATAGGCGTATATGAGGTGAGCGACATTTGAACGGAATATACGATCTATTTTCGCTAGTCATCATAGAGACTAACTGCGTACTCATTGACGCCAGTTATTTATTACATTCTTAGATAAACTAAATTGATATCACACGGCGTACAAAATACTAAGATAAAAATAGGACATTGCGCGAACTATTTAGTGTATCTAAGATGTGTATAGTAAATAACTCGTCGCGTCAATGAATAGTCATCCTAAGGCCACGGTTAGTACGTGGACATTTTTATCAGTCCTTTGTAGAATATAATTTAATTGACCTAAATTGAACGACAGTGCCGGCTACGTTGCGGTGCGTAATACTCCGCCGAAGTCTCGAGCCAAGGTTCATTTAATTTTATAAATATAATTATGATTATAGCAAATCTTCAATAGATCTTCTTTGAATAAAGCTAATCTGTACAACGTACATGAAAATATTTTGTTCAAAGTGAATACACGCATGTCAGGGGAATGACCTCTGACCGTGAACACTATTAGCACATTGTTTTAAGGTCAAGCTAATAACGGACGAATTCATTTTCGGAATCACAATACCGCTAAGATGCTTTATGGGTCAGATAAAGATATATTTATATTGATATTTTCAAATCTATCAAGAAAAAAAAACTGTTGGTTTAATGGTAGCATTAGGTGAATGACTTCACTTACCAGCAAGTGACCTTTCGTCGGTTTGCAGCTGCGCACGGCGCTCGTTGCGTTGCAGCAGCGCGGCGAAGTACCGCAGCGCCAAGTCGCGCGTCTCTGTAGCCAGCAGGATGTTGTGGCAGATGCTATGCAGCGTGCTGCGGCTGGCCTCCACCTCGCGCTGCAGGGCGAATGCGAGGCTGCGGTCGCCCGTGCCCGTTGCGAACAGTCGCTCCGCCAGTCGCGGGTTCTCCTCCGCGAACAGGGATATCTACGCCGCACCGTCGACCAGTTAGAATGTAACCGATCGCACGCTCAGACGCGAACTTGGACGTGCCAATGTACTCACGGCGAAGAAGGGGCCGAGGAAGGAGACGCGGGCGATCTCGCGGCCGGGCGCCGAGGTCACTTCGGCGGGGCAGAAGCTGGGCAGGCGCGTGAGTAGCGCGCAAATTGGACGGGCAGCGTGACGCGGCCCGGCGCGCAGCTCGCACAGCGCACGAAGCGCCCGCAACGCCGCGCCGTGCCCGCGGCCCACCAAAGGCGAGACGCAGCGCCGCATTTCCTCGCGCACACCCAACAGCAGCGGCACGAATACCTGTCACAGGACTTAGTTACCTAGTTGTTCATGCTACGCAGAGATAATGAGCGAATATCTGGCCATCACTCACCTCGTCCATCATTTCACTGTTCCCCGTCGCCTGATGAACCTTGTACGTGGCTTGCATCAGCTCCGGCATGAGGCCGATCGGCGTGTTTCCGATGAGGATATATGGCAGTAATGGCGTTTTATTGCACTTCTCGAGGTCAAATACCCCCCGGAGGACTAGCACAAGGTGATTCACCAGCAGAGTTCTCAGGTTCTGCAGCAGATCGCTTAGCGGAGGTTCCGAACTTTTCTTTGGATGGTCCCTCTCATATACATTGATATTGTTGTAGAATCTTAATAGGTAGCTAACAGCTAGGCCCTGAGTTGGAATTGTTTTGGGAATAGGTAGTGATGGTGTGGGACATGTGGCTTTGTCTGTATCGGATTCTGAGCCAAGGGGCCCACTTGTCAATGTATCATCGCCACAGTCTTCACTTAACCTCTTTGACGTCTCAGAAACAGCTATAAGTTTTTGGTTTAGAGGATCTGAACCATCAGCTATTTGTGTAATAACATCTACTAAAGCCTCTGATGCTAGTTCTTCTAAACCTAGTTTAGGATTGTCAAGTAATGAGGCTGCTACTGATGGCACAAATATTCCTCCTGGAACAAATATACAATAAATCTATACAAACACACTTGTTATATCACCAGTTGCCTACGTAGCCAGCCACACAAAACATATCACAATAAAACAAAAGTGTAAATGCTAACCTGCACTCTCTTCAGACCATGACACCTGAAGAATTTTGCCTACAATTTGTCTAAGCTGTTCCTCTGTAAACTCCGAACAGCTCACTGTTCTCGCCCGATATATTTTACGTGCTGGTGACTGTGATGAATCATCTTCAACCTATAATAAAATTGTATTATTATGTTTAAGTCATTGTGTGATTATGAAACATGTAGTAGTGTTTTAGATAATATTTAAAGAAATTAAAATAAGTGTAGTCACAATAGTAACAAATGATTCATTTTAACAAACATTTTAATTGTTTGAGAGTTAAACTGAAGGTAGTTTCACATACCTCCATTGGTTCTGCCTGCTGTTCTGATTGTGAGTTTCTTTCTGAATTATCATCTACTTCCATTGATAGAGAGCGCCGTGAGCAACTTGGTGATGCATTATTAGGCCTAGGCCTGACAGGTGATGGTTCTGCAAACTGGGGCGGAGTGACAGACCGTGAAGTACTGTCTTCTCTTGCTGTGCTCCTGTCTGAACCACTAACAACAGTTGGTGGTATATTCCCTACCCGAACAGGTCCACAACTCAATAATAGTGCTTCATCACCCATTGAATCAAAACTGTTATATTGTCTAGTCTGAGATAAATCTGTCATTTTTGTATCAGCCATTTCTTCTAACAGATTATTGTCTGTCTTTTCAGTTACAATAATTCCATCCGCTGATATTTTATTTTCATCTGAGACTTTGTTTTTACTCTCTTCTTCAGAGTATGTCTGGTCTTTGTTTGCATCAGCTGCATCTGACGGATCTGTGCTAGAGCCTCTTGGTCCTGGAGCAGGGGACAATCTAGTAGCTAGCTGTGGAGCAGTATCTGGTTCAGGCACAGAACCTCCAGGAGTAATAGGAGGACTGGCCTGAGTAGTGGCTGCACCAGGACCACTGAGGGCTGCCAGACGCGCTAGGCGTCGTCTACGTATCTGTAAAAAAACAACATAATGTCTTGCAGCACGTACAAAAAGCACAAAGTGCGCTCCACTAAGAAACGCCAACGCTTTGTTTTGTTACGAAATTAGATTCTACTGTAAGCACTACGCCAAGGTCCGTATACAAAACAGCTTTAATATTCACTTACCTCCTCTTGACTTAGCTCGCTCATGATGAAGATTACTTCATAAAATGCAGACCTACAATACTGTTTAAACTGTTTCTTGGATTTTCGTCACAAATAAGAATGGGTAGAAACACAGCAGCAAACCACAACGTCAAGCAGTCAGTCACCTCTCAGCTGAGATGGGATGTTTGACGTTTTGTATTGGTTTTGTAGTTGGAGGAATGACGAGTAGAAAGTATTGAAAATACACGCGTCATCCTTCGCAGTCACGGTGCGTTCATACAATCAAATACATTTTAAATCAGGATTCATTCAATTTTGTAAATAATTTATTTTTTACACACGGTTATAATTTTTAGGCTTCCTATGTGGAAAGACGTTGTAATAATAATCGTCCTCGATTTCTTTATAAAAATCTGAAACTTTTTATCGGAGGCTATCAATTCTTTTAATAAGTATTTTTTTTACTATAAATATTTATTACATCATCTTTTTAATTCGATAACGAGTTTTACAAGTGAGTTTGAAACAGAGAACACCATAGTCACAAAATCCCCGAACTACTCTCGCGCGTTTCATCATGGGTTCAACAGAGTAGTTCAATCCATAGATCATACAGGTTCAATCGTTATAATCCCCTACCACGCGACGACGACGTCACTATTGTGTTACGAATTTTAGCCGATTACTATTACAATTCAGTCACAGTCGGATAGCAATTGTGAACATTTTACCCAACACTGGCTAGTGTGTTAGAAGTTCAGTATAATGTAATATTATTTTGTCTAAACGATTTAAGTTTATTTGCACTTTCACAATAGACATAAATTGTAAATGTTTTTGGTTTGATGACAGATGGAGTATAAAGCAACAACCCAACGATGGTCAAAAAGTGGTTAAAGAAACGTGTGACGACGTCCTGCAGAGAGATACTCATCTCTCTGCAGGACAGATAGATAGTATAGACTACGGAGTCCTATACTCAGCAGAGGCTAAAAACGAGTTATGCACGAGGATTGATGGATAATTTAGATTTCCATTTGCTTATGCTTGTGCCGATATGATTGCAAAAGCTATTATTAATGTTTGACCAGTATATTTACCTTTTCGGCATTGAAATACATACCTACATACTGATTACTTAATGATAACATACTCATTCGTGTTTTCATTTGTCATCGTGTTTCGGTCATCATTATTCGTGTCTTCATAACTAAGAGTTCTTTAACAGCAAGAGAGTAGCAATGTGCTATGCTGCCTCAAAGACACTCTCTGAAATAGTAATACAACATTACAACGACGTGATAACGAGCAACCGATCACGAAATGGGAGTCTGAACATCCGCTGTGTCTTCATACGATCGTTCTTTTGTTTGTAGTCAGCAGTACATCAAGCTATACACTTTTGTTCTGACATGGCCTCCAGTGAAGCGGATTAAGATCTGTCAATGTGTAGCTTGATGCGCTGCCGTCCCATCATCGACAAAGGATCCTCGTAGATCCCCATCCTCGTAGATCAATATTCGGCAAATCACTGCCAACAATTCAGAAGAGAAAAAAAAACCAGCAGGTGTAAAAAAATGTTTGGAAATAGCTCTCTATTCCCGGTGTCATAACACCGGGAATAGTTAACGATAACTTAATATTATAATAAATTATTGCCCAATTATCTTATTTCATGCCATCACAGTTTACTCTTCGATCGCCAGGCACCATCTTGTCAGCATAATGTGAATTAGACTTGTGTCGATCGCATGTCGATCTTGATCGATCGAATCAAACATTTGACACTAAACGAAATATCGTAAGTGGCGAGCAATGATATTATACTTTATGCTCACTGGCGACGAAGAGTGTCCCTCTAATCTATAGGATCGAACATAATCTATAATCGAATCATTTAACCCCATCACGTTATGCATGGGTCATGAACACAGAACAATAGACTCAGTCATTGGTCGACAGGGGTTATCAGAAACGATCGACCGACACAGATCTAATGTAGATCAGTGATTTTGAAAATCACAAAAAACGGTATTTATTCGAGGATGGAAAATAGTCTAGATTTATTATGATTTCAAAACGCACTTTTCAAAGATTCGTTTAGGAATAATTAAAATAATTTGGTTTTTAATGTTCATGTTGTTTTGGAATGTAATATCCCAGAAACGCTATAATACCAGACCAGTTAGAAATTCGAAAAAAATGTTATGTTTTGCTATACAATTATAGTTTCTATTTCTGTGATTAATTTGATATTACGATCTGAATATGTTTTGTGCAGTGATAGGTTTGTTATCTCATTGGTTTTGTGACTTATCATTTCCGAACGATGTCTTATACTGTCTAGTGGTCAATGGCCGCATGTGTATTTGTCATTTCAATTTGTTTACATTTTGTAAAAATATGATTTACTCAGCAAATTGAAATACTTTTTAAATTTGTTGCCCCGGTTTAAACACAAATTCGAGTAATAATGTGAAGTGAAAGTGCTCCATACTTTAAAGAAATTTAATACCATCTTCAAATTTAATATTTTTTTTGGAATATCGGTCAAATTAGAGCATGGCAAGTACTACAGTATTAGATCTGGTGTCTGGGCTCAAATCTCGCTATGCAGAGACGAGGCATAAGGCTATACGCGAGCTCCTACATTTCGCCAAAACAGACCTACGGGAGATGTCCCCGGAGGTGCAGGCTCAGATCTTGGACGAATTCAGTCAACAGATACATGCTCTCACATCCAGCTACGATAATATCGAGAAAAAAGCGGGCATACTTATTATAGGTATTTTATGTTACTATATTCTTTGGTATCATTCGACACTTGTTTAGCTTCAATATTGTACACACAAGTAAAATTTTTTCACCAATTCATTCATATTAGTTCATTGATTGCAATATTTTATACATTTCAGTTTGCCTGATAGGTAGTGATATGGAAACAACAAAAACTAGAACAATCCGTTATGCGCATTACCTGCGAAACATCTTTCCTACTAATGATGTGAGTGTGTTGGAGCTCGCAGCAAAAACAATGGGCCGTCTGGCAGGGAGCCTAGGCATTAAAAGGGCTGAGTATTTAGAGACTGAAATCAAAAGGTCCTTTGAGTGGTTGTCTGAGGAAAGGAGTGAAGGCAAAAGATTGTCCGCTGTTATCATTCTGAAGGAACTGGGTATTGCTATGCCATCATACTTTTACCAGCAAATCAATGGCTTCTTCACACACATCATTATAGCTCTTAGAGATCCTAAAGAACAAATTAGAGAAGCTGCAGCGAAAGCTTTACGTGCTGCCTTAGTTGTGACTGCACAGAGAGAGACTCCTGAACAAAATGTTAAATTAAGATGGTATTCTGAGTGTTATGAGGAAGCCATGTCCTCTTTTTCTGATCAACTATCTAGAGAAAAGGGTCTAAGCAGAGATGACCATGTACATGGAGCATTACTGATATTGAATGAACTATTGAGGTGTTCAAATTCAGAATGGGAGAAAAAATACACAATGTTGATGCAAAAATTGGATGCAGATCAAGATGTCTCTGATGAGATATCTTCAGTCAATGTAAAAATGCAGCACTCATGGTCCTCTCAACATTTCACAGAAGATAAAAGTCAAACAACCATTTATGAATCTACTATTTGCAAGAAATTTATATCAGAGAAATATGAAAGGATTTGCTCAGGTACGTCAGGTATTAAATTTAAAAAAAAAATATTTGTAAAAATGACACTAAAATGGATGTATTATTGTGATTTTTTGTGAAATAAGTCCAATAGTTTTTATTATGAGTATTAATACAAAGGTCGAAAACACAGAAAAATTTTCTTCACCCTGATAGGACTTAAACCCACAAATATACTGCACCACAGTATTATTCTTACCAACTGAGCTATGGCTCAAGTTATCGAGTTGTTTAAATGCTCCTATGTGTTTTTATTAAAGACATTTGTACTGTATTTTTCGGCATTCCGCACCGCTAGTGACATCTAGAGAGAGATTTTAGAACCTTATTCACCACTGCCAGCACCTTTATAGATGCCTCGACTGATGTAGATGTCGCTTTGTGATCAAATGTAATCCTGAGATTTTATTTGTGAAATAACTCCACTAGTTTTTATTAATAGAAAGATTTTCGACAACCCAATACAAAGCCCGTAGTGGGTTCAAGTCCCATCAGGTCTTTTTTTAATGTGTTCAATCTTTGTATTAATAAATTGAAATTTATTTTTTTTATTATTACAGAAGTGATGGCACAACAGATCTCCAGGTCTCACAGTGTCCATCAAATGCTACTTCTCATGATCCCTCGTTTAGCAGCATTTAATAGAGAGGTATTTGTAAAAAAACACCTACAGTCCACCACAAACCATTTGATTACTTTTCTGCGAGGTCGGGAAAAAGAAAAAGCCATGGCATTCACAACTTTAGGGCTGATTTGTGTTGCCGTAGAAGAGGACATACAGCAATACTTAAATAGAATCATCGAAATCATTAAAGCCACTTTACCAGCCAAAGAAACTCCAAAAAAGCGCAATGGATCTGACACTCCTCTGTTCAATTGTGTTACACTGTTAGCATTTGCCATGAGAGAGAACGTTGCCAATGAAGTGAAAGATTTGCTCGACTCAATGTGTGCAACAGGTTTAAGTCCACAACTTACTACCTGTCTCAAAGAACTTAGCCAGAATGTGCCAACTTTAAAAAATGACATCACTAATAGACTTTTAAATATGCTGTCATTAATATTGAGAAAGAAACCTTATGCACCTCACTGTGATGAACAACAAATTGTCCAAATGCTGTCTTCAGCTTTACTAGAGCCACATGATGCAAACAAACTAGTATTAGCACTTAGAACACTTGGTTCCTTTGATTTTGAATGGAATAATACTCTAATGTCGTTTATAAGACGTTGCACTGATCATTATTTGCTCAGTGAACAACAAGATATACGGATTGAGGCAGTTAAAACTTCGTCTAAGTTGCTTATAAAAGCTATTGAAAGATGCGCACAGACAAACTCAAGAACTTTGAACTTGTTAAGTGATGAATCACTTGGAAAACTTTTGTCCGTTGGGAGATCAGATTTCGACCACGAAGTTCGTTATAAAGTGTTTGAAATATTTACAAATCCAATATTTGATAAATATTTGGCTGTTGAAGAACACTTAAGTTGTTTGTTTGTAGCAATAAATGATTCAAACAGTGATGTCAGCGAATTGGCACTTTGTGTATTCGGCAGGCTGAGCAACATAAATCCGAGCTACACAACTCCAAATCTACGTCAGTTGTTCATACAAATTCTTATTGAACTGCAGCACTCTGAATCCAATCGTACAAAAGAACAATCATTGCGTATGGTGAACAACATCATATCACACGCACCAAGGATAACAAGACAATTTGTTAACACCATCTTGAAGGTATTGGTGCCAAAATTGAAAGAAGAAGAGGCGAATCCTACCATGGTGTCGTCCATTTTGAAAACTATTGGGGATTTGGCGGAAGTGAATGGAGGAGGAAACGCTTTAAGCCCATGGCTTCAACCAATAATATCAACCCAATTAGAAATTCTTTCGGATCCTAATCAACTAGAGAAAAGAAGTGTGGCGTTGTGGTCTTTTGGACAAGTAATCGGCGCCACCGGACACGTGGTCGCACCTTACATGGAATATCCTCATCTTATGGAGACACTACTAAGCCTTTTAAAATCTGAGCAGCAAATGAGAGACAGGCGTGAAATAATTCGGATTCTGGGACTGCTAGGAGCATTAGATCCCTATAAACACAAAGTTAACCAAGGGTTCATTGATTTTCAAACTGTGTCTACCTTGATCCCAATATCGGATTCACCAAGTAACGATGCTTTTGATGTCATGTTAGTTAACATGTCGCCTTTAGTGCTTGACGAGTTTTATCCTGCAATAGTCTTGACATCCCTGATGCGCATTTTCCGCGATCCGTTATTGGCGCAACATCACGCCACTGTGATTCATTCTGTTACTTTTATTTTTCACTCATTGGGTATCAAATGTGTGCCTTACATTTGCCGGGTCACACCAACTCTTTTGCAAACTATACGTAGCACAGACAATAGTAATTTCCGTGAGTTCCTGCTCACTCAGTTGGCTCAGTTAATTTCCGTAGTCAAAATTCACATCCGCAATTATCTGGAGGATATATTTGACCTCATTAAAGAATACTGGACTCCCAATAGCTCGCTTCAACCGACTCTGATTATGCTTGTAGAACATATTACAGTAGCTGTAGGTACCGAAATCAAAGTATATCTGCGTAAGATATTGCCGAATATATTACGTGTCCTCAAATATGACCGCAGTAAGGACAAGTTCTTGACTGAAAAATTACTTTTGACTATTCAAAAATTTGAAAACAATTTAGACGACGTTTTACTATCAATTGTACCAGCAATCACGGGGTTGTTTGATGGAAGGAATATTCCAGCTACTGTGTCTAAGTTAGCAATGGAAACTATTGAACACCTCTCTATGCATTTGTATTTCAAACCTTACTCAGCTGTTATCATACAAGCTCTAGCAAAAGTTTTGGATAACAATCCCGCTTTAAGACAGACTGCTATGAATACACTGTGTGCCTTGGTGGTGCAACTAGGACGGGAATACATCGATTACATCCCTTCTGTGGAGCGATTGATGATAAAACATAAGATTCAATGTCCAAACTACATGGTTTTAGTAGCAAGGCTACAAGTAATTTCCACCCTGGCTAGTGACGATGACTACCTTGATGAAACACGTTTGCAATTACGAAATCAAAAGAAAAATGTAAGTATTTTACAATTTAGTTCTTAACAAATATCTTCAGTAGGTTTGAATGTGCTATTCTGTGCTTGTTTTAGATGATGGCTGCCGATACGCAAATGATTCAAAAGTTGACTGTCAATGTTCAAAATCTACGTAAATGCTGGTCTGTACATAATTTAATATCAAAGGAAGATTGGCTAGAGTGGCTGCGACAGCTCAGCGTGGCTTTTATTACGGAGTCAAACAGTCCAGCTATCAGGTAATGATTTTCCATAAACCTCCAATATTGTACTAATTTATTCAACGTCTTGAATACCGAAATTCTATTGCAGAGCTTGTTCAAGCCTATCTCAAAATTACCCTCAACTAGCCCGTGACCTTTTCAATGCTGCATTCATGTCGTGTTGGACGGAATTAGATGAGATCTCAAGAAAGGAACTAGTATCCGCTCTTGAGAAAGCCCTGAAAATACCTGACGCTTCTGAGCTTTCTCTAGCAATTTTGAACTTGGCTGAATTCTTGGAGCACTGTGAAAAGGGAGTATTGCCTATTTCTATCAAGCTATTGGGCGATACCGCAATAATCTGCAGAGCTTACGCTAAAGCTCTTTATTACAAGGTAAGTTAACAGTTATTTAAATAGTGTATTTAATACAAATACATCTAATACATTTTTGCCATCTTGTACGTACATATTTTCCGGTGTTTTAGGAAGAGGAATACAAGAGAAATCCGACTACTCAAGTGGTAGAAGCTTTAATACATATAAATAATAAACTTCAACAAAAGGAAGCAGCTAACGGCTTACTGGAGAAAATAATCAATCAAAACAAAAGCGGCGATTGTTCATTCAACGTTCACGTACGCTGGTACGAGAAACTGCACAACTGGGAGCAAGCACTAGATCTCTATAACAAAAAGCTAGAGGTCGAACCTCAGGATAGCACGTCGAGACTTGGACAAATGAGATGTTTAGAAGCTATGGGTGAATGGAGAAAACTGTATAATACAACCATAGATAACTGGGACAACTTTTCTGAGGATTTAAAGGTGAAATCAGCTAAAATAGCCGCGGCGTCTTCTTGGGGCCTTCAAGAGTGGGATTCTATGAAAAAATTTGTTGAGGCTGTTCCCGAAGATACGCAAGAAGGCGCTTTTTACAGAGCCTTAATTGTTATTCACGAAGGACATTGGCCAGAGTCTAGGCATTATATCGACACAGCGAGAAATTTATTGGACGCAGAGCTATCAGCAATCGTCGGAGAGAGTTACCAAAGGGCATACAGTTCATTAGTTAGTGCTCAACTGCTGACAGAGTTGGAAGAAGTGGTAACTTACAAGCTTGTAGAGGAACGAAGGAATATCATCAAGAAAACGTGGTGGTCTCGTCTTCAAGGAGGTCAAAGGCTGGTTGAGGACTGGAGGAAAATGTTGCAGATTCGCAGTTTGGTTATTACTCCCCGAGAAGATTTTCAATCGTGGTTAAAATTCGCTTCTTTATGTCGCAAAACGGGTGCCATAAGTCAAGCTCATAAGGTTGTTATATCTATTTTGGGTTGCGATCCTGTTACGAACCCGGATATTTTATTACGATTGCAAGAACCTCGATTGATATTGGCTTACTGCAAAAACTTATGGGATGCAGGGAACAAACGATATGCATACGACGTCCTTCAGAGATTCGTTGAAAACTCCGACCCAGATAATGAAGAACAGTGCCGATTACTAGCCCGTTGTCATTTAAAACTCGGTTCATGGTGTGAAGCTCTTCAAGAAATCAACGAGCTCTCTATACCAGAAATACTGCGAAATTATGCAGCAGCCGCGATTCTTGCTCCAGAGTGGTATAAAGCATGTCACGCTTGGGCCTGTATGAATTTCGAAACAGTCTTGTTCTATAAACAACAGGATAACATTTCTGAGAGCAGTGTCGCGGGAGGTTCGGGAGAAAAGAAAGTGTCACGGGCGGATTTCATAAATACACACACTATACCCGCTATAGAAGGATTCTTTAAATCTATTAGCTTGTCTAATGGAAGCGCGCTACAAGACACGCTGAGACTATTGACTTTATGGTTCGATCATGGTCACCACCCGGTTGTTTACGACGCGTTATTTGAAGGCATTCGCCAAATCGATGTGAAGATATGGCTTCAAGTGATTCCGCAGTTGATTGCCAGGATAGATTCGCCTAGGAGTTTGGTTGCCAAGCTTGTGCATATTCTCTTGATCGATATAAGTAAACTTCATCCGCAAGCGCTAGTCTACCCATTGACGGTGGCCACCAAATCTTCATTTGTGACAAGGAAAAGCGCTGCCAATTATATTTTGAAAACAATGTGTACGCATTCACAAAATCTGGTCAACGAAGCTGCGGTTATATCAGACGAGTTAATCAAGGTGGCTATTTTATGGCACGATCAAGTCTTTATTGCTTTGGATGAAGCATCCAGGTCTGTAGAAACCACGAACCCAAACTCTATTATGTTTTTCGAATCTACATTCATAAATGATGTCCTTTTGCAGATTATATTTCAGTGAAAAAGATTATCGTGGTATGTTTAAAACTTTGGAAAAAATGCACACAATGTTGGAGCAACCACCAGAGACGCTGAAAGAGGTTTCCTTCCTGCAAATGTATGGCAGAGATTTGCAAGAAGCGCAGCGATGGTGCGAGCTGTACAAGGTAGTCACCTGAAGAGGATAATACTATAGGATAGCTAATAAAGATGATATATTTATTATCATTTTCATTAGCTATCCTACTTATACAACGTACCTGTTTTTAGGAGAGTGCTGACGATAGGTATCTGAACGAAGCCTGGGATCTCTACTATCACGTGTTCCGACGTATTGCCTCTCAGTTCCGTTCTCTTACGTCGTTGGAGTTGCAGTATGTGAGCAAAAGACTTCATATGTGTAAAGATTTTGAGTTGGCTGTGCCAGGTTCTTACGTACCCAATGAGAAGGTCATAAGGATATCTCATATACATGGTCAATTGCAGGTAACACTACAAGCTTAAGCTATTACGTAGTAACTTGAAATATTTACTTTTCCGAATTGATTTTTAAATAGATAATCTATATTGATTTTTTTTTATTATTTGTAAACCCATCCATAAATATTGAAACACAACAAAAGTTTCGAAATCAACCTTAGCTTTTCACTTTTATATTTACAAATAAACGTTCTTTCTGAATGTCTGAACTTTTCAGGTAATAAAATCAAAACAACGCCCGCGTCGCCTTACCATTCAAGGTTCAGACGGAAAGCAATATATGTTTCTTCTCAAGGGCCACGAAGACCTCAGACAAGACGAGCGTGTCATGCAATTATTTGGCCTGGTCAACACTTTACTACAGACAGATACAAACACTTACAGACACGATTTAGCAATACAGAGGTATGCTGTAATACCTCTATCGCCAAATTCTGGACTCATAGGCTGGGTCCCACAGTGTGATACTCTGTACAATTTGATCAGTGATTATCGCGACAAGAAGACCAATAAAATGGCCTTAAATACAGAGCAGCAAATTATGTTGAAAATGGCATCTGAATATCAGAAGTTAATGCTGAAACATAAGGTGAGGCATATACAATTTTATTTTAAAGAATTGTAAGTGCTATTTTCTTTAGTGTATGTAGTATATATTACGTAAACACTTTAATTACATTTTGATTAGATAGTAAAGAATATTATTTTGTTCAATTAATCTTAACTAAACTAACACTATACACGTCTAAGATACTTTATTATTGTTTGAATGTACATGTCCTTTATAATATACTAAAATACTTATATTGTAATTAGATTGTAGAACAAACATGCACTCACAGACCTTCACATACACGCACTTAGAGAAAAAAATTAACCCTATTAATACTTGATTTTAACACTTCTTTTTTCTTTACATTGATTTAAACTTAAGTAGTTGAATATATATGATTATATGAATTGTCAATTAATCATATTGTGATTCTGCCAAAACGGCATTTTTAGCCTTGCTGTGGATCAGGCGCTTGCCCTAGATACAGACATGCAGACGCAGGTTCGAATCCTGTCAGATCGAAGAAATTTTGATTTTGAATGAAATAATTTTTTTCAGATCTATTCCACATACATATATTTGTTTTTTTCAAACAAACCAATGTTTCGGACTCTGTACAGTTTCTATGGTCCTTGTCTATATGTATTTCTATTATCGAGATAAATGAGTTTCACGCCTGAGAATATTCAGATATAACGACAAGTAATTCTTAATATATAGTGTTAGATGAAGGTTGAGACATTCTATTTTATTGGTAATTCTATTCTTACACATTCTCAATTCTAATGGGGCTTCTTCCCCTTACAAGCCTCCATAACAAGCCCCACAGCTAATATAGCCCATTCGGCTTACCCATACCACCATATCGTTTCTTAGCCCCCAGTCATTGCCTCAGTAAATGGGTGGGGTTCAGTTCTGCTCTGATTTCTGGTTCTACACTCACCTCCGATTGCTCCATTGGAACAGCCGGAGCTTCTTTCTATAAATTCTATTCTAATACGTACTAACTTTTACTCTCTCATCCCATATCTCTTAATTACATTCATTGGAATTACATGATTCTTATGTTCGATGTCGCTTCTCCGAGTTCATCACTTTTCTCACCTTGAATAAACTCCCGCTCTCCCGCCAGACACGTGCGCGCTCAAAATTGCAGCTTCTCCTGTCACCGTAAATTTTTTAAACTCGCCATTATCTAACATGGCTGCCAATATTGACATCATTAATTCTGTTCAGAAACTTACCCAATTTCATCGAAACTCGCGTTTGTCGCGTCAACCTATTTAAACGTAGTGACATGTAAAGGAATATGAAAAAGCTAAAACGTTGAATTTAAATTGTAATGTCATCGCAGTACTGTCTAATTTTGCTTGCTTCGCTGTCTGTCGAACAAACGAAGACTAAAGCGTGAATGACGCTCTGTATACGATTTTAACGCCCTATAAGTTCGGACACTTTTTAGCGCGGACCCGACGTCCATATAATTGTAAGTCAATGTTTGAAAAACAAAATATACGCGATTTACATCCGAAAAAAATAGTACCATGTGTAGCAATCGCTAAAACCTTAGAACTAGATTTGTTGAATAATGTAACATATACTTTCAGGTTGAAGTATTTGAATATACACTATCACAGACACCAGGCAACGACTTGGCTCGACTGCTTTGGTTGAAAAGTCCTTCGGCGGAAGCATGGTTCGAGCGTCGCACCAACTACACACGCTCTCTAGCAGTCATGTCTATGGTGGGGTATATACTCGGGCTCGGTGACCGCCATCCTTCGAACATCATGCTACATAGAGTCACCGGGAAAGTCCTGCATATTGACTTTGGAGATTGTTTCGAGGTGACCCAAACTAGAGAAAAATTCCCTGAAAAGATCCCGTTCCGTTTGACTAGAATGCTGATTAATGCTATGGAGGTAAGTTTGTTTCTCTAGAATACATAAGAATGTAGTGTACTTGTATGTAACTTAATAAATAGTTTTTATTGAATTTTTGTGTCTTCCAGAGTCTGTAAACAAGAAAAGTGGATAAATACCCCTTATATTTATCCACTTTTCTTACATTAAATTAGTATAAAAATACACATTTCGCCGCAGATCTTTGTATACAAAATAATAAACTTAAAGGAAGACAGTAATTTGAAATCACCTGTTAATGTTATATGTTAGTTTCATGCAGGGTTCGAAGTAATAATTGTTACGATAATTATTTTGTTAGTATAGCTTCATAATTATTTTGATGTTTATAAAATTAATTGGAACAACAAAATGCTACCTCTGGCAATTTCGTCTCATATGTTTTTATCAGAGACGTATCCAAACGATCCTTTGATATCCATATGAGATCCTTCGTTTCACGACAACTTCTGTAAGACCATTTTAGAGGGAAAGATGAGGGGAAGAGGTCGACCTAGCACAGATACGTAGACCAAATAAAGGAAAAGGTAGGGAGGGGTCGTGTCATATAAGGAGGTCAAGGAGCTATTTAGTACACATCCGTCAGATTCCTCTTTCGTCAGATCATTTCTTTATTCCGTATAGGTCAGAAATCTGTTGCTGGTAACGAAACAGTAGTTATCGTGATTCCTTGTCCGTCAGATTCCGCTTTCGTCAGAAATAGTTTTTTTTTATGAACACTTTCGTCAAATTCCGCTTTTCTCATAATTTGTCAGTTCTTTTTTTGAAAGTCAGGATGGCGGGTGTATCTTAACGAATCCTGACAAAATTGTATCAAAATTTAGTACCTTTTTTGTACTATTTAGTACCTATGTTTAAAAAAATTGTAAAAGAAATGATGACGAAAGAGGAATCTGACGGATGTGTACTAAATCCATATGACGAAAGCGGAAATTGACGAAAATGTCGTTATTGGTTGTCCACATTGAACTGAAATCATGAAAAAAACTATTTCGGACGAAACTGGGATATGACGGATGTGTGCTAAATCCAACCGGCTTATAGGAGAGATGATTAGAAGATGCTCCATCGACAAGAGTATAATTCTTAAGTTTGATGTTGCTGATGATCCAAATGCGTCAAATATCAAAAAAAGTTGCAAACCAAACAAAATTTTTCTACACGTTTATATAGTTTTCTCACTATCTCATTTTTACAAAACTAATAGACAAAACTAAGGATCTCAATGGAAAAAAATAAGTATCTTGATAATTTCGAACCCTGACTTTATAATTAAATAAAGATATATGAATAAAAAAAAAAGACATAAAATAAACGCTCGTTTTTGTTACTCAGGTAACCGGCATCGAAGGCACATATCGCTTCAACTGCGAATCAGTAATGCACGTTCTCCATAAACACAGAGACAGCGTGATGGCCGTCCTCGAGGCGTTCGTCTACGACCCTCTTCTCAATTGGCGTTTGGTCGATAACGAACGACATTCGCTTACAGAATCCTCATTTTCTTCAGACATCGATTCCTCGTACACTCTTCCCAGTAGAAGCAGAAACCAGTTGCATTATGAGTCATTAGAAATACCTCCAGAAACAAACCTCAACAAGCGAGCTTTGGCTATACTAAACAGAATAAGAGATAAGTTGACAGGTCGTGATTTCCCGCAGATAGAAGCGGTTGTAAGCGTCCCGAAGCAAGTAGACTTGTTAATAAAACAAGCGACCAACAACGAGAATTTGTGTCAATGTTATATTGGATGGTGTCCGTTTTGGTAACACTTAACGAGTTCATGACATATTTACCATTATGTAACATGGACTAAATAACTCAAGTGGACTGCTAATCGTCATACTGCAGATCATAGCTCTTGAAAAGGTCAAAATTCCATCTAAAATCTGGATGGCGCTGATGAATAGCCTCGAAGTATGATCTTCAATGTGAAATATCGACCCCTCCTACGTGAAGTATGGTATGTCGAAATTGCCAAGTTTACAGGGGTGCGTTTTAAAATTCTGAATTTGGACATACGACACTTTACGTAGGAGGGGTCGATATAAAAAGTTAGTTTTTTCCTTGTAATATTATTCAAATATATTGATCATGAGCTAAAATCATTTTCTGACAAATATGCGTGTCAAAATCAATAGATGGCATTGTGTGTTACAAACTAATTTATAAATTAACGCTTCTTAATATGGGTAGATGGCGCTAATCCTAAACAATAAAAAAATAGCCGGCACCATAGTCATCTGTTTAGGTCCTTAACTAAATATAAACAATCTTGAGGTGTTTTCTTTTTAATGAAATATACATTTATAAGATTATTTTTACTTACCTTCAAATACAAAATACAAATTCTTAGCTTCATATGAAATTGCATGCCCACTATTGATTTGTAAAGCATATGTTTCAATAAAAATATGTATCAAGATTGTTTATATTTAGTTAAGTACCTAAACAAAACGACTCATCCGAAGAACAGAGTCCGATGTGATTATATAGCGAAAAGAGAATAAGTACGTTACGAGAATAATTTTGTTATTCAAACTAAGGCCTATGTAAAGGTGTTTTGAGAATTTATATTATCTTGTTTCGTTTCGGAAATATAAAATCGAACAATGGTCGATCTGATATCCACAACGAAGAACGAACGAAATGTACTATGTCCTGAGAACAAGTAGTCTTGCACATAGATCTTTGTTCTACGTATGAGTCGAAATGGACTGTATCCATAAAAATATGTGCAATAAGCGCGAACTAGTTGATTTATTTGTTATCACTACAAATTGGAGTAGCTTTGATAAATTATTGCAGCTTGTCAATGTAAAACAAATTTTTACTTACAAAAATAGCTATTTCGTACTCGTCGCGACATCTTGTGTACCGATTGGTACTAAATTCCCGACAACGCTGTCTTGTATCGCGATTAGCAGTCCTCTTGACACATTGGCCCATGTTATGTAATGAAAAAGAAATCCAATTGCACGTTGTCATATGGTATATTGTCATTGGTATATCCATATCTATGGGTATATCAAGTACTCGTATGCAGGAGACAAATCAGTTGGACAGATGTAGTAAACTAGGTTTTTGGCCAAATGATTTGGTCATAGTTGTGAGCAGGCCGCAAATATGACAGGACTAATGTATATTATAAATAAAAATGTGTTGAACATGTCTCTTTGTACTAGAATGAAGATATTATTACGCCTGATATGCCTTGTGTGTACGAAATATTATTAAGAAAATATTTTCTAGAATAGTTACTTTTTTCAATAAATGATGTACCTAAGTAATGTTGGTCAAGAAATGTTATTTGTAAAATAGTATTAATTCTTAATGTATTTTAAGACTGATTTTTTCTACGTGTCTTTAAATATATAACCTTGTAGGTTATTAGTTGTGTAAATTTAATTTTGTTGAAGGATGATAGCAACTGTGATCGGTTATGGAGTTGACCTTAGAAAGGATTTAACAGTCGGTAGCAAATCTGCTAAAATTGTAGTTTTTTTAACTAGATCACACAATTGAGTCTTGTTATACCACCGTTTACTTAAACTAAAATTAAGTTGTAGTATTATAAGTGCATTCGGTCATACTAGAGTAGAGAGCGATTATTGACTTCGATTAGATTCATAAAAATATGACTCATTTGACTTAAATCAGTAAAATTACAATAAGGATGTAAGCAAGGTATAAGGAAAACTAGCATTATTTTACGTAAGTGAGGAATTATTATAACTCCTTGCATGACTTTATTAATACAAACCGTGTGACTGTATGTACCCATTTTTCTAACTTTTATTACGTGTTAAGCGACATTTTAGGTGTGAAATGCGTATCTTTTACATAACTTCACGACTATGTAAATATTGTAAATAGGTCAAGAAATAAATTTGCATCTTGTGTAATCTTTATTTGCGTTGCCACAATAAAAGGTGATAAAAATACCGTAGTTTTTATTTAGTTTTTGTCTTAGTTAAAAGTTTTTTGCAAACGCTTATCTATTTGCGAAATAGACGTTATGCTACAACATCTAAGACCCTATGCACATGGGCGTATTTTATATACGCGTACGACGCAATGACGAACGCGAACGAGATTAGTCGCAACCAAGAAACTTAATACTTCTACTACTTATACATTTTATTTAACCTTTTACAGGCTCCGTAAACGCGCGTAAAAAGTACGTCATAAACATAGGTTTTAGGCCTAAATTTCTTTTGACTTCGAACGTAATGGAAGGTAATTTTTGTAAAAATTTGGATACAATTTCACCCAATATAATGAATTTTATATTAATTTTGTAACGTTCAAACTAGATATGATACGGTAGTCATTCTTCGGAAGTTTGTTTTTCTCGTATCTACATTACATAGTTGACTAACAAAAGTTGCTAAAATATTGCTTCGCGGCAATGTAAATTGACCCTAAACGTTAGACTTTCACACAATAGCCGTGTACAACTTTCATTCTTTAAGTAACTTATTGTATTGTTGTTAATAGACGTTAAATAGATTTGATACAGCTATTTTCTTCCATAGCGCGTCTTATCTACAAGACCATCTTACGTGACTTGGAAGTGTAAATAGCGTAATTTGCCTGAAAAAAAAAACAAACATAATGTAAAGTTGACCTAACCTAACCTAACCTAACAGGACGTCTGGGAAGTGTTAATAGATGAGGCAATATGCCACGCAAACTTTTATCCATGTCTAATTTACTCGGGTTAGGTTTTAGATCATGAGAGCCACGTATTTTTATTCAGGGGTTGTCAATAAACTGTGTATGTGTCCTCTTGAGTCACTATTGTTACCATTTCAATTTTAAGTACCTATCACCAGGGCCGGATTTTAATTTAATATTAGTTTTAATATTTAATTTAATTGAAACTGACACTGCGCCCCCTATCACACACATACATACGTGATACGCTTTCCGTGTGTACTTTTCCTACAAGCTGCACGAGTAACATTATTGGCAAAATGCTTTAAAAAGCGTGTGCTTTATGTCTCTATATAGTATGCCGTGTAAACCTGTGGGCCAGCATATTACATCCTATAGGTAACGCCTTGCCCACCCTGACAATGCCCATGTCGTCGGACAGATTTCCCTCACCCAATGCTGTAGGTACTCGAACCGCGATATTCTTTGTACTGACGATATTCTATTCATAGATTGACTGTCGGCACTTCACTATGTTACCTACTTAGGTCTGCTTTGATCTTTCAGCTATAAAGAGTGGAAATACAAATTTTTTTATGATATCCTACATACATTTGGATTTTATTTCGGTAAGAATCGCCCCTCGCTCGCTGCAAAGTTGTAGTAGGAACAATACGCGCTCTTTCGTATTCCATTGCTTCTTTTATAAACTGTAGTACTGTTTCTTATGTTAATATTAAACATTAATTATGCCTTCATCATTTCATGCCCAATGATATACCAATGTTGCTTCGGAAGTAGACAATAAAAAGGTTAGGATTCGGAAGTTATTTTTGACTACTTTACAGTGCGCATTTAAACAAACTTAACGAAACATTGCACTCAAAGCCGGCCGGACCTATTAAGTAAAAGCGATTTACAGGTCTTAGTTAGACTATGTCTTTAATCTCTTGAATCATTTGATTCCACTTTAAAGTTTTTTTTGCTAAACCACGATGACAAACGGGCGCTGCCGGTGCATTGCCTTATGATTTCAACCGTGATTTCAACGCACTGCGGCAAAGAGTAGGAACGTGTGCAAGGTCGAGGTATCGCGACGTAACGTCCCCGCTTCGTCACTTCGCTTCATCTAGATACGTACGCGTTCCGTGGCATTCTCTAATTTATATACTACAACAACGCAGTATCATCGGCCCGCTCAGGCGTCGCAATGCCGACGCAACGCATTGTGTGACATCTCTCATAAAGTCATATCATAAGCTTAAACGACAGTCTTATTTCTTATACTATTTTTTATTATTACCCTTAGTCAGGATTAATACCCTACATCACTGATTTTTTTCTTGTATATATTAAATAATCATCAATAATGATTAATATAGACATGTTTTGTATACTCGCGGTCAAATAGGTCATTTAATACTTTATTTTTAATCTTTGCTACGTTATCTAATCGAAATAAGTTTTGCACAAGTAGAATGGCTGATGAGAATTGTTATGAAATCCGTTTTATTTATACATATGTAAAATTTCCGCTTAAAATTTTCAATTTCATAAATATCTGATTTTGCTGGATATTAGGTAGATAATTTTATGTGAAAGATTTTGTTTCTCAAAATATAACTCCATTACCTACATAACTTGGTTGACTTGACACTTGATTTAAAAATATCCTTTCCGATTAAATTAATTTCTTGCAAGCAGCGCGCAAGAGCGCAGAGCCGCTGGTTTCGTTTGATAGACCTATATTTTATAGTCTGATGCACTTATCAGATTTGCTTCAAATATTTTTAGTTTTGCTTATAAAGTAAGCATTATTTCATTCGAGATACTAACACTGGTAGTCGTAAAGATAAACTTGCAGTTTTGTACGACACGACAACTTCAAATAAAGGAAAAGATAAATGTGGGGTCAAAAGTTGAGGTGATAAATATGAAATCGCTACATCATTAGAAACACTTTAAAAACATGTTTATAAAAACTAAAAATTAAGCATTGGTGGCGCACTAGCCAAAGCAGCTGCAAAAGCTAAGATATTTTGTGCTTTTAATTCTCTGCTATAATGTCAATTATTTTTCTTCCCTACTGTATTTTTTATGTGAAATATACACGCTTGGCTATAATTTCACCTGACGTTAAACGACGACGTGAGAGAAGATGTGTTTTTTCGGGAAACACAGAGAAACACATTTAGTACAGTGATAAATTTAGATTTCTGTGGCAATTGAGTATAAATGCCGATAATTGGGAAAGAGAAAATGTACTAAAGTAAGTTTCCAGGGAAGAAAACGTCGAGAAGAGAGAGGGTGAAATTTAAGGTGTGTGTGCTACGTAAGCGAAAATGGTACCCCATGCAAACCACGTCCAAAGGGCACCACTTTGTTTTACAGCACACATACACAAAATACAAGATGCTATCGCATATGTCCTAAGATTGTGTAGATCTTTAGAGGGTATAGTTATAACTGTTGCTATTCAGTTAATTCTCGTGTGACAAGTATAAATAACTTAGTCTTCGATGCTTATGAGATTGTAAACTTTAGGGAAATACCCGTTTCTGTTTATACGTATCGAGTTTAAGCGTCTTAATTCGATCTATTGTTACTTACAAGCGCGAAATTGTTAATGTTGTTTGTTATCTTATTATAAAAATATAACAATACATTATTGTGTTATTCTTTATATTCAATTTTTCCTACATAACACTTCGAGTCTTTTATAGTATTTCCAAGCAAAATGGTTACAAACGTAATTTTTTAGTCTTCTATACTATCACTGATATGACTAACGAAAAAAAGAGGCAATAGTTCTGTTAGTTTTGTGCATAACACCTTATCCATGGTCGGTTTTGCGAGATAAATTTCTATATCACCGTTGGAATCTCGAAATTCTTTCAGGGTTTCGCGGCAAACTCCACAAGGAGCTGTGAAGAACTTTTGGTGTGCTACAACCACTACTGTTTTAATTTTCAAATAGCCGTCACTCACAGCTTTAGCTATAGCGGTACGTTCTGCGCATATTGTAGGCCCGAGAGCCGCAATCTCGATGTTGCATCCCGTGTACACCTTCTCGTCTTGCTCAGTAAGCAGCGCTGATCCCACTGCGAAGTGAGAATATGGTATGTAAGCCCTTTTACGTACTTCGACAGCTTGTTTCAGCATATCCTGTAGACGATCACCTGAAAAATACAATGTAAGTATACATGTTAGCATTGCTAAAATGCTATGCAAATAAAAATTGTAATGTTTAGCTGGCGTTTTCAAAGTTTAAGTTTGAAAAAATAAGTTTCAATTTTTTTTTACTAAGTACAAGAAAACTAATAACAAGCTTACGTTTAAATTTCGTAATTAACTAGAAGTAATGACTATAACACAATTGTAAAGAGTACTCCTGAAATAGTTGAACATTATTAACGCTAATTAAACATTGTTAAGACCGAGACTATATGGCCCGTCTTTTGTGTTAGCTTAGGTAGATGGGAAGTGTTTTTTCGATTGTTTTAAATTATTTTGGTTTGTCATTTCATTATCTCGTTAGCGACAGGAATAGTCTATAGTAAGAAGGGCATGCCAAAATAGAACTCACTATTATTAAAATATATTTTGACATGACCTTAATGGTTACTAATTTTTAGTTTAAGCTTGTTCTTGGACTATTACTGTTTGTGACCAAAATGGTAGGTAAAAATTTGAATTATTCAAAACCTAGACATACTTACTCAGGGTGTTGAAGTCAACTATTTTGAATTTATCCATGGGTGTGCGTGTTTTTATGTGAGATGTGCGAGACGCGTTTAACTTTGACGGCGGGCAGCGTCTTACTGATTATTTACACCAAGTGGACGGCATCGTTTATTAGCTGTTGTGCTTCATAATTGAATGAATGGTTTTTGCGCCCAATATGTTGTTTAACAGCTTGATAAATGTACGAAGTATACGCATAGTGTCTACGCAAGCAACTGTGAACATTACTACTCTTACATACCTAATAGGTACTGGTGTAAGAATAATTATGCACGCGACACGCGGCAATATCTAACTCTCTTCTATATGTGTGACAAATAAATTAATTTGAGCATTTTGAAAAGTCATACACTGACTGTAAATTCTGTTAAAGTTTTAGTTTTTTATTCTTTTTCTATGTCTGTGGTTCCATGTCATCTGTTATACACTTCAAACAAATATATGTTTTCAAGCTAACGTTATACGTTTTAATATGGTAGCAGAGCGATAAAAATTATTCCAAAATTATTACAATAGTGAGGAAAAATAGAGCTCTCGCTTATGCAATCATCAGGCATACAAATCAAGATCGGTCGGCTCGACGGTTCGCTAACTGGCTAACATGGAGATACAGGGTAAAATTACAACTGAAAAGTACTCCAGAAACGATAGAAGCAATAGAAGGAAAATTGAGGCCTAGTAATCCCGGAAAAATGGCTGAACCCGAGGTGTTGGCAAAATATAAATCTGAAATGGATCATTTTCAGAAATTTGACATTCAAGCCTTATTGATTCTTACGAAAAACATGACGGAAGAGACATTGCAAAAAATAATGCGATGCGAAACGTCAAGTGAGATGTGGAAAACACAGAAGCTACGATCTTTGTATGAGGTTCTTCCGCTATCAAAAAAGCGAGGTGCATAACATCCCCACACATATTTCTAATCTCAAAAATATATGATATGATTTAAACATTGAAATAGAAGGAAATGATCTTCCAGAGATTGTATTGATATGTAAAATACTAGATACACTTCCAGAACAGTATTTCAGTTTCAATATAGCTGGCTATCAATGAATAAGAGTGATCGGAATATTGAAAATCTCACGACGCAGTTATGTACTCATGAAAGAGCTCTAACAAATGCTAGTGAAAATGACACAAAGGTTGAAGCACTGGCAGTTATGAGGTCAAAAGAGAAAAGAAAGAATAAGGACTACATGAAAAAGTGTAATTACTGTGGCCAGCTTGGATATAGAGTCAAAACTTGCTCCAAATGGAAATCAGATGGGAGATCACCTAAACCGAAACCTACTTCGACTCAAAATCCATCTAATATCAGCATGAATTTAATGGCACTTGGCAGTAACACAACAGACAAGGACATTATGGTATATTGACAATGGTGCAACTAGTCACGTAACCAATAGAAGCGACTTGTTTAAGACCTTTGAATACTTTACTGGTGCTCATACAGTAACAACCGCCAACGGCACAGCGGGTCATGTAATTGGAAAAGGCAATCTTGAAATAGTGGCTGATGTACGAGGGACAAAGGAGTTAATAACTCTAAACGACATATGGTTCGTACATTCCATAAAGAAAAACTTATTTTCAGTGCTGTCAGCTCAAGATAGATTACAGAACACTGTGTTTGAGTCTCGAACTAAAATATGTGTTATGAAATTTGAAGGAGGACGAGTTCTATTGATTGGAAAAAAGATGCATATGGAGGCCTGTACAAAGTAATGGCTACAAATGTTAGAAGTCCTCATGAGATCAATTTTTTACATGACTCCAACATGATTCCATTATATCATGAACGTTTAGGACATCAGAACAAAGCACATGTGAAAAAGGTAATTGAGAAAGAGCTAGGCATAAAGCTGAAATTAGATTCAGAGTTTTGAGAAGGATGCATTTTTGGTAAAGCCCATCGATTCAAATTTGGCACATATTTCGTACTGTTTAAAGATGACTTCACTAAATTTCGCCAAGTCTATTTTCTGAAGAGAAAGGAGAAGTACACGAGAAACTTGAGCAAATGTTGGCAGAGACAAAGACTACTGGACATATTTAGGGGTATCTTACGAAAAAATGGAATCCGACAAAGAGTTACGATGCCATATACACAGGAACAGAACAGGTGTAGTGAGCGGGACAACAGGACACTTGTAGAATGTGCCAGAAGCATGATGTATGCACAAAAAAGGCACTGCCTCAAGGCTTGTGGGCTGAACTAGTCAATACAGCCGCTTACATAATAAACCGGACTCGTCCAACACAGCAAGATAAGTCGCCATATAAACTTTGGTTCGGTAATAAGATCAGTACAGAGTACTAAAAAAACCGACCACAAAAGTGCGCGGAATTACATATAATTACCAAGTTTTATTGAAATCGGTTACCGGAAAGTGCGCAAACCCGGATTCATCCCCTAGTTCGCCACTATACGGGAATTGACACTGGAGATAATAAAAATCGGTTCTCACTACCCAAAGTATATTGAGAGAAAAACGCCTTGAATTAAAGAATAGCAAAATCAACCATTAAAATAATTGCTCATTGTACTAAAATTTAGGCGCTATTTACAAAAAGTCTTCATGCGTGAACAGCCAGCCAGAGGTGGATGATTTACTTCAAAATTAAATGGGACCACTATGGAGGTACCCTCTTTCCAACAAAAACGAATCATGAAAATTGGTTCACAAATACCGGAGTTATCGCGTAACATACATACAAAAAAACATACAGTCGAATTGAGAACCTCCTCCTTTTTTGAAGTCGGTTAAAAAACCTAATATCAAACATTTAAGAATCGTTGGAAGCCTGCTATTCCCATATTTCGAAAAGCAATAGAAATAAAATGGACAAGAAAGCGTTAAGAGGATTCTTGATTGGCTACGACAATGATGATGGATATAGAGTTGGGTGTAAGGAAAATAACACAATTAGTAAGGTCAAGAGACGTTTCTATTCAAGAGAAGACACTCTCGCCAAAAAGTGAATATTTCATACAAGCATCTTTTGAAGATCCATTACCGGAGACATCTGCTAAAAACCAATCTAATGAAGAAACAGTTTACGGCGATGAAAACGATAAAAGTTGTGATGAAGATAACATCTTTGACAAGTCCATTGATTCACGTAGAGAAGTTGACACAGAGTTAGAAAGTGGCGATTATCTCTCTGCAAATAAACTCGAAGCTGAAGGCCTGAGAACACTGAGATTGAGAGATAAAATCAAATTCCCTACTAAGTTCAACGACTATGTTATGAATGTTGCTGACAATATGAAGCCAGCAAATATTGAACCAAACACATTCAAAGATGCAATGCTTCATCTTGACAAAGATAAATGGCTTGAAGTTATTACTAATGAGTTGAATCCCCTTAAAGAAAATGACACGTGGGAAATGGTACCATTACCTAAGAATAGGAAAGCCATCCCATGTAAATGGATCTACAAGGTAAAGACCAAACCCGACGGTGCTATTGAGAGATACAAAGCCCGATCGGTAATTAAAGGATTTACTCAAAGAAAGGACTCGACTATTATGAAACATTTAGTCCTGTTGCTAAGACAAGCACTATAAGAGCCTTGCTGAGTTTAGCCGCTAAAGAGAAAATGAAGCTAGGACAATTTGATGTGTCAACTGCGTTTCTTTATGGCACCTTGAACGAAGAGATATACATGAAGCCACCAGAAGGTCTGACTGATAACGATTATAAAATGGCATGCAAACTTAAGAAAAGTCTGTATGGGTTAAAGTAAAAACCGATATGCTGGAACGCTTGCATTACCGAATATATAATGCAAATTGGTTTTCAACAAAGTTCTGCAGATCCGTGTCTGTTCACCAGAGCAGAAGGTGAGAGAAAAGGTGTAACAGCTTTATATGTCGATGACGGATTGGTGGCTGCACCTGACGAGAAGGGAGTGGAAGATTTGTACGAAGAGCTCAGAAAAAGATCCAAAATTACCACTAAGCCTGCGTCATACTTTCTTGGCATAGAAATAAAGTGTAATGACAATGGATCTATAAAAATAGATCAGAATAACTAAGCGAGAAAAGTTTTACAACGTTTTGGTATGACAAACAGCAAGTCCGCACCAACCCCAATTGTAAAAGAGTAATGACAATTGATAACCAAGATCAGTTCCCATATCGTGAAGCAGTAGGTGCGTTATCGTATCTTATGGTAGATACAAGACCAGATATAGCATTCGCAGTTGGAGTGATCTCGAGAAACTTACAAAACCGTACTGATGGAGACATAACAAAAGTCAAAAGAATATTTCGCTACATTAGAGGTACAATGAAGTACTGCATTATATACATACAGAGGTAATAATAAATCCATTGTTATGTGTAATCATGCCGATCTTGGAGGTGATCCGACCACAGGATGATCAACATCACGGATGGTCTGCGTGTTTTCCAGTGAAGCTATCTCCTGGCAAAGTCAGCGTCAGAAAACAGTAGCACTTTCATCAAGCGAAGCTGAAATGGTAGCTGCAACAAAAAAATATTCGCGAACTACTGTGGCTGAAGCGAATAATTGAGGACGTAGCTATGGAGGTGCAAACCTAAATAGCATTGCTGATTGATAGTGAGTCTGTACTAAAACTTAGGATGAAACCTATAGAAAACCACTACCTCACGAAGCATATGCACGTTCAGAGGCGGCACTTCTTCTTTCGAGAATGTTTACTAAAAAATTAAGAGAACATGTTAGCGCATTAAGTGCCCTCGGAGAAGAATATTGCTGAAGTGATGACAAAGCCACTGTACAAGCCATGGCTACTCTATCTAATGGAACCAATAGGTCACCAGTGAAGAAGAGAGGGAATGTTAAGGAGAAGGTTTTATAACTAGTTTTTATTCTTCATCTATGTCTGTCGATCCATGTCATTTGTTATATACACTTCAAACAAATATATATTTTCAAGCTAACGTTAGTACGTTTTAATAAATTCTAGCTTCATTCCGTCTCGTGGTGATCTCATTGCATTAATATGCCACTAAGGAGGCAACGAGAGACGTATTTGAATTCAACTGAGAGAATCTGAACAATGACACCCTTCAGTGCACAGGTAGCTTTCGGAAATATATAAATGCACACGTGGCCGAACGGTTACCTTGCTGGTGTGCCAAGCAAGGTCTCGGGTTCGATTCCCGGCTCGAAAGAAAAATTTGTATGGCCTACATTTATTTCTCTTAATAAGTTTGGGTGCAATTTGTGGTTGTCTGTTGTAAAAAAATAGTTATTTTGTTATGGAAGGCTGCAAAGTTGTTGTTCGACGCAAGTGCTTGTAGCACGTGAGGAAGGTTCAAAAATAGAATCCTGAGAGTAGCGATGGTTTCAAGACACGAGGCCTTAGAGCATCTCGAGACAAAACAATAACAACAACAAAACAACTTTTCACCCCACTATAGCGAGGAAAAAGACAGTTGAACTATAACAAATCAGTTTAGACCTCCGACGAATTAAAATAATCTAATAATCAAAATTAGTTATCGTTGTCAATTTAACGTCAACTATAATAAGAATAAAATATACCATCCATTGGTTTAATCCATTTAAATTACATAAATAATGTACGACAAATCGCGTAGTTGAACGTATCATTGTTTTTTTTTTCTAAATAAGCTGCTTTAAAATAAGTTACTGAAAAATAACAGAATACACTGACACAACTAGTAATATTTAGCAAACAATCAGGAACTTGTTCAAATCACAATTCTACGAAAAATAGACTATACTTCCGAATAATATACTAACTTACCGATGTATGTCTACCATTCGTATGATGGAACGCGGGCGGTTCAACACGCACCAAAATCTATGAAATTTATATTGTCGCTTTTAAATTAATAATGAACGATTTCCCTTAAACACGGCTAATGCGCAGTCCACAACGCGAACGAGGCTAGCTAACTTAGCTTAGGTCATGTAGTTGCATGCAACCAACTAAGCTAACTTAGCTTAGCTCAGCTCACGTGGTTGCATGCAATTATTATTTAATAATAAATAAATAAATAATCTTATCAAAGGTAAGCAAATTACAATTTATTATATTCATTAAACTCTACTACTCATTCGTAAGGCAGGTTCTTCTGAGAGGAACGTACAATAAGTTGAAGATATTGGTAAATAAACTTTTGTCATTTACAACAATTATTTTAATTTATTTAAGTTTAGTTTACATTTATCATTTACAACATTTTTGTATGTAGATTCGTAAAGCTTAGCACATCGCATCATCTTTGTTAACTAGTATAATTAATTTAGCTTTTGTAACTTAGAAATTAATAGTTTGTTTCATACAACTAAAAGATAACGGAAGAGCAGGACTTCCTGTCACAGGTGGATGACACCTACTAGGTAGTCCGAACCTTATGTAAAAACACCTTAAAAAAACGAAATAAACTTTTATAATTTTCAAAGCTAAGCTAAGAAAATACGTAAGTAGTGACATATGGATACGTGCGGGGGTGAAGGACGGCAGAAGGGCGACATACTTTATATAGCTAGCGGGATCGTTGGGTTAATTTACTTACCTTAGTTCGCAGTGTGAACCGAAGTATGAAAAGATGCCTATAGCGAGGAAAATGGTTTCCTCGCTATGGTGAGGAGGAAAGTTGTGTATTTCGCTCGGCAGCAAAATTGTTTTGCGTTTTTACGTGTCGTGCCTTGAAACCTGAGCGTAGTGATCACAAAGCACTAGCGTCAAACAACAGCTTTGCAGCCTTGCATAACAAACAACTATTTCCGATCTTTTATAACATATATCAATTTACAAAATTTATATACCTATCCGTCATCGCCGTAATGGCGCATTTACACCGGATTGCCTGCCCTAATTCGGCAGAATATTTCGTCTGCCGAAGGCGACGCAGTCGACTCGCCATTCACACCGAGTCGTCTGCCCCCTTCGGCAGACTACTTCGCCTAGCAGAAGTCGCCGCACCCATTCGCTTCGATCGACTTCGACTGCAAACTACCGTCTGACGACTCACTATTTACACTAACCTAACCTAACGACTTGGTGTAAATGCGCCCTAACCTTATCATTGAGTTTACATTCGTAATAAAAACAATCTTCACTTAATAATTGTTTATTTAAACGACATAATGTACCTAATTCATAAAAAGCGGTAACTTAATTTACATTATAAATTCAAAGGCATTATATGTATGTAGATTTTTACAGCTAAGTAACACAAAACTTACAACCAATAGAATGACTAAGTTGAATTAACATTTTAATTTCCACTCATTTAATTACAGCACAAACTTAAAGAAATATAGGTGAACCATATTTTAAGCGGTGAATAAAAAGGGGATATTCATTACTGGACATGTTGAATGACGTTGTAGAATAAATCTTGAATACTAAAAAAACAACTTCTCCACCCAGGTTTGTGGAAGGAAAAATAAGTATTCTAATTTCTACTGGAACATATTACAATTAAACAATTTTTTTCGGATTTAATTTGCACGTGTTTGCTTTTTAAAGAAACCTATGTTTCGGGCCCTTTACCACCGTCACGGCTGTTAAATATACGCGACTTAGATCCAAAAAAATAGTTTAATTTTCAAATATGCAGTATTTAAATTATAAAACTGCACAGAGAAGTTACGTTTCTGTAGATAGCTAGATCGTAGACAGTGCTACCATCAAAATAGGCCCTAAAATGAAAGTCCACGCGAATATAATATCCTTCTTAGAAAATACCTTACAAGTTACAAGTGACTATTAGCACCACGTTTTCTTTCCATTGTGAAAAGCTGTTTACGTTAAATTACATAGAAATGCTTAATAAGGTACTATAATTTACATTAGGAAATATTTCGATTATAAATGCCACGGGTTTAGAACACTTTATACCCCTGAGACAACCCATCAATGGATTATTTTATCCTATAATACATTACCTATATAAATGACTAAAATTCCGTTAAGTCCACTTCAATTAGCTTTACAATTACTTTTAGAGCGATTACTCACGTCAACTTTTAGACTCAATTTACATTGCGGCTGAACGGAATAGAACGGAAGTGTCAACTTCGCGTCGGTGCGCGAGAAGGCGCTCACAGTCGCTGGAATGTTCTGGCGACTGCGCCTTGTGGCTGTAGTCTTTCGTCGACTTTTGACATCAAAATGCGACCATAAAGTTAATTACGCTATGTACAATATAGTTACAGTTAGTTACGAAAATTCGCTTCCATTCCGTTCCGCCGCAATATAAATTGAGGCTTAGCAGCGACGCAAACGCGCGACTGCATCGATGCTGTCGCTTATGATGAATCAATAAAAACGTGTATCAGGATTGTATCGCTGCGTAAGTCGCGCGTGTGTGTAAAGGTAGACGATTAGCGACTGAATCGCTGCAATCGCGCTGCTAAACATCGCCGCGTGTAATCGCTCTTAGGGTCAGCCATACACCTTAACAAATACAGATACCTCGGAGGCCATAAGGTCTCTATCGTCATCAAGGTGGACAGAAAAAATTACCAATACCGTCAACACTTCCTTTATTGTGGCAATACTTAAGGCTCATTATCTTCCAAAGCAGATAGGAGAGTTTATTTAACCAACCCATAGGATTTAGTTACTGCCAACAGGGGGTCTACTCTCGATCTCCGTCCGAAACAATTATTGCCAAATAAGCAATGCTTGACCAAATGAAAAGACGCGTGATGCGAATGAAGCTTCATACTGGATACTTGTCTTTTAATTTTGTCGAATATTACTTATATATTGACAGTAACTGTTTCGGGACGGATGTCGGACGGAGATCGAGGGTAGCCCCCCAGAATATATTACGTGTTTGGTTATATACATATATATATATATTTATATGTTGTCTCCTCTCCACTTTGATTTTAATGGGCCTTACCTACTTTAGTCAATCAATCAACCTTATTTTGATTCATATAAAGTAAATAAATTTGCAACACTAGACAGTAATATTGTTCTAACTTTTTACATTATATTTCTCTGATAACAAGTCAAGACGTCACTACAATTATAAAATCACAAGACACTGATGTCCCTTCTGGCATGCGTTTGGCAGAGACGAATTCGATTGCCATTGCTAAATAATAGTTTTGACTTAGTACTACACTTTAAAGAATAAAGATAAGTAGAAAGGGCAACATTATATATTTAACCCCGACAAATTACGAAACAACGTTTACTTTTAGTAAATGTAACAAAATGGACGCCAATATGTCCTTCCAACTTGTGAAAAGACACCTGCCTTCCAGCAGGTATATACAAAAAGCACTTGACCATTATGGCAACACTGTGCTGGATAGTACATGTTTTACCTGCTGGACTATTTACCAGAACGGACACCACCCAACATAACATTGGCATAGGTTCTCATTACTCGTAGCCTGCTGAATCAACAAGTCTACTTGTTTCTGTACAGACACTACTTCGTCAATGTGTTGGAAGTCACGACCCGTCAGCTTGTCTCTGACTCTATTTACGATCGCTAACGCGCGTTTGTTTAAATTAGTTTCCGAGGGTTGATCCAAGGTTTCGTTGAGGCCTATATGGGCTTTACTTCGACTTGGTTGGGGGGACGATGCAGGGTCAGAAGAAGAAGCGACCTCGGCGTCGCCTCGGGACCGCCGTCCGGCGTCTATAAGCCTCCAGTTGAGTAAAGGATCGTACACAAATGCTTCAAGTACGGCCATCACGCTGTCTTTGTGACGATGCAGCACCTCCATTACAGATTCACATGTTCGGCGATAGGTCCCTTCGATGCCTGTTACCTGAGTAAATAGGGAACATAAAATTAGTGAGAAAAAATATATGTGTATATACCATAGAGTATATAACCAGAAATGACGAGACGAAATATGGGTCATCCATCCCCGGCAACTCATCAGGCAAATGGGCCTTATATCACTTTTAAATATCAACTCCCGTTTCTGAGAAATCACAAATTAGAAAGCTGAAATATTACAGCGCCAACAACTGACCTGTGTGTTTGTCTCTGTATATTCTAAAAATATTCTGTATTTATTGTAATAAAGATAATATCTCTAGCAAAGGAGGCTGTTCCATTCCGTGGTGTGGGAAAAACAGCAAAACATCTAATTACAAAACAAACGGAATCACATTTCATCGGTAATTAAATATGTAATTTAGCTATTTTCGTCTATTATAGCAAGGCTCAAGTTGAACTGGTCGATTTGAAGTGAAGCAATTGACGACACTCGTCAATTGTTTCGAATTCGGGGTGGCCAATCGGAGCGCAGTTGTCACAGTAATGATTTGGCAGAATAGTTTTCAAACAAATTAAATGAACTTTCGTCTCCTTTTCTGGTTATATAGTCGATGGTGTATATATATAATTTATTGATCAACACAAAGAAAAATTTCGGGTCCACTTGACTGGACCGAACCAGTGTCTGTTTCTTACAAGTGGCGCCGACGGATAAAAATGACGTTTAAACCTAATAAATACAAAGATCTGTAAGAAAGAGAGTTAAGTCCTTAAGATCTGCTGTCTGTAGCTCAGTTGATGAAGAGCCGTGACCATGGCATGGCAACAGACACTGGTTTGAGGTATTATTCTTTGCGTTGTTCCATCTTTGTATCAATAATAATAACAAACTCGTGCAGTATTTTCACAAAAAATTTATGAATATCATGTTAGTAAAAATTTATGATATTCAAATTATATACCTTCTAATGACACTAATTGCGTTATTGCCTTCTTTATTCTATTTTGAGTGTTGGACTACTCGTGTCAAGTTCAATTTTTATTCATATACATTTTAATAACAAGAATAGCCGGATTTGATTATCTATTTTGAATTAAAATGAAAAACTTTAAAATGTCTCCTCTTTGTATTTTTCACAAACATAGTACTAAATACAGTGTACTAAAGTGTAGGGAAGTGTAGTAAAGTGTAGTGTACTAAATACATAGTACTAAATGCATGAACTTACAAAAATTGACAATTCATATGAACTTGTGCTCCGTAGAATATTTATCAACTGCAATTACTAGCTGCTCGTAAGCAGGCAACACTTTTGGGCAATGAACTGTCATTTTACTTAGTCTTCAAAAACGGCAGACTATACTGTACTAATTTTCATAGTTTTCTAGGTTGTCCATACAAACTTTCATTCCCAATTTCACCCCCTTTAAGATTTATTTTCGTGACAAAAAGTAGCCTATATCCTTATCCTGGGTTCAATCTATCTCTAAACCAAAATTTATCAAAATTGCTTCAGCGGTCTAGGCGTGAAAACGTAACAGACAGAGTTACTTTCGACTTTATAATATTAGTTTGGATAAAAATGATATTCTTGACTATAGTGTCCGCTGCTTGTACATTTTAATATAGTACCCCAACCCCCCAATACGACCTTACATATAATCAAAAGATCACAATATAATTTTCACTACATTTACAAACATTCATTCATGCCATCATGCGCATAACTTACCTCCATAGCATTAATCAACATCCTAGTCAATCTGAACGGAATCTTCTCTGGGAACTTATCTCTAGTTACAGCAACTTCAAAACAATCTCCAAAATCGATATGTAAAAATTTCCCAGTTACTCTGTCCAACATAGTGTTAGATGGATGCCTATCGCCGAGTCCGAGGATATATCCCACCATAGACATGACGGCCAAAGACCGCGTGTAGTTGGTGCGACGTTCGAACCATACTTCTGATGATGGGCTCTTCAACCAGAGGAGTTTGGCTAAGTCATCTCCTGCAGTATGTTCTAAGGCATGTTCGAATACTTCCACCTGAAAAAAAAATCGACTTATTACATAATGAAAAATCTCCAGGACTACTACGAGTTAGTGGAAATAAAACACCTTCAAAATTTGATACATAAAAACATTGACTTACAATTATATGGACGTCGGGTCTAAAAAGTGTCCGCACTTGTAAGGCGCTAAAATCGTATACAGAGCGCGACACTCCGCTTTAGTCTTCATTTGTTCTACTGACAGCGCGATACTGCGATGACATTACAATTTAAATTTCGAATAGGTTGACTTGGGACATTTTTTTCGTGGTTTTTGTATTAGACCCGTCGTCCATTTATTTGTAAGTCAATGCATAAAAACAAAATTTAGTTTTTAACCAGTATAGAAAATTGTTTTTTTTGGCGTACACAATAGAGATGAAACGGATAGTGATTTGGCCGGAATCCGGATATCCGGCGTACACTTAGGCCGGATAGTCGGATTTCCGGCTGCCGTAATCTGAACCACTGCCATAAACATGTCGCTACCGGTTTAGTTTAGGTTAGTGAGTGAATGCAGTTTCACATCGATGCTTTGATTTGTTGTGGACTCTTGGTTTTTATAAAAATGATTAATTTATTCGACAATACAAACAAATACGTAACAGAAAAATGTTAACAGTGAAAAAAAACCGCAAATTTGGCAATATTTCAATATCAGTGATGTTTGTTTGTTGTGCTTCGTTCTTGCGATGGAGAATGAATAAGCTATTACACAATTCTTTGGCTATATTAAAATTTGTAGTTATATACTTGATATTCTTGATACGCCCGTTATTATTTTGTTTCAATTTGATTTCATTATAATTTGTTTGTGATCTAACTAATTCTAAGCCTTGATACCAGATTCGCAAAACAGATTTAATCTACTCACATGTTTTATTATTGTAGGTAACAGAGTCAAGAGCACGTCAAACTCAACACTTAAGACTTAAATCCAACTCTGTGCCGCTTATGATAAGAACGGTCCAAAGTACAAAGTGTCAAGCTTGACGGGCTCTTGACTGTTTGTGTACAAATTGTCTTCCTCGTCGTCGAATTGTGATCCTGTAGTTGCTGTTTATCCTATTACTATCATCTTTAATCAATAAATCAATTTCTTTGGCGTACTGATTTTGAATTTTTGTCAGTTTTAAGCTTCCGGCCGGATGGTCGGATATTGTTCTACTATCCGGCCGGATAGTAAAAATAAGCCGGATAGTTACCGGATATCCGTCTCATCTCTAGTACACAATCATGTCAAGTAGAAACGAAAAATTGTACCAACCTTTTGCATTAACATTAATTTCTCTAAATCAGAAGCCATTCTCTGCATGATCCTATGTTCTATATTAAGTAGGCACTTCCTCTTCTCTCTATAGTCTCTTATGAGCGAGTGAAGGGTATCACAATGGGGTACCCAACCGATGAGACCGGAATTCGTCGACAGTGGAATAACAGCGTATCTTTGTATAGCTAGATCGCGACGAAAGGTATCGGGATCTGCCTGTAGTAACGTATTGACTAGACCAAATAGTTGCATCACACGCTCGTCTTGCCTCAAGTCTTCGTGACCTTTTAGTAGGAACAAGTAGTCTTTTCCATTAGAACCCCTTATGCAGAGGCGACGCGGTCTCTGTTTCGATGTTATTACCTGAAAACCAGTAGGCGAGTTTGATTATAAAGACCTAAATATACGATCTCTACTTTTGCACTAATTTTTTTTAAAGCCCCGTACTAAGGAAACCCTGTGTCGCTGGCGCCATGGACACACACATTAGACAACCACAAATTACACCCAAACTCGCGAGAGAAATAAAGTAGGGCATACAAATATATCTCCCGGCCCTGGAATCGAACCTGGGACCTCTGCGTGGCAGACCAGCATCGTAACATTTGGTCACAGAGGCAGTTAGGTTAGTAATAGGTTCAATAGGCACATACGGCGCACTATAAGTTTCCGGAACTGGCGACTTACATAAACAATATTTAAAAAGTAATTACAACATTTGAAAATGGAACTCTTTAGGTGTAGGATACAATTTGTTTCATCTGACTGTCACTTGTTTTTACATTGTGGCGTCATTTTAGAAATTGGTTGTTCACATCACCATGGATTTATCTCGTGAAAATTTTTGTAGTATATTTTTCTACGACTTTAAGTGTAAGTGAACAGCTCAGCGGAGCTTCCCTCGGCTTCAAACTGCTTTTGGCGATGAAGCACCATGCAAGACGCCTATTTATAGCTGGTTTGCAGAATTCAAACGCGGTCGTGTGAATCTCAGTGACGAATTTCGTGATTGTCGCCCCTCCACTGCTGTGAATAACAAAAACATTGATGCTGTGCGCCGTATGATCAAAACAATCAGGCATGTGACTTACCATGAGATTCGGGCATCTTTAGGCATAGACATGAGTCAAATGCAATCTATACCGCACAAACATTAAGGTGTGAAAAAGCTGTGCTCTCGGTGGATCCCAAACAAATTGACTGAGTTTCAAAAAACGGATCGCGTCACTTGGTGCAATTCCATGCTTACCAGATTCAACGAAACGGCGTCAAATTTGGTGTGGGACATAGTAACAGGTGAGGAAACATGGATTTATAGTTACGATCCCAAAACAAAGCGGCAATCGAGCTATGGGTCTTTCGAGATGAGCCGAAACCAACCAAAGTGGCACGCGTGCAAAGTGCATCTAAGCGGATGATAGCTTCTTTTTTTAATAAAACTGGACACGTGGTTACTGTTGCTTTGGAGAATCGTTGTACCGTGAATAGTGATTGGTACACGACCATTCGTTTGCCGAAAGTTATTGACAAACCCCGTAAAAATAACCGTAAACGCCGTATCATCTTGCACCACGATAATGCCAGTTCTCACACGGCCAGACAGACAAATGAATTTTTGAAGGTGAACAACGGTGACCTTATGAGCCATCCCGCGTACAGTCCCGACCTGGCACCTTGTGACTTTTATTTATTTCCAAATATTAAGAACCAATTACACGATCAACGATTTTCATCACCCGAAGAGGCTGTCGAAGAATATGAAAAATATGTTTCAGAGATTGTCACGGAGGAGTGGCATAAATGTTTTCAAAATTGGTTTTTTCTTATGATGAAAAAGTGCATTAACGCTAATGGAGAATATTTTGAGAAACAATAAACTCATTTCTATCCATTTTTTTCTTATTCATTCCGGAAACTTATGGTGCGCCTCACGTACATAAAACGATTGTTAATTTTTGGCAGTGTTGGTTTTTATATTTACCGAAAGGCTGCTTTGTATATGCGCGATGCGGATAAGCTCCTGATCAGGGACGTAGGAGCCCGGCACCGCTAGTTCCAAGTCGCGGCAGTTCAGCAGCCGCGGACTCACATACTGTAACTCCAAGGACGTGAGTTGCGGCAATTGACGACTGATGCGCCGGAACACGTGGTAGTACAGGTCCCACGCTTGGTTCAGATCTCGCACTAGCCCGGATTCCTATCAAATTCAAACATCTCTAATAATAACCTCTTCAAACAAAATACAATACAAATTATCGAGAATGGATTATAAGTTACCTTGAAACGATTACACCATTCTTGCGCTTCATTTAAATCTCTAGCATAAGCTTGACTGAATGACACCTCCTTGAGCGTTTGCGGACCTCGCTCCAGCATCGCGTGGAGTGGCTCCAATGTTTTGAACATCGCCTTTACATCATGCTCGCTGAAATACAACCTAGAAGCTTCTTCCAAAGCCTCGTGCCATTGCTCATGCCATAAAATTGCCACCCTAATTAGCTCCTCCGATATCATAGCTGCCTGATTGACCAAGTTGCTTGAGTGGGTACACATCGATTTCAAAATTTGATTTGCAGCGTTCTTTCGAGCCACAAAAGACGATTTAGAAGCCACAGTCAAAGGATAGACCAAGGCTTGAGGATGTGACTTTCCAATGTCGATCAATAGTGAGTGAATCAATTTTCCCACTAAAGCCCTTGGTGTATCGATTCTGGCAATGAGCTGGGGTATTACTTGGAGCCATACGTTGATTTCTATTGTTCTTATTCCTTCTACAAGTGCCTCATGTACAGCTGGGTGATGGCCATAGTCGAACCACAAAGTCAGCAATCTCAAAGTATCTTGAAGAGAACTTCCATGAGATAGATTTATGGATTTGAAGAATCCGTCTACAGCAGGTACAGTATATTGTTGGATATACTCAAGCGGAGACTTCTTTTCACTAACTTGAGATCCATCTAAACGAGTTTCCTGGTGTTTATAGAACAAGACGGTTTCAAAGTTCATGTAGGCCCAAGCATGCCATGCTTTGTACCAATCAGAAGCAAGTTCAGTGGCCGAAAAATAGTTCCTTAAAATTTCGTGAACAGAGTCTTCACCAATTCCAAGTAAAGATTCACACCAGGAGCCCAATTTTAAATGACAACGTGCTAACAGTCTGCAATGCTCCGAGTCACCTGTTCCAGCACTATCGACGTAGCGCTGTAATTGACTAAAGGCCAATTGTTTATCTCCAGCTACCCACAAATGTTTAGCATAAGCGAGAGTCAACCTTGGTTCATGAGTAGGTAAAGGCAGTTCTTGGTTTTGACTAGGGTCTGTTCCTAATAACATTACTAAAGTCCTGTGTGCTTGGCGCGGTGCACCACTCTTTCTGCAAAGAGAAGCAAATTTGAGCCAAGTGGCCATGTCTTCCTGCGGTGTCAGAACTAAACTGCGTACTTGAAGAATTTTGCGCCAATCTTCAACCAATCTTTGGCCGCCTTGCAGTCTTGTCCACCAGGCTTGTCGAATTGAATCTCTTCTCTCTGATGCTATTTTATAAGTTATCACTTCTTCTAACTCTGCAAGTAATTGGGCATTGACTAGCGCTCCGTAAGCTCTCTGATAACTTTCACCAGCTACAGCAGTAAGTTCAGAATCCAATAAGGTTCGTGCTTGATCGATATACATCTTCGACAGTCCGAAATCACCATTGTGAATATTAAGCACAGCTCGGTAAAAGGCCCCGTCTTGAGTATTTTCGGGCAAGAAACTCACGTAGTTGGCCATTGAGTCCCATTCATTTAAGCCCCATGCGGCTGCGGCGGCAAGTCTTGCAGCTTTGTACTTTTCATCGTCAGTCATCTTTGACCACCGTGTCGATACTGTTTTGTACAGCTTGACCCATTCACCTAGAGCCTCAAAACAACGTAATTCGCCAAGACTGGCTTCCGTGTTTTCCGGTTCTGCAACTAGTTTTTCTTCATACAGGTTGAGAGCTTTCTCCCAATTATGGAGTTTTTCATACCATCTGATCTGAACTTTCAAACTGAGGTCACCGGCTTCACGCTGAGCCATCACTCTTTCGAGTAGACCTTCCGCTGCTTCTTTTTGTTGCAGTTTGTTATTTATATGAATTAAGGCTTCTACAACTTGTGAAGTTGCACCACTGCGAAATTCCTCCTCCTGCATTCAATAAAGTAGATTTCAAAAGAATATACTCAAACAATATAAAATTTTTCATAGCATTTTCAAGATATACATACCTTATAATGCAGTGCTTTGGCGTACGCTCTACAATTCATAGCTCTTTCCCCCAGCAAATGCGTGGATATTGGCAAAGCGCCCCCTTCACAATGTTCCATAAATTCAGCAAGATTTAGAACAGTGTGTGCCAACTCTGGAGCATCTGGCGCAGTAAGTGCTTGTTCTAAAGCATTTGAGAGTTCAGTGCGTGATGTCATATCAAGTTCGGTCCAACAAGACACGAACGCCGCATTGAATAGATCTCGTAGCAGTTGGGAATAGTTGTGTGCAAGAGCTAGACACGCCCTGTGTAAAGGAATTTTGTATTTAGCAGAAGATCACTTAACATGACTAATTTGATTATTTCGTATAATTTTAAACATACCTAAGAGCAGGACTATGAGATTCAGTAAGCAATCCAATGCTGAATCTTCTAAGCCATTCAAACCAGTCATCTTTCGAGACGCGGCTGCTAACCGTCCAAGCTAATTTCAAGTTATGTGCATTTACATACAACTTGCGGATTGATTGCGACGTGTCAGTAGTTACAAACCGGCCCTATAAAACAAGACAACATGAAAGAAAAACTCTATGAAAATAATTAAAGACAGCGTCTTAATAAGCAGCAAATTACCTCTTGGTTGCTATTTCTAGGCTTTTGCCTAGTGCTTTGCAAGTCGTCCACCCCTAGTGTAGTACTAGACTGCAATTTCGATAGCAACAATTCATAATTTGAATGCTGAATTCGATGTTTTATTATGACTTTTTGTACAAGGGGTATGAAGTCGTTGTATTTACGCCCAAGTTGGACGATCAAAGCACACAATGTGTCCATTGCCGTAGTACGTAAAGACGAGCAACTGTCCAGGCTCCTCACAAGTGGATGTATGATGCGCGATACTAGTTCGTTGTAGTTCAACGAATCCGATAGGTAATCGACAGTTTCCATTGCAACCTTTGCAACATTGACGGGACAATCAGTCGCATCAAATAATTTGACGATTGAAGGTATAACCAAATGCATATAGTCATCCAAGTTGTCTTCGAATTTTTGTAATGCAAATAGGAGCTTCTCAGTGACAAATCTGTCTTTACTTGTGTCATGTGCCAGTACACGTAAAATTTGTGGCATTAATTGAGGTAAATACACTTTAAATTCAGAACCCAGGGCTGTTGCGATGTGCTCGACAAGCAATATTAAAGTGGGCTGTAATGGACTGTTTGGTGTCCAAAACTCTTTGATGAGGTCGAATATTTTGTCAAGGTAATTTCGAATGTGCTGTTTGACAATGGCTATCAATTTAGCCAATTGAGTGAAAAGAAATTTTCGAAAATCGTTGTTGTCTGTCGCTCGCGCAACGTACAGTAAACTTGGTGTTACGCGTGAAATGTATGGAACACACTTAATGCCAAGGGATTGAAATATGAAAGTCACTGCCTGAACAACACTAGTGTGATGTTGCTGCAATGTTGGATCTCGCAATATCCGCATGAGTGTCGAGATCACAATCGCCGGGTAATATTCATCAAGTACAGGCGATGACATGTTCACTAGCATTTCACTTGTGGTCATATCAAAGTTGTTCTCCTCAGATTTGCTGTCTGCAGCTGGTACCAAACTTTTAGTCATTTTGAGTTTGTAAGGATCTAATGCGCCTAGCAATCCTAAAACGCGTATAGTTTCTCTTCTGTCTTTGGGCTGTTGCTCAGTTTTCAAAAAATTTAGTAGAACATCCATGAGACTGGGGTACTCTGTGTAAGGAGTAACAACATATCCTGTTGCACTAATCAATTGACCAAAAGTCCACAAACCGATGCTTCTTTTCTCAGTGGCAATAGCATCTGAGAGTAAGTCTAAGAGAATAGACAGAAGTTCAGGTAAACATTTTTTAAGGCCTGTGTTGTCGCAATGTACATCAGCTAGATCACCAATTGCCTTCAATACACTGATTATAACACCCGGATTTGAATCAGGTTCTTTTAGTTTTGGAACCAGTATATTGAGTACTGTCTCTGTATAAGGCTTTACAAGCTTTGGGGCACGTAAAATAAGATTGTCAAGCATTCGCGCTGCCTGCTCTTTGTTTCTACTCATGCCTGAGTGTTCTAATTCGGTCAGGAATTGTATAAGCGTTTTCCGAAGACCAGGCATGACGTATGCAGGATTCACGGTGCTTAGTCTGCCCACAGTACAAATAGCCAGTTCCCGAATTTCGAGATGTTCATCATTCATTGCAATGAAAAGGAAGCTGAGATTTTCAATTTGTGCCAAGTGGATATCAAATATCTCATGTAATGATTCTAGTACCCAGTATCGGACTTCATAATCAGGGTCAGTGACAGCCACTACTAAAAACTTGCCAACCACTTCAGCAGTGAGCATTGTTAGAGTTCTGGATGGAGTATTTCTCGTTCTAATCATAGCATCAGATAGTAGTTTGGCAGTAGTTTTGACAGATTCCAGCCTTACTTCCTGGTATTCACTTTGCAAAAAATGTTCTGCACAACGTCTAACAAATGTGAGTAAGCTGTGTTCTCCCTCAAAGTGAAATGTACCAAGGGTTCTTAAAGCAAGCACAATGCTAGCTGTATCTTGAGGTTCAAAAACTAAATTCATATTGCTCATTTGCTGTTCCACACTCCTTGGAACACCAGGATGGAGGAAGGGTTTATTTCTTAAAACCAAAGAGAGCATGTTTAATAAGCCTTCTGAGATTTCTGATCTAAGTGTGGGCAAATTGTTACTTAGTTCTTTAAGGCAAATTGTTAGGGATGGACTAAGACCAGTAGCAAACATTGCATCAAGTAGTTCTCTTATATCACCAATGACAAGATCTTTAACAGCACTGCTCAGTAAAGTGATGCAGGCAAAGATAGATGGATCAACCCACATTCTTTTCTTGCTCTGAGAGTCCCTCACAGGCAATGCTTGTTTGATTACATCCATTGTTCTTGGGATGTAGATTTTAATATCATTTTCAATAGCTGCTGCTAGTAGGCCAAGTGTGATGAAGGCCATGTTTCTGTCTTTTTCCCTGCTGCGAATGCATGAGAGTAAGTAGCTCATAGTACCACTGACATACTTTTTTAAAAAAAGCTCTTTGTCAAATGCTGCCAGTCTAGGTATATTGATAAGCAAAACTTGTGGTACTCCTTGGGTTTTTAGCTGTCTTTGAGCCATCACATCTAAAACACAAACAAAAACAGTAAGTAGATGTCACATTAGCCAAGAATTCTCAATACATCAAAACATATAAAACATAAATTAAAAATAACAACACCCTGACACATTGTATGGTTGAAAACTTTACAGTGACTGGAAAAAAAAGCTGATAATATTTAAACAGCTGGGTGGATGTTCATCAAACATTGCTAAGAACCATCCCAATTAAAACCAGCTTCAAAAAAAGTTGATTTGAGACTGACATACAAGCACACACACACACAGAGGCTTCAAGCTTATAACTCTCTCTCTTTGCATTGAGGGTAAAAAATAATTGTTCTACCATAAAGAAACCAACTAACCTTGACAAATCTTTTCAAACTTTGAAGTTAATAGGTTACGACAAACTTCAGATTCATATATAGGAACTGGATACTGAACATTTTCAGTTTTAAATCCATCACTAAGGTATCCTCTCTTCACAGACGGGCTGTGTATTTTAGAAGTTATGATAATGTCATCAGATACTGTGTTGTCTTTCTGTGTATCCAAACTTTGCATGAGAGTTGTGTATTTCTTTTCCCAAGTTGCATTGGAACATCTAAACAGTTCATTCAAAATTAATAGACCTCCGTGGACTCTATCTTCTCTAGTAATTCCTTTTTCCTTGATAGGTATGTCTTCAAATGATGTCATTGCTTCTTCATAGCACTGATTGTACCACTGAGGTTTTGCTGTTGACTGCTTGGCAGATTCCCTCTGAGCTGTAACCATTAAGCCTGCCCTCAGAGCTTTCGCAGCGGCTTCTCTTATTTGCTGCTTTGGATCTTTCAGCGCTATTAGTATATGGTCAAAGAACCCCGAAACCTGCTGGTAGAAATAAGTTGGCATTGCAATTGCCATCTCTTTAAGTAGTAAAACTGCTGAATGACGCCTCCCTTCATTTCTTTCTTCAGATAACCATTCAAAGGCTCTTTTAACTTCAAATTCAACATACTCGGCTCTCTTCACACCAGACACTGTAGCTAACCGCCCAACAGTTTTGGCTGCTAACTCCATTACTCCCACATCAGAAGAAGGGAGCAAATTACGTAAATAATTGGCAAAGCGAGTGATTCTAGTCTTTGTGGTATCACAGTCACCGCCAATCAGGCACACTGAAAAAATGTATAAGAAATCAAGTTAAATTCAATGTAATAAAGTGGAGGTTTCAATATATTAAAAAAGGAATGCAAAAGAAGTTATAAACTTTTATAATAAAAAATAAGGGTTATGAATACCTATCGCAAGCACGCCGCCTTTTTTCTCATGGACATCATTGCTCGATACCATTTCAAAAATTTGATGGTTGAATTCATCGAGAAACTGTGTAAGTTCTTCCTGTGGCACTTCTCGAAGTTCCGTTTTTGCATAGTGATAAAGCTCCCGTGCTGTCTTGATTTGTACGTCCACATTTCGGGACTTTAGCCCCGCAACAAACTGCGCCACTTGATTCGACATTCTGATAATTGTGTACCTTCTAATAGATGTAAGTCATTGTAAATATTTATCTGCTTGGCGCAGATAAGCTCTCACCTGTATAATTATTGCGTGGTTAAGCAAATAAACATTAATTTTCGAAAAAATAAAAATAAACAAACCACATTTGCCTATATCAACCATAGACTAAGGAGTTTACTTTTTAAAAATTTGACAGCCTGACGTAGAGTCGTCCTGAACCGGTATATTAAAAAAAAAATCTCGTTATAGTTAATCGATTATTCGAATCGATTTCTGCGGAACTTTATGTTTTGTGGTATGCACACTCACTATTTCGTATACTTCTAATAATTTTTGTTCCATGCATTGATGGTGTTGTAGTTAATATTATTTGCCAAGTTGTAATGCAAAAAAACAAAGATAGAGTTTTTGTCTGTGTTATATGGCCGAAATTTCATTCATTTCGAGCTTCCATTTCTTTCTGTCTCGTATGGAATATCTATACACGGGCGGTCATCGTTGAAGATTTCCGTATAAATTATTAAATGAAGGTGCTATAAGCGTTGATTTTATGAAAAAGCTGTAGGTTATAAATTGTTAAATAATGATCTTACTCGAGATCAATAATAAAATTATAGAAGATACACTAACAGTAAAATATAAAAATGCACTGGCGCGGTGAGTACGTTACGCTTAGAAAGTGTACGTTTTTGTAATAGTACCTAACGTGTTTTGCAAGAATGCATTGGATTTGCATTAATTTGGTGCAGTGTTGTGTCGCCAATCGGCGTTTCAAGTGAGGGTTGTGTCCAGGATTCTAACCCCTTTCCGGAGTAATTTGACAAGTGTCACTACTCTTTGGGTGGACCCACGTTGGCCGCGGCTACTCCAAATTCCTGTAACGTGTAGAAATCGTTCATTATGCTCATTGTACAGTTTTCCTTGTGGGATTGGTCGTGTGACGTGCCGCCGCCTATCTCAGCACGGGTGACTCATGCCTAGGTTGTTTGTTGGTACTCTGCGTGCGGAAATGTCCTATAAAAATGTTTTTGGATTCCACTCAAAGTAAACAATGTAATGCATTTGATAAATATTGTTGGTATGGTACAGTGCATTCAGAGGAGGAGATGATAATGCACACAGTCACTCAGGAAATGAGTAATCTTTGAATCAGTTTATTTTTAGGTGTTCTGTTGTCCTAACAGCTGTACTGTTTTTAAAATGATGAACCATAGAAAGATATCAAAATACTGAATAGCCCTTATTTTTTAATCTAAATAGCTGTTATAAAAATTTAATGTATTAAAACAAACTTAGGAAAGTTATTGTTGCAAAAATATGGTAATTTGAACAGCAATAAATAACTTATTTATGTTTATTTTCAGCTTAAAGCCTGAATCCATAGATGTGAAAGTGGCAGATTTTGACGGAGTGCTGTTTCATATATCCAATGTTAATGGAGATAAAACCAAAGTTAGAGTGAGTATATAAATTTTTTTTTTCAACCTTTTCAGAGAGCCATCTTGCAATAAATTTTATTTTTTTATTTTTAAATATCACTCAGGCTGAAATAATAATATCATCATATTCTACACAATCTAGATCAGAAATTTGACAATTTAACTTGTCCTAGAGACACATGGTGTTCATACCAATTTTAGTAAAAATAATCTTAAACATTTTACAAATTTTTAAAATTGGTTGATGAAACTCAGCTGCACCTCTAAAAGACACTGGTGTGGCTATAGGACATTACAGTACCAAAATCATTAGGGACGCTATGAGTCGCTAACGATTGTATGTGGATGTGTGACAGGTTAAATAATTTTGAACTTAAAGTGTTAGGTCACAGCAGGTATTTTTTAATTTTATATTGTTGACTCATAATATAACAGCCATCAATCATTTATATGTGTATCTGTCTGCGACTGTATGTCTTAAATCGTACATATTTTGATTGTGGACCAGGTAACAATTTTATATAAAGTGTATTTCCAGTATTTAAATAGTGTGATACATAGCTTAGCAATAAATTTGATGATTAATGTGAAATTAATGGCATTGAATTGTTGTTAAGGTCTCGTTTAATATTTATTTAATATAAATATTGCTTACTTATCAAATATGCACTATGATACTGCTGCTCATGTCTTAGATTTATGTATAAGTAATTTTCTAGATATTTACAAACAGATGTGCTTTTGTAAATATAACTAAAACTAAACTGTCTCTTGAGGAGATGTATGCCTACTAACAAGGTATATATATGTTGGTGCTGTACTACATGTATTGAAGTTCCAACACGTTTTTCAGGTTAGTATATCACTCAAGTTCTACAAGCAGTTAGAAGAACATGGGGCAGATGAGCTGCTCAAAAGAGTGTATGGACCGCTACTTGCTGAACCAGAGTCTGGTAAGAATTTTCATCAATTGATTAAAACCTTTAGATATTACACAATATGGTAGGGCTTACATAAAATGTTACCAGTACCAGTCAAAAAGATAAAATGCTAATTGGAAATTAAACAATTATTTCATATCTAAAATCGCGAATCTTGTTTTTTCAAACAGGTCAAGGCTGATTGTAAGCTTGAAATTTTGGTTTGTTTGAAAAGACAATTATATCTTCGGTGTTTTGTAGAAAGGGTGATGAGGGTTTTAATGATTGTTTTAAAATATTTATGTCCTGTTTTAAAATTAAATTTTAATTTTAATTTTGTTTAAATTTATAACTGAATTTAAAACAGGATGTATTTTAAAACAGTTGTGAAAACTAAAACATGAAAAACCTGAAAAATGTTTTCAAAATGGCGCTTTCGCCTTTTCTACAAAATACTGACAATATAATCCTAATAGTTTCACTTTCAGTGTGTCGCAATCGCGAAAACCTAATAACTCTGCATTAAAAAGACTTTTTTGTAGATTAACTTATTAATCTCCAAAAAATAAAAGATAATCAAATAAACAAATGTATAATTATTAGAAAGAGAATAATTTACTACTACTATTTTGCTAGAGATCTATGCTTAATGCAAACAGCAGCACCACTTGGAAAAGAGTTTCACTTGTTTTTTCACTGTTGCATAAAATTGAAAGTGGGAACATTGTTTTTATGATCCATTGTCGCAAGGTGGAACTGCGGCAATTTTTTATTTGTTCAATTTACAGTAGCTAAATGGTTATACTAATGTATTATTTCCCGCTTTTGTTAGAGGACAATATTATTACTGATAAGGTAATGGTTTCTTGGTATTATATTGGTACTTGGTGTCCTGATCATTTTAATTAGTTTGTATATTAAAATTACTCATAAGTAGGCTAAACTTCAATGATGTCAACTATTTATGTGGCTTTGTTTCAATATAGAAACAAATGAACAGTTATTAATAAAAACCTATTGGACATTATGCAACCCTCATTGGTAGACGAGACTTATGGAATGCTTTATTGTTTAAGGGTTTAAAATGTAGATACTTACAAGCATTCAACTTTTTGTAAGCTGCTAGTATTTAACATCTATATAAATGTTTTACATAAATATATAGAATAATATAATTAATGTTAGGTAAAAAAACCTATTTGTAAAATTCTACTATGTACTAACTACACTGCTTCACATATTTGCAACAGAATATTCAACTTTCAATTATAGGCTATATTTTATCCTAGACAACATTGAGAAAATCAATCGTCTATTGATAATCTCAGTGCAGAGTACTAAAAAAAACCTACCTCAAATATTCGTGGAATTACATCTATTTGCCAAGTTTTATTGCGATCGGTTACTGGAAAGTGCGCGAACCGGATTCATCCCTTAGTTTCCCGTCCTTAGACATGGAATATTTTCTTCAATTTTTAATGGGACCCATAATGAGGTACCCTCTTTCCAATAAAAAAAATCATCAAAATCGGTTCACAAACATACTGTTTACTATGTATATATATATATACTGTTTTATATAACAAACAAAAAACAGTCTAATTGAGAATCTCCTCTTTTTTGAAGTTGGTTTAAAAGTCAGCTGCATATATATAGCCACTAATAAATTGCAATAAAAACTCGCACAGAGTTCTGACTTTACACATATTTATCTTGCCCAATCACCTAGCAATAACTCCTGATATCTGTTATCTCTTAGAAAATTGTAGCTTTTTTTAATGTAATACGATAAGATTAAACGTAATTTCGCGTGAAAATGTTATTGAAACCAAATAAGTAGGTATTTAATACTTTAAAACTTACTTAATACTGTACTATATGTGTTTGATAGTAAAAATGTCACATTGCTGTTACAGTTTAATTTCTAACTTTAATTGTAATTTTGCGTGTTAATTAACATACAAACAAACATTTATATTATATCTGTGCACAACAGCACCATCCTTTTTAGATTTTTAATGCTTCGGTTTTTATTTCTTCATGTTGCCTTTAAAAACTATAATATGAAGTAAGTTATTGCACCGTTTTTTTATCAAAAATATAGTTTACAGTCCTTTGTAGGAATAATTTCTTTTTAAGGTAAAAAGAAAGAATCTTAATCATTACAATGACCATTAACTATGGAGTACATTAAAATTTGTTTATGTCTGTTATGTCTGGAATTATTGAAACATTGTACCATTAAATATGACTGAAAACATAATATCCGAAAACTATTTGAATTCTTTATATTGGATTATAGAAATTGTCTTTTAATTTAAAAGCACATAAGGCACAGCAGCATATTGACTCATAAAAAGTGTACAAAATACAGTTGAAACATTAGTATTGCAAATTTCCCAGGTTACAATGTTTCTGTCGTATTGGACGTTGACCCGGAGAACATTCCGGAGGATTGGGAAGACACGGTAAAAAAAGTGGGACTCCTGAAGAGAAACTGTTTTGCGTCCGTCTTCGAGCGCTACTTCCGACTGCAGGAAGATGGTGAAACGGGGCACAAAAGGGCGGTTATCAACTATCGCCAAGATGAAACATTGTAAGTTTTGTTATATGCATAAAAGCAATATCGAAAACCGAGGTCGTTAATATTCTAAATCAATAGTCAATTGTTACGTAACAAACAAATATAAATACCTATCTATGACTTGTACATTCTCCCTTACATTGTAATGTAAATTAAACAAACATTGGACAATCTATGCATCAAAATAGAGAGGAATCAATTATTTTTTTCAAATAAACCTAGACACCCACTCTTTCAGATAGATCCTTATGGTTATAATTTTGATGTAATTGTACTAGCAAAGGATCCACTACTAATTTTATATGTTATATTTCCAGATACGTAGAAGCGCAAGAAGATCGTGTGACCGTGGTGTTCTCAACGGTATTCCGACACGAAGACGATATGGTCATCGGCAAGGTGTTCATGCAAGAACTCAAGGAGGGTAGAAGAGCTTCACATACAGCGCCACAGGTAACTAGCCTTTTACACCTTTATGACCTCCGTTGTTGAGTGGCTTGAACAACGGTTTTCATATTGACTCCGGCCAGGTTAATGAAAAAACTAACTTTTCTATATTGTCCCGGATCTGAATGTTTGTGGTAACCGTTCGTTGTTTCCGATTTCCATAACACAAGTGCTTTAGCCACATACTGTGGGATTGGAGTAACATATGTGATGTTGTTTAATGCAATTTTTGAAAAAAAAAAACCCTAAAGGCTACAAAATTTCATTTTCGAGCTTTGTCATGTTGTAAGATTTTTTGTTTTACGTGGCAGCAGTGGAGCTTCTTGTGAAAGAGTTCGCCCAAGAAGGTACTGCCACCTTACCTATTTCTACCGCCAAGCAGTAATGTGAGCATTACTATGCATTACTATTTGGACTGTCTCAGGGTGTCGGGCGCAGTAGCAGTGCACCTTAGATCTTTACGATTTAAAGTTCTGAGTGTCACAGCAACTGTTATGGATAGGCATGTCACTTGCCACCAGGCTCATGACTTGTTCGTTCCGTCACATGATATTTAAAAAAATAAGTTGCCTAAATAAATATATTTTATTCATGTGTTAATTGATCTTTTAACTGTTCCCACAAAATAATGAGAGGTATATGTAATATCGTTACCTTGTCGTTTTCATAGATAATAACTGCATAGATAATGATGATATCTGAACTGTCCGGATTGCCAGGCTATATCATCTATCCGGATTTTTCGGTTTACGGGAAAAATGTTCAAATTAAAAGAGGTTGAAGAATCGTCGAAATATATTATTTTCAAAGTTAACGCATGTATTCACAAATTGCAATGCAAACAATCTACAAATAAAACAAATCAGTCTCAAATCTATTAAAGTCAACAATTACACGAAATAGCCTGCAGGCGAGCGTGCGAGCTTAAGATCCTCGTACTCTGCACCCAACCCCCACACTCGACGTCGCTGCCATAGGAAAGATTTTCGATTTATTTTGTAATCGATGTTTTATAAACATCACACTTTTTGTCAGGACTTAAGGATTTAAGTTTCGTAAAAAGGCCATTCAATGGTGTTTACGATAAATCTTTATGTTTTCAGGTCCTATTTTCTCACAAGGAACCTCCGCTAGAACTTATGGACACAGACGCAAAAGTAGGAGAAAATATCGGATATGTAACGTTCGGTAAGTGCTGTATTATTAATATTATAAGTAATGCAATGCAAAAGAATTGAATTCCTTTTGACTATGAATTTGGCACTATAGTATTTGTAATGGCTATCAATAAAGTTATTGTTAAATGCCGGAAAGAACTATTCTAGTGAACCATAGGTCCAAAACCAAGGCAGAAAACAATCTATCCCAATTAATGACAGATGTAATTATATATCTCTGTTTATAAATATAGTAATATAAAAATTTAGTTCATAGAAGTCCTATTCGAATTTAATGTCAGTACGCGTATAATCTAATCTATTATATTATCCTTTGTACCGTGAAGTGCGTCACGCGTAAGTTATTGAAGCATGAATAAAGGTGCGATGAAATCGAAACTAGAACTGGCCTAATTATTACTTCTTGTTTGTCTTCCTTGTCGTCAATGTCTCAATAGAAAAGAAATCGTACAAACTATCAAAGACATTCATTAATTTATTTTAATTTTTGTATCAAGCTCACGTATTCTAGCTACTCCATCAAATAAATTTTACCACACATAAAATATCGCCAACAGTTGCGTTAGCGGTGTCAGTGTTCTGGATATTCAGGCCGGTATCCGTATATTTAATGTTGGGTGGTTTCAATCTGTTTTGTCGGAGCCAACTGTAGTGCCGCGAAGATTTTGTATACATGTTTGTTAGGGAGTCATTGACTTACTATATTATATGGACGTCGGGTCCGCGCTAAAAAGTGTCCGCACTTGTAAGGCGCTAAAATCGTTACAGAGCGCCAAACTCCGCTTTAGTCTTCATTTGTTCGACTGACAGCGCGATACTGTGATGACATTACAATTTAAATTTCGAATAGGTTGACTTGGGACATTTTTTTCGTGGTTTTTGTATTAGACCCGTCGTCCATTTATTTGTAAGTCAATGTAGGGAGTATTTTGATTTATCTGTCTTATTATTAGTATTAAGTGTTTTCTTGAAGTATTGTTTTTCTAATGGGGCTGACATGTTCAATAACTATGAAAACCTCTAAATAAATAGAGTAAAAAAATACTTATAGCTTAGAGGATAGAAAAAAATAGACTTATAGGCTGACAAGTCTGATTTTGACACATACACTCATAATATTGTAGAAGTAATTGCTTCCAACTAGCAACTGTTGGGCAATTCACCATCGTCTCACATTTTATAAAAATAACGTGTCAGTGTTTACTTTTTTATTAAGAGTTTTGGCTTCGATTAATTACCGGGATCCTCAATAAATATTTTCCATTGTGGTTCTAGTACATTATGTTCTCTTAAACAACTTAGTTCTCTTGTTTAGGTATTCTAAATAGTCTTTGAAGTGGCGGGAGTCAATATTTATGTTTTCACTTTCACTTAAATCACATTATTTGTCACTTTAAATAAAAACTTTGAATTTTCATGGAATTTTCAAGATAGTCTTTTGTAATTTGTTTCAAAATACGGTATATGATTCTATCTGTCTTCATCACTATTTCTTTCTTCGTATTTTCTTCATAATATACTTAAAATAAAAATAATCTTTGCAAAGTCTGTAGTTGTAACTTCAAAAGCCCGCCATTTTTATAACAGTGTTTACACGGCGTTATTTGTTGTAGTGCTGTTCCCGCGACACACATGCTCGGCGGCGCGTGACAACTCGATCGACCTGCTGCACATGTTCCGCGACTACCTGCACTATCACATCAAGTGCTCGAAGGTGTACGTGCACAGCCGCATGCGCGCTAAGGCCGGCGACCTGCTCAAGGTGCTCAACCGCGCACGCCCGCAGGCCACCGCACGCCCCACGGAGCGCAAGACCATCACGTTAGTATTGCTTTATTTTTTAATTTATTTTTTGACCATGGATTCTGCTGCTGATTTCCAAAACCTAATAAATTCCCAATTGAGATTAATAATAATAATAATAACGCACACACTCAACATAGCACTAGGGAAACCCTGTTTATTTATTTATTTATTATATTACATATTGCTTACAGATTAATATCCAAACACAATAGTAATTCTTAAGCTAATATCATATATTGAAATAATAATGTAATCATACTTAATAAAGAATAGATACAAAATAAATTGAATGAAAATTTACAAATAATTGAATTTTATATATTGCATAAAATAAACTGAATAAAAAATTTAGATAAAAATAACAAATCATGGTCGCGGGTGCCATGGACACACACATAGACAACCACAAATTACACCCAAACTCACGAGAGAAATAAATGTAGGCCATACAAACATTTCTCCCGGCCCGGGAACCGAACCTGGGGCCTCTGCGTGGCAGTCCGACATGGTAACCGTTCGGCCACGGAGGCAGTAGATTATCGTAAATTTACAAAGTCACTCACTGTTTTAAATTTTTTTTTATACATTTATTTCAGGATTTTTAATCCGATTTAACCAGAACTTCACATTTTGAAAGTAACTACTTTGACTGAAGAAGTAATTTTTTAACTTTTTTATTTTTGTTGCAGGGGAAAAACGTTTGTAAGGCGAGATTGAGTGTTGCGCCACGGCGAGTCATAGGCGCCGATTACACGTAGCAGTCTCCATTTATCGTAACACCCCATTCTTCTAACATCTCCCCGAGAGTCGCTCCAGACGACGTCCATTGCCGATAATGCCTAGTTATTTAGAGTAGTCACCAGAGATTTTAATCGAGTGGACGTGTTATACGCAACGGGACTTCGACAATGTGCGTATTTCATACATCAATATTATGGTCCCATAGTAATTATTGTTTACTCCACACAGCATCAAAGCCACTAATTCGATACACAAACTACTAATTTTATAAAAACTTCGTTGCCATTTATACATAAAATCATATGCCAAAATATATAAAAATAATGCTCAATATTTACCAACTGCCGATTTTTTATAGACAGAAAATGTGCACATTGTATTCATATGAAAATATTTATTATTATCAAATCTTCAAGCCTAGCGTAAAGTCAATAAAATTAATGTTGCCGTAGTAATTGTTAATAACAAAATTATGCTTTATTATAATGAGAGTTCTATTTATAGCGGTGGCACAGTAACAAACTTGGTTCCTAAATCTACAGTGTTCACTTAGAGGCGGGTTCAGTTCATTCCAGAAATCTGAGATAAATAACTTGAGTAAATGGATATAAATAATAATTATAGGCATTACCACCGACATGAAATATTGTTAATTTTTTTATCTCATCTTCGATTTACCCAGTTGTGGTTCGTATTTTTGTGGTAGTCTCAGGGTATGTGAGTTAAGTATGTAACAAATGTTTTTGGAGACTCCTCGACAACATCTCTGGAAGATTCCTCGTCGTCAGCAATAAATACGCTAGTGTCCGCCAGAGAACCACTTCTAGCTTACGTAACTTGTTGTAATTTATACAAATACCAATCCTCGTATAGGGTAAATTGTATTATAAAATCTAGAATATATATTGTTTCGATTTACAAATTGTAAAAATGTACATCTCTGCAACGTCGCGACAGGTAACATGCACAAACTTTACGAATTATTAAATGTTTATTTCGTGAACACTCCTTTATTTAGTTTCATAATGCAATACGCGAACAATAATAATTTTAAAGGTCACTTATTACGTTTATAGGTAAGTCCCATTCTGTTATAATATAAGTAAAAGTGTATAGTATTTCTCAATAGAATCTTCCATAGACAAAGATATACATAAAAAAAACATAATGGCCTTATATAAGGGAGACTTCAGTTTATTGGATTTTGGAAGTGCCGCGATTTCGCGGTAGGTTTTGTTCGATAGAGTCGCTAGTTTAGAGGATACTCCGTGTATCAGATATTTAAGTGCAATTCGAACACTCATTCTATTTCAACTTGCATTTATTTTGTGAACCGTCTCTAGAAAATACATTTTTTCAAAACATTCTAATCAATTGTTATATTTTTATAATTAACGATACTCCAGAGGGGAAACTTGTATTTTAGACGTCCATTGGCACAGTAATTTATATTGCTCAATGTGCATGCACCAAGCTGTTACGAGGTCATTTATCTTACAAGGGGAAATCCTTCTATGAATTTAATTGTGAACCGATACCTTCACTTCATGAGTAATTGAGAGAAATTAGCGCTAAGTTGGGCGAAGTACGGTAAGCAAATATCGGGTCATGGACTGAGAGTATAGGCTGTCAAATCGGTTTGTCTGGAAGTCATAGGATTATAAATGTAATTCACCTTAGTCATTACTGATAATGTGACTTTTATTAAACATGACAGATTTATAAAGCAACATACACATTGTATGAGCTAACGTAAAGAAAACATGTAGAAACAATTTAACTATTTAATAAAATTTTGTAGCTAACTTGAATTTTATGTAATTTTTATTTGCAAAATGTATTATTTATGTATTATAAAGTGTAAGTTAAATGTTGCTTTAAAGTTATTGCTTACTATTTGATCATTGTTTTTACTGACGGTTTTAACGCGAGATTATGTCATCTGTGCAGAATACGGAGGTTATTTGTGAATATGTAATTATTCTTGTGATTTAAAATCCGTTTATACTGTATTTTTTATTTTCTAGATTAAAGAAAACATCTTACTGCAATGTGATTGTTTATTTGTAGATATCGATTGTTAAAAATAGCTTTATTCTTATTTTTTCAATGGCCTCGGCGCTACTCAACTACATTTTACATTTTTTAACGTACATTAAATGGGTTGAATGGCAATATGTGAAGGGATCCCTTAATAAATCAAAGTTAATCCATCTTAACCCCAGATGGTGAACTACTCGACTACATTTTACATTTTTTTACCTACATTGAATGGTTGAATGGCGATATGTCAAGGGATCCCTCAATGAATTTAAGCTATTTTAAAAATCCATTTTAGTCCCAGATGGTGAAGGAGAGGTAGGCGACTTGTGCCCACTTAGTTTGGAAAGTGTGGCCACTTTGGAAGCGAATTTGACAAAGCTCATGCCTGACGCTGACGCCTGGGGCTCTGGCTTCTGACCACCTTCAGGCTGGAATGGTGCGTCCATCGAACCTAGAAGCATACCTATCGTTAAAGATTCTAGAAGCATGCGTATCGTGTAATATACGACAGGGTTATTTTTAAATCGAGCCCTGTACCTACGCTGGGGCCGGGCTCGGCCTGCGGCGCGAGGTCGGGTTCAGTTTACGGGGTGTGCTCAAGCTCCTCGATGGCACAGCAGTTAGTACTACGGGCGCTTGATGAGGAGTTCGATTCCCTACTTGGGCCAATTTAAGAAACGAACATTAAATTTCTAAGTTGGTTTTGGTCTGAGTATTCTGGGTTATCGTTGCTTCGATATTCCATAGTACAGGAAATTCGGCAGCAGTTTGGCATTTTTTCCCCCTATATACTTCTCTTTGGCATAGCTTTCAAGAAAATGAAATCTAACAGAGAGACGATTGAGATACAACAAGGCTATAATAAGTATGTCATTTCCACTACATCGGGAAGTATGCCTTACATTTTTACAATTGTGAGATCTTATACTCGTAATCGATCACGCCTCCGTATATTATCTCCATCGCGATAGCGTGCGTACGCTTCGGGCTTCGCCCTCCGCGGACCTCGGCCTACAGCCTCGGCACTTATCACTTTGTTTTAAAAAATTGAAATAATTCTTTGATGGCGGCCATATTTAAAAGTTGCAAAAATTTGTTTTTTGCCACTAATTTTTATCAAACAATCTTAGCAATCTTTTCGTGCAAATTTTCAGTCCAAGCAAAGCAATTTTTTTCAACAGCCATTTACATAAAAAATTA